GCTATCGATTGTTACCTATTATTCTATAGCAATTTAAGTTTTAGCAAAATGTCAACAAGACGTCGTTAAAATTAACTACTCTATACGCAACTGTTATTTAAGAATTAAAAACAAAACCTAAAATCGCCGAATTCGTCATAGATTACATTGCGTGAAGCTGGGCGAGTCGACTGCCAAAACGATTTTTAAAAAAACATACATTTTGATATAAGAATTTGACTTATACATAATGTCACCCACATTTACCATTTTTGCACAAAAAAATTTAAAATAGTTGTTTATGTACTAATTTTATTCTGAAAAGGCTAAGTTGTATTGCTACATGTGCCTTTTTGGTGGTTGATATTTATCCCAGAAGCTTGACGTATTGCTTTACACGACTATTATTAGTCCTCCCTCAATAATTTGTTACTCAACGATTACACCTAATATTTATTTAATAAGTACTTACCCATTTAGTTGAAGTTCAATTAGTACTCTACATAATCTGGATTTCTAAATTTCAAAACAATGAAATATAACGTACAAAAAATGAAACCAAACACTTTTAATCCAATTAGTGGAGCAGTCTTTCATCCGATGCTGTTAGTAGGTATTAAGCATGACAATTCAATATGTCCACTGATTTTCTTTTTCGGGTAAGTAGTACAGAATTGCTAGGATTTTCGGTACGTACTGAATTTGATTAATAAATTGAGTGATTCCGTAAATATTGCACGAATAGATATTTTTGCGTTCGTGAGTTTTATAAACAAATACCTAGCGGGATCTCTAATCAAAAAGAAATAACTGAAAGTTCACACATACGAAATATGGATTTCTTTGATCACGTTTAAAATTAAACAATGAAATGCTTCCTTTCTTATAATTAGTTTATTGGCAATAGGAGCTCCCGTACAAATCTAGAAGGCGCCTGTACAAAACCGCACAAAATTGCATATGTCTACATTAGCAATTGTTTTTTACTTTCCTCATCAGAGAGGAAGATCATATCCTCACTCTTTTTAGAGACGAAAGTAGTTGTTTCTAAAGTAGTTTCGGAAAAAAATAGTTTCACATATTTTTCCTAATGACAGATAAGCTTTTTTAAAGTGGTTCTTGGACCCTTACTGTGTGAAATGTGTTTTTTAAAAAGACCTTCTGTCAAAATTTGCGTAGGTGTGCAAGATAAGAGGGAAAAACACATCTTTAATCTTTATTACACTTATGTAATGGGAAATTAGAAAAAAAGTGTAAATGTAAGTGTACATAATTTGACTTTACTGAATGAAAGGTAAATTTTTTTAAGAATTATTGGACCGATCTGAGGGAAAAAGGGGGATGGCAGGTTCTATACTCCTTCAAAAAGGTCCTCTTCAAGACTCGCATGAGGAGAAGGAAAACTTAATAAACGAGGCGAGGAACGGCGAGAGTTGCAATTTATCCACAATGGCCGCTGAAAAAAGCTGGTAAAAGAATTGAGCTAACTTTATATACAAATTTACATAGTGCGATAAACGGAAATTAATGACAGTAGATAAAGTGTGGAAACACCAGAAGAAAGCATTCGTTCAGGTGCAACCTCCGACGCCAAATCTGCACCAGTGATCATAGCATAGTGTGCCGCTCGTTTTAAGCTAAATCATCCACCAGGGTAGGGTGGTTTCCGAAGAACGAAAATCATTCCAAGAGAGAGAGAGAGAGAAATAATCTCCATATCTCCGTCACATTGCAGACGATGATTTTCACAGCGTTTCCAAGAAACCTGGTGCTTAAACGATGGGGGATGAGGGAATTTAGGAACATGTGTTCTTTCGCAATGTAGTTTTTCCGCTGTTCGGCATTGTTTAAATGTTTACCTCGTGGTATATTTGAACTATGCTCGTAGTGTAATAATCAAAAAACTATTAAAGAAAATTCGTTGTAGTTTCCCGTATTGTGATTTATGAAATAGCGTCGTAGCCATTTTGTTCCAACGATATAAGTGATTTTTGCATTATGCCGGTGTTTTTGTGAACGCTTAAAGTTTTAGACTCGCACTTTAAATTTCCTAGTATTAACGTCGCGTTGTTCTCTTTATTTTTTATTGTTTATAAAAATCTAATTAACTTTGTTTTAGCAGCGAACTGTCATTCATTATAAAGAGAGTTTATCTCATTTAATAAAAAAATAAAAATAAGAACGTTTTGGTAATTTAATAAAGATTTTATATACAACAATCGTGAACAGTCTTTGACTTTAGCTGCCGAAGAAGGGGGATTTTGCCGACGACGTTTGGCAAAAAGTTAGCGTCAGCCACTAGATTCTGATGGCTTCAGCAGTGCCATTGTATTGTAACGGAAACGCTCCAGACATGACGTCGCCTTTGGCGCTCTGGAATTTTCTAGGAGCGCGATGGTGGGGATGTTTGCAGCGTGTCTGGTAATTGCGCGAATGTTCTGGACTTACATTGCTTGCGTGTATAAATGGTTGCGGACCGAACATCGCGGGAGTTTACTATCGAACGAGATCGAGTACGGACGAAACATTGAGCGCGAAAATCTGATATAAATTGCGAAGTGTGTAATATAAATAATCGATATAAATTGTACAGTTTTTATAGTGTTTTAGTTTTGTTTAATAAATATTGATATAAATCGAACCCGAATTTATAAATCACGTTACAGTATGTATATATATTTTGTTCTGTTTTGAATAGTGTAATTACACTACAGTACTTTTTCGTATTAAATTAATGGTGGCTTTTGTGCTTTTTTCTGTTCTCTCGCCTCTTTCTCCTCTATGGTCTCTCTTTTTTCTTGCTCCATCATTTCTCTTATCTATTTCTTTCTTCTCTACACTCTTTGTCCCACCACTTTCTGTTTTCTCTCCGCTCCTCTTCAGTTATTTGTACTCAATTTACTTGAAACTGACAATGCGGCCCATAACTTGTTAGCAGAGTAAATTATTTCGTACTGATGATAATGTTAAGATCGGACAACTATTTTATTAATCGAAAATTCATACACGCTATGATATTCTATTTCTTTATATTCACATTTGTGTTCTATACATTTTTAGCTCATTTTTGATTCTCAAAAAGGAGCTTATTGTTTCACTAACTGTCGGCTGTTCGGGCGCCTGTTATAAATCGACCGAGTTCTCGGCAACGGAATATCGTACAATTTTGGGGGTTTCGGCATTAAGTATATTCGTACTATCGTGTTAGTGCCCCATCGCTTAGTCTGAAAACTGCAACCATTCCAGAAGTTGATAATTTATGAATTTTTCTTTAAATATTTCTTTATATTCACAAATTTAAAGAAAATTCATAAATTATCAACTTCAGGAAAGGTTGCAGTTTTCAGACTAAGCGATGGGGGAATAACACGATAGTATGGATATAATGCCGAAACCCCTAAAATTGTACGGTATTCCGTTCCCGAGATCTCGATCGATTTATAAAAGGCGCCCGAACAGCCGACAGTTAATGAAACAATAAGCTCCTATTTGATAATCAAAAAGGCGCTAAAAATGTATAGAGGATAAACTGTACATGACTAAATTTGCAACAAGAACTCCGCTTTTCCCGCCATCACCTTTATTTTCCAGATGTATAGGCCTCTACTCTACTCAGATCTTATAGAACCAATTGTCTAATATTTGGAGCTAGCTTTAAAAAGTGCAGCAATTCCATCATTATTGGAACTCCTTATTTGTTCACGGAATCTCGGGAAACGCCCAGATGAATGACATTCGGACCATGGAAAAACGGACGACAATTAATATGGGATGTATCAGCAGAAAAAAAAGATGCCAAAATATAGTAATCTACTAAACCGTTTTATTTTTTACCCTTCGGTATTGAAACACCTGGCGCTTGGAGTCCATCTGCAAAAAAATTGCTTCAGAAATTTGTAATAAAAAATGTTGAAAAAACTTAAGAAAAACGTTGCTTTGCATTTTTAAAGCAAAGATTTAGCTTAGCTGTCCCGCAGGGTAATGCCGCTTGTATTTTAGGCACTCTACCGCCACAGACAGCATTTGATGAAATTTTTTATATTTTAAGTGTACGGTAAATCTTTTTTATGTTTTTAAACAATTTACACTTAATTCATCATTCAAAAAAATTGTCTAATTAATAATCTCATCCTTTGGGTCGAAAATTAAGTGAGTCTTTTTCATTGTAGAGCAGCTGGAATACAGCATTTTTCACTAAGGTTCGAGTCTCGACGGTTCCTTAACACAAAAAACTAAAATAGTAAAATGTATAAGAAAATTTAGACTTTTCTTCTGGGATAACGCCACTTGATAGTTTTCTAGTACTCAATTAATGAAAATTAGATTTCTGAAAGTTTTCTAATTTGTTTATTGTTGTTTGTAAACCTCAGATGCGAAGCACCCCACAAACACATTGAATGCAAAACTACCCTACAACTTCAGATCGGGATACTCCTCCCCGTCCGATGGACTGTACTATATTTTGAATAATTTTTTGCATCCACAGCTAGATTTAAAACGTAAAAGAAAGTGTTGAGTACCGTGAATAAGAGAGATGTTCTAAATAATGTTGGTTATTATTTAGAGTGGTGTAATAAAAGCGACAGTTAATAAAATTGTAATTAATATTGATGCTGAAATTTAGTAAATAGGGTTGTTTATTCCAGCGATTCGCTTAGAGAGCAGCTTTCGATATGGAAATAATTTTTCTATGTGCTAAATCTAATGTGACACCTTTAATAAAGTTTTGTTGAAATGTGAAATTGGAACTTGAAGTAAACGAGCCTTGAAACGTTGTCACAGCCAATATACAACCTTATTAGGATTTAGTACGCAGTATTGAAAGCTATTGGAAAAGGATGCTGGCATTTTCAGCCAATTTGTGCTTTATTTGAAGTCAGTAATAAAGTAGATCTTTAGTGCTTCTTTTATCTAGGCGCGGATTCATGAAAAAAAACTTAAAACATAATTAACCGTTTGTTCAACAGCGTTTATATAATAATGTAAAAATAACTTAGAAGCCATATAGGTGACACCCCGTAGCGTATTAAACTTTAATCACCTTAGTTAGTATTGTGTCGTCACCCGAAATTTTAGCATCTGCTTGGTTTGAGAAGAACAATAAATTGTCATTTACACAAGAAACTAATATTGGAAAACAAAGACGATATGGTAATTAAAGGACTCTGAAATTTCCAGGGTTGCGCAGAACATTGAAACAAACAATGCAAGGAAATGGTGCGTCAAATCCCTTACACTTGTCTATCTCTTCTGGTGATGGTGGTGTGAATTTGTGCGGTAAACGGTTGGATCTTTGCTAATAATAATGTTAATACAATGACGGAGAAATTATATGAGTACGTAGGTTTCATCGGGCGTTTGCATTATATCAGAGATTCCATACGCGAAAGTTGGCATTTGTGGAAGGAAAAGCATCCCGATGGATTAAGAGGCTGTTTGAAAAGTTCGCTATTGAATTTTTCGGAACATAAACCGCAGGACGATGAATATGATAAGACAGAATACGCGCACTTGCACAGGTAATGTAGAAAACTAGGTAAACACTAAGTAACTAGGAATTATCAGGAGAAAGACTCGCCAGGAATTAATTCGCGTATCCGCTGCGGTTATGGGGATTGAATTTTCGTATGCAGCCGAAACTGCGTTTGTGTCCCCGACTTTATTGAAAATAGGCGTTGATCATCAATATATGACGTTTGTGTGGGCACTGTCTCCTCTGGTTGGATTTTTTCTAACGCCCATTCTTGGATCAATCAGCGACAGGTGCCAATTAAAGATTGGACGAAGAAGACCATTTATCATTCTTATGTCGATAGGCGTAATACTGGGTAAAAACGTGTCTTTGAAAACCATGATTCTGATCGCTCAGTTTAGGTTTACTACTGGTACCCAATGGTGAAGACCTTGGCTATATGGCCGGTGATATTCCACCGGCTCAAAATGCTACGATAAGGACAGTTATCTCATACAGAACCTCTGCTTTATCTTATGAACGCAATGTTACATTGACCGAAGACGAGGACGAACTGAAGCTGGGGTACCACCCCTGGGGCATTTTCTTCACTATATTGGGAACGGTTTTGTTAGATTTCGATGCGGATGCGTGTCAAAGTCCGGCACGTGCTTATTTATTAGACGTTACAATACTCGGTAAGTAAATTTTTGTAACCTTTCCACAACATCGCAAACGATGCTGTATGAGAAAGGTCCAACTCGCATTTCAAATATGGGCAATTCAATTGTATTAAAAAGTTAATAATTAGTAAATCATTGCCATCATTTGCATGGAATGTCTTTTTACTGTACTTGGGATCTCCTCCTCTAACTTTCCTGTTAGAGTTTGCAACAAAATATTTGCACCTGGAAGTAATAATTACTTACTGTTTTATAGAGGATCACGCGCGAGGATTAAGCACATTCACAATAATGGCAGGATTAGGTGGATTTTTTGGATACGCTACAGGCGGCATCAATTGGGACATTACCATGATAGGTAAGACGCCAGTTACTTCATTGTATTTAAAAATATTTCTGTAAGCTTCCATTCTCGCGTCATTTTTGGTGCTCCCGCGTTTCAAAACCTTGCGTGTCTCATTTTCATTGCGATTTCAGCAATTACTTACACACATTTGGAGTCTAGGGTCCATATTCTGTAATCTGATAGCCCCCCATGCTTATTTAAGTAGAATCGAGCCTACTACCTTGATTAACTTTACTCGACCTATGCCCGGTTTCACAAGCGATGATTAAGGTTAATCACTGATTAAAAATATTATAATGGAAAACATCTAAGCGTATAATCAAAAGTTGCAAACATTCTAATATTTTTAGTCATTGATTAACCTTAATCATCGTTTGTGAAACCGAGCATTAATTTACAAGATAGAATAAAGTTTATGTTTACGATACATAATAATAATAGGAATTATATGACTTTATTATCTTTTTTCTTTAACAAGTAAGAGAACACTAAATTACAACAAACAATAAAGAGAAAGAAGTAAAGGGAAAGCAAAGTTCAGCTTCGCCTAGTAGATGTCGCTGATCTTCCACTTAACCTTCTTTAATACATTGTAAGCTGAGATAATCTCGCGTTTTATATTGACATTATTGACATAAGGATTCAAACCAAATACATGATGAGGCTGTTACTATTGTTAACTTTGATGGTACATTAAAAATTTTCTTACTTACTTATAAAAATGTGGTATGTGAAGAACAGTGATATTTATTAAGAAGCCGACATAGGGATTAACGTGTATTGTTTTTCCCTATGTATACTTTCAAATGACTAAATCACTTCTGAAGAACACCTAATTTTATGCAACCAAAATAACTCCTTAAAACATAAAGATCTGGCTGTCATACCTATTAATTAATTTAATAATGTAAACTGTTACCGGATGTAAGGAACGAAAATAAAAATACGGAAGCCAAAGCAACGATAAACCATCGACATTTTGTCTCCCCTTGTGGGCAATTCCTAGGGTAATTCAATACTTACGAGTAATATTCCATTAAAAATGTTAAAAATGTTGATTGCTGTTTGTAAACAGATTCCTCTAATTCCGTGAAGTGGTTTATTTTACAAAAATTATTATTTTCCCGAAAAGTAAACAAGAATGATTAGTAGCACTTATAACTAAGGTTATCGCAAATGTGTTTTATATTCCAAACATCTAATGAAAAGTAGGGTATTCCGTTTAAAAGAATTAAGTTAGGTAAGTAACACATTTAATTTAAAAACTTTTCATCATTAAATATATGACCCTAACTTACATTTCTAACACAGATTTAAGAATTTTAGAATCTGCATTCGTTCCTTAGATATCGCGTTGTCCTAGTCCTCGCTGAACACTGTAACGCCCCGTGTATATTCATTAGGTAGATTAGATAGGTTAAATTGTTTTCTTTTGTTTAGTTCAATTTAGTAGATACTTTAGCGTAGGTTAGAATATAGATTTTACGGAATTCGAAAAAAAAGGGTCCGGCAATAACATCACACGTGTGTCCACCGGTCATGGGACAGTTACGTTAAAACCAATAAGACAACATAAACAACCCCGTGTCAGCATTTCTGAGTAAATCGACCTGAACCAAAAATATAAAGTGTCAGATCTAGGCGGGTATGTATTAGACTTTGCTATTGGGGGCGTCAAGAGGTCCTTTCTCGCTTAATTAATTCTCTAATTTTTGGTTGCTATTTATTACCGAAACTAACAGGGCTCATTTATACTATGTCCCATATATAATTCGAATCGAACCGTATCGATCGCTAACAGCGGCGATTCCTGGAAAAGGGAATTTTTTTTTGTGGTAAAGCGGACGGAGAATTGTAATTTAATTTGAACCAATCAGGGCGATTCGGCCTCAAGGAATTCAAAGTTAATTGGAGATTTTGGGGCGCGTGGTAAAATTCGGGCGTGTCAAAAGGAAAATCACAGGGGGATAGTTTGAAAGTAAAGGGGAGAATTATCGCGGCGATCGTGGAAGTCACCACGCCGCCGATAATATAGGTTTTGCTTAATTTTTCCGGTGAAGTACAGACGCCGGGAACTATTTGGTGAATGTCAGAAAGTGGCACATCGCGAAGGCGCTACCCGGTACCTAAATTAAATTGTTAAGTTCCGCGTCCGGCAAAGGGTTTTGGTACGGGTCGAGGTATAAATAAATTGGTTAAGAAGTGATTAGTAAAGGGCGGTCGATACGGTGAGAATCGGTGATTTTAGTGCGGTAAAGGTGCTCACTGGAAATCGTTTCGAGCATAAGCAATAAGTGTCGACTTTTTCCCCGGACCACCGGGGTAACCACTATTTACTTGCCCATGATCACACCGACAATAGGCAACGCATTGTATTTCATCGTAACCAAACGACGCGACGGGCCCAGAAGATAACGCGAGTTAAGAGGTCAACCAATTCGCTGAGCCCAACTGCAGGATTGGTCAAGGTTAGTTATAAGTTCGTTATTCAGTTCATGTCTGTAGATTTACGTAGGATTAGGTATGTGTATATTTCGTTAATAGGTGGATTTTTTGCTTTATAATAAGAGTTTCAACGGTAGGGTGGCCACCTATTTTTTTTTTATTATATCTCACTAGGAGGTATTTCTAGCAAATAGAGTGTTTTTTTTTGTAAGAAATCCTGGAAAGGAAAAGCCTATTCGGTGACCAATTCGTATTTTAATTGTCAGTCAATATACTGGTTAATTTTGCCTAGTGTTTGTTGGTTTTTTTTTGAACAAGTAAATATACCCACCTAGAAGGAGTTTAAAGGAGTTCGTACGACGAATCCGGGAGAGGTTTGCAGTAAGCATCCCGGAAAGCAAGAGGGATTGTAGTGTATCTGAGCTAGTCGATGGTAATAAATATAATAGTAATTGTTGCATCCCACTAAATCTGACAAAAGAACGCAAAATTTAAGTTCCAAGTCCCAATAAAGAATTACAACCCTTTAAGGGAATTAAGCCCCAAAAACAAACAACCCGTTACAACACAGTGTATACCTATACGAATATGCTACCAGCAATTCATTTCATCTGCCAATTTTCAGCTGATCCACGTGTGTAATTATCACATTTTCTAGACTGTTTTCCAACACCGCTGAGCAGCGGTTTTGACAACTCTAGGTCGTTCATCTTGGGGATTAAAACGTTTTTTTCTGATAAATTGTATCTCTCAAAATCTTCTTTATGAGGCAAATAATTGATGTTTTGCTTTCAATCATCCCCATGCTGAACTAGGTGTTGTTTCAGTGTTATTACATCAGAAACAGGCCCTTCTCCAATCTCATTCATAAATTGAAACATTGCGAATTGGCATTTTTCAGTATTTGGACTAAGAGAAGAAGAAATATACTCCATGGCCTTTTCAATCTCTGAATATTTCCACAGTCCTACCTTTACACCTGATGGTCAATATTCAAAACATAACACTTTAGAACTTAGTCATACAATGTGACATGCGATTTTAAGTTTCTCGGTTTTTATAATTTTGTGAGTGTAAAACGGATCCGTTATTATACGAGGGTTGTCCAGGCAGTAGCAGACGTTTTGAAATAAAAAATTTTAAACTTGTAAAGAAAATCTCTTATTATATACATTTGGGAGCTACACTCTTGGGTTATTTATCAACACAAGCGCCATTCAAATTGAGGCACTTATCATAGCGTGGCACAAGTGTTTTGATTCCAACTTTTATAAATCCGCCGCCTGAGATTGATAACGTGAAAACAACGTTTACAAAAAAAAAGTAAAGTATGCCAGCTAATCAGATCGGCGCAATGGTCGTAGGTAAGTATAATTTATCTGTAATCAAAAAACAATAACTTAAACATTCCACCAAAAGAATTAAACTCATTTACCCAAACACAAAGATCTTTATTCGAAATTAAACCAGGTTTCGTTGGCACGTAGTGAACAATATTAATAATTAAATTCCTGTAATTGAAACTTACAACACACAGCTTTTGTGTCAATATGGCCATATCTTTACAGGTAGCGCTGCAGATTTAGAAGGTAAGTAATTGGTTTGAACACATCAATAATTACCAATGGACAATTTACAATTAGCTACTCTAGTTACGTTAAATTAATATGTAAATATATCAACTTTTAAACAACAAAAGAACAAATTTATTTTAGCTGTCAACTTTTTACCCAAAGTTGTGCTTGTCCACGGTTTAAACAAAAATGACAAATTTGTATGAAAATAAATCAAATCAAAACCAAAACTACATACCAACTGATTTGTGTTTTGTTATAAATTAAACTTCCAAATTCCAGATTGAATATCGGTAGAAATATCCACAGATGTTGATTTTTCACAGAAGGTTACTCCCAACAAATTAACGCTGGCCTCGGCGCCTTTTGACAACAACCTGAAAAACGTCGAACCCCAAACGTGGTAAGTATTTCTTCTGGACAGCAGCTTCGCTTTATATTTAGAACTCGATCCAAAACCATATTTTCAGGAAAACATTAACCATATAAACCCAAAAAATAAAAGGCTAAAAAATATATGTATGAATAAAACGATCAGAAAAAAAACTTACGACTTGGCAACAATTCCCTTTTCAAAAAACCGTCTAATCGAACTCAAATTTCAAGAAAACAACTCTTGGTAGGTAAGTAACTATACGGTACTACCTTTGACAATATTATATTTGCAGTTTGCCATTAATTAGCAATAATTTCTACGGCGTAATTCGTTTCACCGCTGCCGTCTTTTCGCTTTCGTAGCTAACAAGGAAGTATTGGCGCTTATCAATTGGAAATTTTGAGTTCCCTCAAGGTATTTATTGTGAGATAAAATTGAATAGACGAGAAAGTTACACTGTTAAAATAAATTTATTTTACACTGCGAAAATAAATTTGTTACAAGATTTTAACCTGCACTGGCTAACTTCCACCTCTTCCCAGCGATCAAGACTTCGCTCGCAACACAGCACATGGACAGTGATGCCGAACTTCAAGCCGGCGATAAGCAGTGGTTAAAGTCTCAGGCGGCGGATGTATATACAAAGTTGAAATCAAAACACTTGTACCACGCTATGATAAGTGCTTCAATATGAATGGCGACTATGTTGAAAAATAGCCTAAAAGTGTAGCTTCCAAATGTATATAATAAAAGTTGTTTCTTACACTTTCTTAATTTTTTATTTCAAAACGTCTGTTACTTCTGGATAACCCTCGTACATTGGCCAAAATTTATTGTGGGTGGCTTAGGGGTATGGGTCAAGTGGTAGAGCTGATTCGCATTAGGATCTGAACTTCGCCCTTTGCACCTCATCATGACGTGATTTATTTATTTATGTTTTCTAGTGAGTGCAATAAATTCACATTATTATAACTGCATCTGTTGGGTGAACAGATTATAGGTAGCTATTTTTAAACCTCATTCCATAAATAAAAAGGTGTTTTATTTAGGACCTCATCATCCATCGCGTTTCGTTACAGCACTCATTGTTTCTCTTATCTCCAACTTCTGAACACAGTGGACATTGTTTCTTCTCGAAAAAGGTAATTTTAACTTTCGTTTTAGGCCTATGATAATCACTTGAGGCCTCCAAACAAAAAATTTGCTTTCGATACTAGAGATTTCTGTACCCGACTTACGCGAGAAAGTGCACCAAAAATTAAGTAAAAATTCTTTCGAAAATTAAAGAAAAATGTAAAATGGTTAAATGCAAATTTAATAAAACTTGTACAACTCTCGGAAACTATTAAACTTACAGAGCCTTCAATATTCTACATTTTGTTTCGTATAGTAAAGTACCTATGCAACAAAAATTGATATAAAACCTGTCCTTCAGAACTAAAACTAACAATATGCGAAAAACAGTAGAAAAATGGGGTATTTCCGACTGCTGCGTCGCTCGCACAGGTGTATCGATGTCGAAAACTTTGATTTTTCATATCCATATTCTATTCGCACCCTTACAACTTAAAACATAAAAATAGAGATATTTGATGCAAGGCAAGGAATGCCCATTTTTAGCGCATTTCCACAAAAATAAAAAAAAAATGCGCTATTGTGGCCACTTTGTCCGTCCGTCCGTCCGTCCGTCCGCTAACTTTGCGACGCTACTAGTTCTTTATCTTAAGAGCTATTGTTCTACTTTTTTCGCTATTTGGTTCGTTATGGTGTCGAGTCTTGTACCAAGGAAGGAATTTTTTCTGTACCGCTTACAAAAAAAGTTATTGTAAAAAAAACAAAAAACCGTTTTTTACATGTTCCATAATTTTACACTTTTGCCGTTTATTAACGATCCTAGAGATCGTTTATAATTTTTCATTGCTATCTGTCGCCTGCCGGTTGGTCTCTCCGTCTGTTCCTTTGTCTGTCTGTCCATCTATCTGTCCGTGTGAACGATAACTTTGTTTAGAAATGTTCGATCGCGTTTACATCTCCGTTAGTTATGAACTGAATTGCATGAAATTCAATATGGGCATAGCTTTAGCCATATAATACGCAATGCCAAAAGTTGAATCGAATCGATTCAAAATTCACAGTGCCCTTTTCGCATCTCGACCATTTATAAACCGAATTGCAAACTTTTTTACTTATAAAAGTATTTGAATGAAATTTGATACATAGGCACTTGGAATAAAGGAAAATCAAACGCCAATTTCAAAATTTAGTTTTGCGCATGCGCAGTGCCAACTTTTTTATTTATGGAAGAATTTAAACGAAATTTGATACATAGGCACTTGGGATAAAGGAAAATCAAACGCCAATTTCAAAATTTGGTTTTGCGCATGCGCAGTGCCAACTTTTTTATTTATGGAAGAATTTAAATGAAATGTGATACATAGGCACTTGGAATAAAGGATCATCGAGCGCCAGTCTCAAAATTTTCTTTTGCGCATGCGCAGTGCCAACTTTTTTATCTATGGCACCATTTAAGTGAAATTTGATACTTAGGCGCTTGGAACAAAGGAAAATCTAACATTAGTTTTAAAATTTAGGTTTGCGCATGCGCAGTTCCAACTTTCTTATTTAGAAAAGCATTGAAATGAAATTCTTCTCATAAACTGAAATTGAAGTAACACGTCAAAAATGGATTGCCCATGTGCAACGCTATCTTTCATATTTGTGGCCGGATTTTTACGATTTTAACAGAAGTTGCATCTTATAAATGGGAAATGAATGCAAGTGGAAATGCGCTTTATGTAAATCGTTTACGATTGCTTTTTAACTTGTTTGACTGTACTATAGAATAATAGCTAATCTAGTCTTTGTTATATTAAGGCAGTTTTCCATGTATTGTATTTAAAGCCCGTGGTGTATACGAAATGTAGGGAGTGGGTATAGAAACTGCAGTGTTGTTTTAAATGACGATTAAATGACTTTATTACATTTCTGGATTTCCGGTGAAATTTAATTTCTTTCCATACACCACACTATCGACCGGTTGCAGGAAAGCGAATTATAATCAAAATCTTACATTATTTGCCAAATCTGAGTTTAATCAAGAATTTTGACATTTGATTGGCTGCATACTGCAGTAGCTATACCTAAAGCCAATCAAATGTCTTAATACCGGATTAAACAATGATCCTGGATTATTTTTTTTTGTGCAACCGGCCGTATATCTATATCCACCATTTATGTTTGTTTGCACTTGTTTAAAAAATAGCGGATGTACTTTAGTCATTCATTTATTTCAAAACCGTAGTCGAGTTTGCCAATTCTGCTGATTCACATATTAGAGTTCAAAAAGGTTTACATGTGAAGCCATTGATAGGTTTTCTTTAAAACTTACGTTATCATTACATATACCACGGCCTTGATTTAGACACTAATCAAGACAGGTATAGAAACACGAATTATCGAAATTTGCACGTTTTGAACTTCTACCAGATGCGAAAGTAATACATATACTGGTCACTTGATTTTAAAAAAATTGAGTATTGAATCTTTAAACTTTGTTAAATTTGGAAAGCTTGAGCCACAGTTTTGGTTTACACGTCATGCCAAGATAACAGAACTGAACCCAGGAGAAGTGTAGATACACTGGCATCTACTCCAAACTCCAAGGGAAGTTTCTTCGAGTGCAACACAGAAGACATTTTTTCTTGATCATAAATTTCCTTTGGAGTGAATATTCCGAGGGCCAGAGTCCGGTATTCTTGAGTGGAGGGTGGTAATATATATTTTTGGGGAGAGCATATAGGTATGTCTAATGTTACGGAGACGAATATTCCGCTAGTTAATTTTCGAGGAAAATATCGGGGAGCGATTATTCCACATAGGTACACAGGGCGAGAATTCACAAGGCTATATTTCCCGGAAAAAATACCCTATCAGTGAATATTATAGGTGCACTTTTATCTAGCGAAGAATTTAACAGATCCATCTGCGGTATAACTCCCAATGCATAATTGTTTTGGAATGTGGTTGAACGTTTGACGTACAACACAGGAAACAAAATATTCAATAAACTGCTACAAGCTAGTCAAACTCCGTGTACATTTTTGGCCCCTAATTGATCGTGGACTGTTCATTTCGAACAGAAGAAATAGGAAACGTCCCCGATATGAACAAAAATTCTGATAATTCAATATTGAAAATGTAACATCCAAGTTACAATGCGATATAAATAAATATACTGATCTAAACTAAGTTGAACTTTTCGTAATAGTTTCATGTTTGGTATGGTTTTGTTTATTACTTAAATAAATAAATAAAACTGAGATTTGTTTAGTTTAAAACTTTACATTAATAAACATTTTTTTTATCTAGCATGATATTACTGCGTGGTGTGCTTGGCCATAACTACTTATTTGATTTAAGTCTTTATGTTACAGGAGAACTCCTTGGCGGTCATGTACGAGCTGTGTTCACGTTAATCACAATTGTTTTCATCATATGTGTCATCTGTACCGTTACGAGCTTTAAAGAAATTCCCCTACCATTACTCGAAATCGTAGGTGCCGCAGAGGACTGTTCAAAGGACGAATGTACAAGGATAATTAAATCTACGGATGTAAGCTATGGAGCCTTAGCTGAAAAAGAAGATGTAGTATCTATAATCTTGTAACACTGAAACTCTATCCTTTCATTTTAGAAAGATTCTTCAGGAGATGAAGCCGAAGTGAAAAGGTCACAGTGAGAGAGTACCAACAACGGCTTAGTATGGCACCTCCACCCAACGCGTCTTTGGCATTATACTTAAAAAGCATTATTTACATGCCTTTCTCATTAAGAATTTTGTGTTTAACAAATCTCTTCTGCTGGATGGCACACGTCTGCTATTCATTATATTTCACAGATTTTGTGGGTGAAGCTGTATTTAATGGAGACCCGACAGTATGTCAAATACTGCAGACAACGCTAACTCATTTACAACTTTTAGGGCATTGAAGGATCGGAAAGCAGGCAATTATACGAGGAAGGTATTCGATTTGGTTGTTGGGGAATGTCAATGTATTCGCTATGTTGTGCTTGCTATTCGCTTGTAATTGAAAAATTTATAAAGCGGTTTGGGTACGGAATATATTTTAAAGGTCATCAATGGAATTAGATTATTTATAGAGCGAAATATGTGTACGTAGGAGGACTACTGGTTTATTCCTCAGGAATGATATTGATGGCAATTACAAAGCACAAAGTTGGAGTAATCCTCTTCAGCGGGACGGCGGGTGTAATGTATTCCACATTATTTACTATGCCATATTTACTGGTTGCGCATTATCACGCAAAAAAAACGGTAACTAAATTGCGTAATTTCAATGAATCATATTAGATCTCTTCCAGTTTCAACCATCTAGCGATTTGTGCACCATAAGTGCACCAGACAAACAAGTACGAGGATTGGGAACTGACGTCGCTATCGTGTCTAGTATGGTATTTTTAGCACAATTTATTTTATCAATGGGAATAGGTAGCGTTGTTTCAATCTCTGGAACGACAACGTCAGTTGTCGTGGCCGCAAGTTTGCTGGCGACCTTTGGAGCGATTTCCGCGACGCAAGTTATGTATTTGGATCTCTAATTGACATCGCCCTACATTGTACCTCATTAAATGTTTTGTCTGTGTCTAATAAATGTAAATAACACCCCTTAATAAAACAAACAATAACGGACAAATTTGCTTACATGCTTAAACTCACTGACCCTCTATATCTTCTTCATCTTCAAGCCAGTCTGATTCGATAATAACGTCACAATTTGCCCAGGACACAGATACGTTTTTAAGGTCCATGGTAAAACCACGTTCAACGCCATGCAAGGACTTACTAAAACTATCAACTTGCCAATTTTACATTAAATTTAGACACATCATGAAATAATTTCCAAATAGACATCTTCATCATGCAGATCTATTTCTGTGCAATACACGCAATAATGCTGGTATTCTATGACTTACAAGGGCTGAACAATTTAGGTAAAAAAGCATTTTTGTACTTAATAATATACTGGATAGATACCAATATTTATAGTTTGATACTAATGAATTAATTTATTTTTGTAGTGCCGATCACTGCCAAAACATTACACGAAAAGCTTGATAAGAAAACAATAACAATTTTAATTTTAGATTACAGGTGAAGCGTACCTATCACGTCATTAAGTGCCTTATAGTGTAGGTATGTCAATGATTATTAAGTAGTCTCAATTGCTATAGCTTTTTTCTTTGCGTCATTGAATCACTTTGCAATGACATTGGTGCTCCAATACCTCCGTAACTGTACAAAAAGGAGACACAAATTGCGGTGCTGAAATCAAAAGTTGCAGGCAAAATTGTAATCTTTTAGACCGGAATCCTATGTTTGAGTTTTTTTTCATACGGGGACTTCAGTTCGCCGGAAAGCGACGGCAATTAGGTATGTGGTCGATACGACTGCAAAATTCGGTTCGTGTGCGTGCACCCTTATTCTTTCGAATTCCTTAGTTTGTTTTATTATAATTATAGCGTAGGTAGTTTACTCATCACTTACCCTCACTTTACTTTGACTAAGGGTCGTGAGTGCTACCTTCTAATTACAAATACATTTGTAAAGAAAATTAAAAATTCGGTACGTTACATAAACTTTGGAACTTTTCGCACTATTATGACTGATTCTATTCGTGTATGAGCAGAGTGCTCCAAAGTCAATCTGGTATTTACTAACAAGATACTGATAATTATGCACAAAGTGTGTGTGAATAAAAATATGGACCTATCTTAAACTTCCGAATAAGTTTACTTTATCCAATATTCCACTCTAATATGACTTTTACGGGTTAGATTTTAACTAGTAAAGTGGAGTATAACTTGCTTTGTTTCCCTGCAAATTTGTATAGAAAATTTTACTTTACTTGCTTACTAGACCTATTCCGTATTTAACATTATTTTTTTATCCCTTAACTTAAATTGATTTGTTGGTTCCAAGTTCATACATATCCCCAAAATTACAAAGTTAAAAATTTTTAAATATTCATAACAAATAATAAATTTCTTCCATGGGGATCGCAGTTGGAAGCGTCCCCATTACACTTGCCGCATTGCCACGTTGTATAACAATACTGATTTTTTGTCTTAAATAACTAGTAGCTCGAGGTTCTCCAGTAATACTGGCAATACGTTTTCCTAAACACTCCACAAAATTACGAGCCTCTCTGCACCAAGGTCCCAAAGTCTCTACTGCGAAAGGTATAAAAATATGGTTCTGTTCTATAATTGAACAATATTTCCTTATTTTTATACCTGCCGCAGATTATTATTATATTGTAACGTAAATTTAATTACGTGATTTATTTATTTACAATTAACTATAACAATAAATTTATAACAGTGTTAAAATGGATTAATTTATAATAGTAATTATTGTTTTATCACTCACTATTTATAACATAACACACACGCATCGATGTTGAAACTGACTGGCAACGCAATTCGATTTGCTTATATACCAAACAACAATCTTTCTAAAATGTTCTCGAGTGCTCAAGAACACTTCCGAATGTTCTAGAAAACATATTTCCCGGAACGAATGCGTCCACATCCGCCTTAGTTTCTTATCGCTGACGTAATCTTTCATCGTGGCTCGAGGAATTACAAAAGTGAGCCAAAAATTAGATCCGTTTGAGTGCAAAATATCTCACTTGGAAGATGCCGATAAACGTAACCCTAGAAAAACGAGAGTGAAGCAGAGAAATTTGATTATCTTTGGGGAGGAAGCAACTAACTCAACTGAAGTAGATCAAATCGTACTAGATTTGGTTAGCATCGGAATGCGCACCAAATTTACTATACACGACATCGCCTTCCTAGAATCAGGATTATCCGCGATTATCGTCCTCTTGGTGTTAGTTATAATGGAAGAAGAATGAGATCTTTGTTAACAAAACGCATTGCAAATGGTCAAACATATTTATTTTCGAACATTTCCAGAAAACGGTGGAGTTAAAATGCAAAGAATTAACGCCACTGCTCTAGATTCGAAAAAAAGGAAAACGCGCAATAATTAAATACGATAAGTTCTGTCACTGCTTTTTTTAGCTTATCTTTTAAAGATAAAAATGTGATATTATCAGCGTTTAGATTTTGATAATGCGTGACGCAGTGGAGAGTCTGTGGAATCTCGATTGATAAATGTAGTAGGTCCTATACTATTAATCCAGTACAAACTACTTCGAGTAGATAAGACAAAAAGTACAGTAAGTATTCCTTGGTACAGATTTGAAAGATCTTCATTAATTCGCACACACGTTGGGTACCTTCGTATTTCTGCGAGAGCTTTGCACATAACATGTAGGTGCCTAGCACTGACTACTCAATTCAATTTAATTTTTCTTTTTTTTTAATTGCGTGCAATTTTTGTTCTAATTCAATTTGTTTACGGTAGCCGTCTAATCTTGAAAAATATAGATGTTGATGTTCTGGTTTCTTCGGCCCAAAGCTTACCGTCAGAAGGTCAATTCCCTGCTTTTGAGACAAGTCGCTTTTCGATCGGTTTTACAGGCAATACTATACCACAGATATACCTTGGCAAGTATATCTGATCTGACATGACTATACCTACCATCCTTTGCTTTTTGGGACATTTGTTTTTTGCATACTTCAATTCAAGTCAATTTTCTCATTCGACTTTGTTACCCCGTTTTGGATTCTACAAGAAAAGAGCGTTTCGCCCGATAGATCTAAGAGAAGTCGTTTTGGATAAATTTGAAAGGCATATATTATAGAATGTGTCTCTGGTTTTACCAAACCCCCCTCCGCTACATCGATGTCAACTGCTTCCTAGGCACCACAATCATCTCCGATCAGCTTCCATTGCTGGTTCGTACAAACTTCATCCCGCCCCCTATTCTTCCGCCCACTGTGATTTACAAACTTCTCCAGTCAACTGAGAAGCCTGGTCCAACGCATCACAGAAAACATTCTGCCACACCCCTTCCTCGAAACACCCCACGACAGTCGACACACTCACTAACCACCTCGACACTATCTCCGATGCAGTCTTCAGCGCCAGTTCAACATACTGATCGGCAACAGGAAAGTCCAACAAACCCACCTGACAGACCAAGGAGGCAATATAGTATCCACGGACAAAGATAAGGCAGATTTATTTGCCAGACACCTATACATCAAGAGACATTCCAGTCACTCGACCTTTCCAACTACGACCTCGAGTTTAAACTGGTGATTGAACATCTGCTAGATATTCCCTGAATTACCATGATAAAGATGGCAAAATTCCTGTTATCATGCCTCGTCCAATCAAACTACCAGAGTAAAAGTTGCCAGCCAACTATCCGATCCTTTCACACCCCTTTGCAGAGGTTCCCAAGGTTGACGTCTCTCACTCTAAACGTAGGATCCTACCATAGAGGAAGTATTTTCTCTATGCTCCTACCTACTTAACATCGTACGCTGAACGACACTCTCACACGATACACCGCTTGGACAAATCGTTGGAGAATCCAGTTAAACCCCGAGAAAACACAAACGCTATTCTTCAGACACTCCAATTACGGTAGAAACCCACGACAACAACACAAACACGTTCACCTACCCCTGAAAAATACGCCTCTGCTGTTCACCAACCAAATCAAGTAGGTAGGTACTTGAGAGTCCATTTCACAGGTAAATTGACACAACTGCAGAGCGCACTCCTGGGTCGCATCTACGGATGTAGCCCCAAAACTCTCCAAAAAGAAAAGTTATAAAATATTAAAAAAAACACGCTTACAAAACTTACCTACTTCAGACCACTTACCGATTACATAGCCCCCCGTATTTACTTCGCCCTCTCTTCTAATCAACATCAACTCGCCGCCTGTGATCGCAACATCCTACGCAAAATACACAGACTCGACCCATTCTACCACTACGATCTTACCATCCAACACGCAAACATAGAACCAATCACACTCAGACTCACATCCCTACAACAAAATTTGCCCACCGCAGGGTTCAAGGCGACACTCTACCCACCAAGAAATCCTACAGATCCCTTGCAAGAAATCCGCCACAGGAGGACCTCTTCTTCCCCGAAAACCCAAAAATAAATTCAAATTCTCTCCCATTCTCAGAATTCAACTACTCGAAGACCTACCCCAGGAATTCCTTGACAACGCCCCTTACACCATTCGTTAACGCAAAGTAAAAAAGTACAAATACTGCCTTCTATTTCTTTCTTTTCAGAGAAGGGCGCGCGAATCGGAATCCAACTGCATCCACCACCATCACCAATTCAACACCGACCGCGAACGGACCATGAACTCCACCCCTAAGACAACGACTCGCAACACAGTGCAACGCTGCTAATGCGCAGAAACTCAAAAGCAAAATACAAGCCGTGCGCTAGCAACCGCTGGGAAAACTTGTCCATTGATTCTTACTTCAATGGCGTTTAGTCCACTAACGCACTAGGCAGGCTGACTACGGTAGCCAAATTACAGCATCCATCCCACACATTACTTATTCAAACCCACCTCAAAGAGAATTCATGTGTGGGATTAGTTACCGCGTGCCCCTAGTGGGTTACTGGTCTATAGTATCATGCTCGTTATCATTACTATGGCACTGAAAACATTCAAGTAAACTGCGCAAATTTTATTGATTGATTTTATTAACATACTTGTGCACTTAAAAACAATTACCTAATGGACGGAATAAATAGCACTACAAAGTATCATTATTAAGTTCTCAAATGAGTCAAAGATTTGTCTAAAATGTCTTTCCGAATTCTTGGATAATCAGGATGAATCTTTAAAACTTGTTGTGAAGTGTCAATCGCTTCTGCGTAACGCTTTGACTTCATAAAATTAAAAGCCAACTTATAACCTATGGAAGGATTTGCTCTCCCAGAGTACTTCCACGCGTTATCGTAGTAATTACAAGCATCCTTATAAGATTGCTCCTTTTCTGCAATGAATCCTAAAAATTCATAAGCCTTTGTGCACGCTTTATTATGCTGCAAAGTTCTTTGCAACAAATCTTTGGCGGAGTCAAACTTGGACGCCTGAATGTAAAAATCCGCTAAAAGTAACCAACAGCGTTCCAAATATTCGGCATCCTCAAAATTCCACACTGACTTCACAACGCGCTTCAGTTGATTTTTGGCTCTTTGCGCCTGTTTCAGCATTGTGTGGGCTGTCGCCATGCCAAGTATAGGGCCAATCTCCTCTCTATATAAAATATCATTGGACGCCAAACTTGTAAAATCTTCCAAGGCCTTTTCTACATTTGCCTTTTCTTTAGTTGCTAATAACAAGAAATTCCCTAAAAGCCTATGTTTCAAATTTTCTTCGTCCAGCCCAGTATTTCGCTGCTTTAATTCTTTCAATAATCTCTCAGCTAAAAATAATAGCATTTAATACCCGCTTGTGCTCATTTAACACTTACCAGTTTTAAGAGCCATACTCCTGGAATCTCTATAGTCACTGTCATCAATGTCAAAAAACTGTTCTCCCAATATTTCGTCTTCCGGATTTAAACATATCTCAATCATGCTACATATTGCACGCTTACCCCACTCTGGATCGAGTCTGGCATTGTTAAAATTACGAAGTGCGGCATTAAGGTTTCCCGAATACCACTGATACATTGCAGTTGCAAAAGAAAAACCTAAAACGAAAGTTACACGTGAAAGATACGTGGGTAATCACCTGGATTTTTCACGGATTTATTCATTGCAGCTTCCGCTTGTTGTAGATAAGGAACGACTTCTTCAAGTTCTCCAGTACGTCGCATTACCTCGATGAATCGTACCAACGCCTTCCAGTTTGTTGGCTGTTTACTGAGTAAATGTGTAAAATGGAAAGACGACATATCAAAATCGATCTACAGTAATATTCATATGTTAAGTTCATAATAAGTGAAAACAATCTGCACCTTTCGGAAGGCAATATCTGCTAACATCACGGATGCTTCTTCATTGTCAGGATCAAGTTTGGATATCATCGCACAGGTTTGCTGGCAGAGTTCCAAGTTATTAATCTAAAAAACCTTTAGAATAGTTTTGTCTGTCAGTTGACTGTCACAGTGTGGACAAATAAAGGACTACATATTTTCCAATTACATACCTGAATATACAACTGTGCCAAAGATTGTAAAATAGATAAATCATTTGGAAAAATTGAGATTGCTTCTTTTAACAATGCGATTCCTCCCTCATTATCTTTTAAGTTAACTGATATTTCTGATAGTTGCATACAAATGTCTTTTAGAACATTCTGTTCTCCGTGGGCAACATCTACAAAAAATATTTTAGTCCAAAATCAAAAAATGACTCTCCGAAATAAAATTTATGTGATGATAGGTGATATTGTACGATAGTGTTGGTATTTTTAAAAATGTAAAAAGTTTACACAGATCCAAAGGGTCCACACACTTTTAATTTCAATCGCGCCAACTTACCAATGTGATCCAGAGACATTCGTTTCAAAACACGACTTTGATAATCCTTCGCATTCCTCAACATTTTTTGGGCGCCTAACAGATTCCCCTTTTTTCTATATATTTCTGATAACATCACGAGTAGCTTAGCTTTATATTGTAACGTAGATAAATCTTCTTCCAATTTAGTGTCTTCTTTTTCAAATTCTGCAGTTATAAACATTTCTGCATTGTCATTATTGTTTGGTAACCTCATATATAAATCTGCTAACTGTAACTTTAATTCCATATCATCGGTGAGCTTTATAGCCTCCTGATAGTAAGACACGGCCTTTGCAAAATAATGAGTCTCTACAAACGCTTTACCCATTTTAGAACACAAGGCGGGATCAGTTGGATTCATTCTAACGGCTTTTTCGTATGTTTCCAAAGCTTTATCAACCTCTGAAATCATAATTGTTCAATGTTAAAATTTGCTTGCGACTGTAAAGTTAACAGTTTTTATAAAAATCAAAAACAATATCGGTCCAAATAAAGATCCATGTGGAAAATTCGCTATTGTAAAAACATATTATTTCATCATTGTTGCCATATTGTTTGAATTGTTTACCTATTCACTTCTAAAATGTTATATATTTAAAAAAACAGGGCTACTAATTTTTTATTATTTCGTTCGGTTTTATTTCCACACATAGATAAATAACCACAAGCAACAACAGCCTAGTCTACATGACGCTGGTGCGTTTTTTTCCAATGATTCTAGACACACCCTTGGGATTTGGCGCAATGCCCGCTTGATCCGAGGTTTTATCCTCGAACCGGGATTCCAAAGCTTCGCCTTCTGTGCGCCAGTCCTATTCTTCTTGCGAATATGAGCTGGCCCACCACCAGGTCTCCTCTTTCGACGAGCGTGCCAGCCCTACTTTCGTGCACGTTCGCTATGAAGCGGTATGTGTCTAAATTTCCTAAATTCAAAAAAAATTTTTTGAAACGATAAAGTGGCCACCTGTTTGATTTCTCTGAAAACAACATTTGTTACATCCGTAACGAAACAGAATATAAAGTACGCTTACTTTCTGTGGTCATCACGCGTAACGCTCGGCAGCCAAAGACGAGTTCGGCCCGCTCACATGGCTCACAATCAACGAAGCACCCGTTTGGTACAAGGAATTATACCGGTTTTAATGACCACCTGGTATATGGATCAGTAATAGGGCGCTTCGTTACTAAGAAACTTTGTAGCTTGAAGGTTTAATTTTTCTAGGAGTTGGAAATAAAAGGTGAAAGTAATTGGTCTGTACCAAAATACAGCTCTGTTGGAATTGCTATTTGAAATGTCTATTTTGACCATACATGGGATTCCCCCAATGAATCCAATGTGACAATGAAAACTAGATTTTTTATTTAAACAAAAAAATAAAATAAGAAATATAAACATTTGTTAATTATGAAACAAGTAAATAAATAAGACGTTTAATACTTACCTAAGACATGTAAATAAGCATCTGCCAAAAGGATGCAGCTTTCAGGTCCACGATCCACTTCGACCATATCTAAATAGCACTGTAAGTATGCCTTAGTATCTTTACGATATTCCAAAAGAATATTCGCCAATTTTTGCTTCGCCTGTAAATAATACGACTCGTTCCGTTTAACTCTAGTCAGCATATCGATTGCATGTTGAATTTCGTGCTTCTCAATGGCCTGATCTGCATTTAAAATAACAATGCGTGCCTCTTCAGATGTGCCTCGAAACTCGTCCACTGCAGACTCAGTGAGCTTAGTCGCTTCATGTAATTGACCGGCTTGCATATGGGAATCGATCAGTTCCAAGTAAATGGTCGCTTTGTCATAGAGTGAAAGGGAAGAAGCAGTTGATAGGATACTAGGTTGGGAATTTGAAAGCTCTAAGGCAACTTTAAAGCATTTGATAGCTTCATCTTGGTTGTTACGATTTTTTTCTATTATGCCCATGATAAAATGATAGAGAGGGTTCTCTCGTACCGCGAAGTTATGACTAAGTCCTAATTCTAAACTTTGTGACGCTCTTTCAAATTGGCCAATATACAACTGTATTTGGGCCATGAGTAAGTAACAGTTTGTAAAATTGGAATTCGGATTCTGTAAAATTTGCTCCAAGTTGGCTTTAGCCTTTGTGGCGTCCCCATTTAAAAACTGTACGGTTGATAGCAAATACTTAGTCTCTTGGATGGACGGACATGCCTTTACAATGACATTCAAAACAGTTTCCACCTTTTTTGCAATAGGGCCTGGTTTCTGTAAATGCTTCTCTTTTGTAATTAATGCAGGCGCTTGTGGCAAGTGTAACAGCAATTCTTTACACACTTGCAACATAAAGTCTGCATCTAAAGTCAGTAGATACTCTGTACCGTACGGCAGCCTACCAAGAAAATGTAAGTGCTGTTCGCATATTTCGCACAAACTTTGCAAAGACGATTCCCGTGTTGATATTTTCGCTTTTAAAAATAGCAACTTTGGGTACTGAGATGATTCATCAAGTTCAACTAAAAAATTCACTTGGTGTTTAACATGCTCATTTGGTCCATACTCGAGCAGCTCACAAAATGACATTCCTATCAAAACCTGCAAATCCGAATCATCTAATTTCATTGCAGACTTATACAGTCTAACTGCATCACTTAAATTGCCCAAAAGCATGGAATGGTATGCCAATTCGGCCATATAATTTACATTATTTATGGAGATTTCTAGTGCCTTCTCAACCATTTTGTATGTTTCAGAAAGGACCAAGTGATTCCTTTCGCAAACTCTAGAAAATAATTGTGCATTCTCCACTAGTAGATCTCCATTGAGAGGCTCAATCTTATATAATCTTTCGCGGCACTGTTGTATGTAATTTGAGGCTTCTTCGTATTTCCCATCATTGCAAATTAGCATTAAAACTTTTATTCTCAATACGTCTACGTTATCTGGTTCTGAAATTGATATGCGTTTAATTACGTCTACGCACTGATCCCAATTTTGTAAGGCAAAATTTAATTTCATCTTGAGTAGTAAGGCCAGAGGTGTCGATGGAAATCGAACAACCACCTTGTTTAATACTGCTACAGCTTCGTCATAATTTTGCTCGTGCATGTAACTTTCAACAATTCCCAATGAGCTACTGAAATTTTTACCATTGTCTTTCAGTGACATTTCAAACACTTGTGATGTTTGGAACTCAGAGAGCGGATTTGTTTTAAGTAAATACAGCTGAATCCATCCCTGAAGTGCCAACAGTTCAGCATTGGACGGTTCAATAACTAAAGCACTCAGAATGTACTCATGGGCATCTTCGTACCGTTTAAATGCAAACAACACAAACGCCACATAATACAAATCAATAAAGGTTGCCGAAACTTTGTAATCTTGTACGCGCTTTTGTAATTTGACGTATTTATCGTTCGATGTCGCTCCAGTCAATTTATAGACCTGCATGTACGCATGAACCACTGATAAGCGAAAGTCGTTCTCTGATTTTAAGCAGTCCAGTTCTCGAACGCTCTGTTCAAATTGCTGGCATAGCATTAAAGCTACGCAATTATAAAAATTGAAAGCTACATCACCCCTAAATTTGGCAATCCCGTCTTGGCAGGCGCCTAACATGCAATTGTAATATTTCTCTCTGCAGTAATAAAAAATGAGAGCTTTTAAATCTTGCTCGTCCATTATTTGGTCCCACTTGCTAGATGCACTTGTACTGTGATCAGTTAGGGCGAGTGTAGTCTGAAACAAAAGAATTATTTATTTAAAGAGAATTCGTACAGTACAATTCCCCTATCTAGCGCCTTATATTTCGTAAACTAGACATTTGGAGGAAATAGTTTCTATATACCTACATTATTAAAGAGCATTAGATTTGTAACAATTTAAGTATAACTGCAGCAGCAAGAGTCATTTCGATTCAATATAGGGTGGTCAAACCATAACATTTGGAATATGCATTACTTGAAATGCAAATCTGAGGGATGGGACGGTAGGATAGCACATATACACCCGTGCTATTGCTCATATTATGATATTATGACATACATAGCACATTCGTACAGTCCCCAATGTCAAGGTTATTTGATTTCAAAGGTTACCTGGTAACTATGTGGGCGGAAACGGGAGGGACGGAATGTATACGTCATCGAGAATACCGACATTGACGTTCAACGTTGTTTGTAGTCGAGCGGGTGCTTATTTTTCTTGAGTTTATTTGTTTAAAATTTGTTGAATTTTGAATTGCATAAGGACATATATTAGCTGTAGATACCTGTTTGGTGCAATATAAGGACATTTAGTTTGTGAATTTTGTGGGTTTTCATAGCCGTGATTGAAAGGTTAGTTCATCAATTATATGCACTTTTGTATGTTATAATTACGTATTTTTTAGATGAGTGGCGGTAACACTAATATTCCTCATCCTGGTGTAAATAAAATCTCGTTTTTTACGTTTCCCAAAGACCCTACCGTTCTTAAAGAATGGGTAAGAAAATGTTTCACATCCGGCAGCAAACTAAAACGTGCTGCGCCCTCGTTGGTCAAAACGGCCAACCGATGAAAGCGTAGCGTCCCTGGCCGCAAACGTTTAAAAGCAGAGCCACGAACTCTGCAAAGTGCAACGCAATTCCTGCTTCGACTGCACTTCAAGAAACAAAAAGCTCTCCAACTGCAGTACCAGGTCGCCTTGCCAGCTCGACCTCGCGCCACACTCCATCAGTCAGAAGACATGCATCAGGGCTCACCCCAACGACAGAGCTCGCCGTTTGCACCTCGGTTACCACTTTGTACATACTATAAATATACATATTCCATAAAACGCAACAGCATTTTATTTGGCGTCATCCGCTAAAGAATGTTTAGAGTTTTAATTCCCAAAGCCTAGGTATTAATACATAGGGGTGGTTCCTATTTTGTAAATCGCGGAATTTTATCCATTTCTACCTCTAAAATTAATTTGATTACATTTTCACAAGTCCTCGTGCAATGTAAAATAGCTTACGCACCACACTCATTTTTTCAATACTTTGATTGCTTTCAAAGGTGGAAGTCCATAAACTTCCAAGATTTCCAATATAAGATCCACTCTTATATACATATACCCATATAAATCCAAAAATATACTGCAAAAACTAAATTTTTAACCCCTTTTAGTAGCATTGTAACCTATGAGCAATTTTAAATGTGTGTTCTGGATGACGTTTTCCCGCCTTCAAAATGCAAGCATCCTATTGGTTTAGAGTTACCAGACAACCTTTCTAATAAAACAACCTTGCCCCAATGTAATATCCCACACTGAGCAACTGTTATAGGAATCAGTAACGGCTTATCTACATTTTTAAATTCTTTCAATGAAGCAATAATATACTTTTTTAACAAAATAAAATACAAGTTATTAGAAGCTAACAACAATAATTTTTAAATGAAACAAAAATTTGGTCTTTTAGTAAAATAAAATGTTTAGGGAACTAGGTATTTACTTTTCAGGTCTTCGGTATTTATTCGTCTTTCCAATAGCCTTCCTTACTTAAAAGAAATTTATAAAAATCTACACAATTATAATGTTTGAAATTGTTCTTTATTTGTATCAGTGACGAGACTGTTTCAATATTCAATCAATTCCTTTATTTTATTCTTGTGCCACTAGTGAAAATATTCTTTCAGCATTGTCATTATGAGCAGGAAAGCAAAAAAAGTACCAAGTACGCAATTTTCATTCTTCTCCGAGTACCTATAAATGAAATGAGCATTCGGTGTTTTAAAAAATTGTTACCAAAAGCTGATTTGCGCTTGAAAGTTTATCTTGTTGGCTTAAATTTTGACAGAAAGATTTTTAATTCACCCACTCAGTAGCTCAAAACCCGGACTGCCATTGAAAACCCGCCAGGACGCGCCCTAAACTAGGACAAATCTGGGGAAATCTGGACGGATGGCAACCCTATCTATACAGCATGTTTGAAAAAACAATGTGCACCCACTCATATATGTGCTTATGTTCATATTGAAATAGTTTTCCGAGTGACAATGCACCCTATTTTAAATCCATCAAACTGCATATATAAAGCACACGGCCGAGTATTATGGAAACACAAATTGTTTATTATTTAAGTGCTTTTCAAACGTTCTTGGTTTTAACAACTAAAATAAAACTCACGATAGTCATACCTAGTTACCTACTTACTTTGATTATAGCTGAGTACTGATAGATTTTTGCCTCGGAAGGGTATTGTTAACCACTGTCTGCTAGAACTTCCGCTAACTCCACATAGCTAAAAACACATGCATCAAACACATATTGCAAAAGTTAGAATTGCACCAGATAGAAACGATTCTATGTAAAACAATTATTCTTACACTGTAGGATTCACTTATTTTTAAACGTAACATGAACAAACGTAACGATGGTAACGAAATGTATACAAAACAACAAAACTTAGGTTATGTTTATAATTGTCAATCCTTAAACCACAGATGCCAGTTTTTAATTTCTATAAATGTCATATAAGGTGCTTACAAAACAGATTAACATCGCTATAGTGCCGGAACAGCACAGCACAACCAGTTTGTGTTTGACATGTATCGGGAATAAGTTTACTGTTTAAAATTCCATATTAGGCTGCAGCAGCATACCATCAACAGTTCCCTTCGTAAATGCTTATTTTTTGCAGCATGTGTTCCACTTTTGAGTACAGTTTGAAAATTGGCATACGCTCGTTGGCCCGTCCTCTTAATGCCCCCTCTTCCTCTCCTGGGCAAAGAGCATTGTGCCAATTTTCATAGCTTACTCAAAAGCGCGAACCTTTTTCCAAATCTCCCAGATTAAGGAACACTCACGGGGAAGCGCGAAGCATGGTTCAGCTGTACTTACGTTCTTACCGTCCTTTTGTCTTAAAAAAATAACGGTTTTTATATATTCTTCACAATTCTACCACCTAACCCCACTCTCTGACATTACTGTATATTCGGCTTCCAGTACCTCCCCCAATCTCAATGGCAATTCCATCTATGACACAATCCACGTATACCTATCTGAATTCCTAATATGAAAGTGGTATAGGAATTGTCCTTTTTCCCCATATCTTGTCAGAAACTGATAAGTGATCTGAAGTCTGGAATGAACCGTTTTGTCCATAATTGTCTACGCTTCGACCCTCACTGTAGCAATTATATGCCCTGATAGCGCCCCCTCCAATGGCACCATTTTAAAAGGGATAGCAAGCAAGCCGTCATATCTCGGTCTATTTTCCATTTGACTGCCTCCAGGCCCTATACCCCACCTGCGTAATATACTTATACACTTGATAGCACTTGCTAAAACCTTTATTTTTGAAGCTGTAGCTGGGTTTGTGCATAAATGGTTAGGCTCATAGTGTCATGTAAGTCATCCTCCTCCTACCGCGGTGCGTGCAATGAAGAGCGCGTTTTGTTTTCTCAGGTACTTAGAGCAACTAGCAACTTAAGAGCCCTGCAGTTATCAAGGTCCACCAACGCTAACTATCTGGAATCCTTCTTGAAATGCTAACCGCAGGTAGCATTCCGTCCACAGATGGGGATCGATCCCTATGGAACTCTCGCAATACACCCGAAGTCATACTTCCTCCCGTTTAGTTTTACTATAGACAGTCATGAATAATTCATACCAAATAATCGAGGCCAGTCCTTCTTTCTAAGCGCGTTGATAGTGTCGGATCTACCCTCAAAGTTGAAGACGCTCTGTACAGCTATAGACCCCATGACGTATTTTTCTGGTCCTCTACGTCCCGCTGATGTTTACTCTTTCTGGATAGTGGCAAATTATCGGATTTATGGCTTAGTGGTAGAGCATTGGGTTATAAATCCGGAGGTCGGGTGTTCGAACCTGGGTTGAGGTGAATTTTTCATCTGTGGCGGAGATGGAAATTACCTTAGACCAGTTCCGAGCATTCTATCGGCTACTCCGAATTGGGTTTTCCTGCAGTTTTCCTAATTCGTAAGGTAAATACCGGAGTAGTATAGACCAACTTAAGACCTTCTGCAGAGGCACCTCTAAATAGCATTATGCGGGTCACTCTGTAATTGGGCGCACGCCTGTTGAGGGCCCAAAACAAGAGAGGGATAATAATAAATAATAATAATAAATAAATAATAAATATCCTAAGGGTTTGCATTTCGGATCTTCCTCTGACAAATCTGCGCTCGTTAGGAGACACACGTTACTATCTCGAGGTAGAATTAGCCCTCAGTTCACTCGAATCTATCGTATACACATTACAACCACCTGTGTCGTTTTAGCTTTACTGTTAGTATACAGGGCATTTTTCTTAAATGTATATTAAATTCTTGAAGGGAGAAAGAATTTCAAAAACAACTCTCGATTGTAGTAATGTTGGTTGCCTATAGCCATCCATTCCATGCATTGGTATGGTTTTTTGTAAGTATACATAGCTTATACCATTGAATTTATAAATTCAATGCTTATATACGTATGTAAATGTACACATTTAAATTTCTCTGATGAGGTTTTCTTACATTTTGAAAAGGATCCATGCACTGAGTCACATCTTTACATATGCTGCCGGACCTTGATTCACTGCCAAGTGCCAGCAGAGCCACCTTTTGACCTTTGACTCCGATGACTCGTGACCGGATGTTTTGGAATGCCATACCACATACTACTGTTCTCCACCAGCTGTTCTCCTTCTCTTTACATTACTGCCGAGTACGCTGTACGGTACAGCACATTTACTTTGCTAAAAAGAAATAAGCGATAGTCCCCTAATCCTAATGTAGCACATAGATACATCAGTTCAGACACAAACTATATTCAAAATGTCTAAGCCCTACTTCACAAGGTAGGTAGGTACCTACCATTGTAGCCCATGGTTCAATAATTTTTATGTGCTGTTATCAGGTATTTTACATATTTCAATAACCCATTACGATTGGTAGGATCAACAAAAATATTTAGGAGTTTTTCTAGATCTCAATCGAAAATCAATGAGTTGCAAGATCAACCTGAACGAAAAATCTTAAGCTTACAATTGGATGAAAGAAACATAGCAACAGTTCAATATGAAAGGAATGGTGATACCGTTGACCTGATACATTCAGAAATTCCTTCTGAATTACAAGGAAAAGGATACGGCCACATATTAGCACAGGTTACTACCCTTTGATATTTAGTACACAATGGCTTAATATCAATGGCATGGTAATCATTGTCTCAATAATCGTTGCCATGGATTTTAAGCTGCACTTAAATTTGTCGGTGCAAACAGCCATAAGGTGCTTGAAGCACGCATTAGGAGTGACAATTGCACATCCCTAGACAAAGCATATAGGTATCTACAATCACATTTTAGATACATTATACTGTGATACAATGTATTGTATAGTCACTGCTAGTAAATATTATTGAAATACAATTGTCAGGCTAAAGTATTGACAAAGCTAGCACCTACATATTGGCGTCCTTACTATAGTGATGTAGTAGAGGGCTATTAATTTTATCAGTAATTTTGCATTCTATAACATTAACAACAAAATTTAATTATAACTTCTTATGTTTGCTCGTCTGTTTGTTTTAAAATTGTAAAAATTCATGTATTAGACTGCTTCTATTCATTTACGAGGATAGCACCAAAAATTCCCTGCCTGAGCTGGGGCTGTCAGGTTCTTGAAAACAAAAAGCGGGACGCATAAAAAACGTCGAGGGGGGGGAGGGTCCGAATGTCCTGACAGATCCAAAAATCGCAGCCATCCAAAACTCCAGAACACAACATTTCAAGTTTGGTTGCATACCTACACTACACTTATTAGCCTTGGAAAAACAAAACATGAACATGTCAATTAGTTTACTTATAATTGTCGCTCTTAACACCATGTCATAAATCACAAAAATGAAGTACCTAGCTTGGGAAGAACAGGAAGAACACATTTTGAGGACAGCGAAAGAATGTTTTTTAGGGGTATTCAATTGTTGTTAATGGTATATGATGTAATAAATGTATGTTGGAGCAAACTAGGTATATTGGAAAATATGTACACGTTTTAATTGTAGTAATTATTTCTTTTAATTTTAGAAAACATTTGACTACATTGTTGAAAACAATCTTCGAATGAAAATAACTTGCGAATTTTTGCAAAAGGTCTTTGAGAAGAATAAGAGCAAGTATGGAAAATATGTGGCTTAATCCTCATCCTTATAGTTACTATTTACTAAGCTAAGCTAAAGTGTTGGTATGTCCTGTTTGCTCACATATTTGTAATTTATTATTTTCCATGATTTAAGTTATAAATAAATAAATTTGGTACTATTTTATTTTCGCTTTTGTTGCTGATGCAGATGACTCACAATCTCCAAAATCAAACCTATAGCTGTAGTGACTTTTGGCCTTAGACCATATAGTACATGGACTGCTATTATCCCTAGGCTTTCAATACAAAATGGGTGGTCACGGATAGAGGGCACTGCAGTCGTGGGTATGTGAATCTCAGGGTAAACTAGTCGTATGAACACCACTCGGATCGCGTAAAGAGTAGCTTTTATGGGAACCGCGTAGTACGGGAAGCTTTAAATACTCTTGATTATCTTCTATACGTCCACAAATACGGATAGGTTTGCTTTTTTGGCATATCTAGGCGATTAATTAATTGACGTTTGTTAATTTATAGGTTGACAGTCTCAAATCGTGTCTAATCGCACAACTTCGGCCAGACTCGTTTACCCTGAAACTCACATTCCCAGGCGATGTCCTTGACCATATTTTCGTTACAATTAGCAGTCCATGTACTATATGGTCTAAGCTTTTGTCACCCAATATCCATGATCCTTTTGTTTTGAACTTATAAATAGTACCTACTAAATATTACTGGACTGTAATCCAGGGCAAGGGCGTAGGTAACCAGGATTTTATTTGGGGCGGGGGGTGCTGAACCAGAGGGAAAGGCTTAAGATTGGTAAAATTTGAATTTAGTTCCTACACTGATACATCCGTAGACCTATGGGTGTATAAGTGTAGGAACTAACCTCGCTAACTCGTTCGATAAATTAACCAGCATGGCATCAAGACAGATTTATTGAGCAAGTTAAAAAAACCTCGGTTAGTTATTGTTAAAAACTTAATTTGACGATCATTTCGGGAGCACTCCCTCCCCCTGCCTACGCCCTTGATACAGGGTTCCAGTGCGCAAATTTCTGGAAAGTTGATGGGGTTGAATCCAGACTATACTTTTTTATTTTACTAGATATACATTAAGTACACAAAAAAATAAGCCCCATATAAATAATTTAAATTTATTCAATATAAAATTGTTTGTAATCACCTTTATTCTCTTCAAAAATTTTTTTTATGAATCTGCACGATATAGACATCTTGTAATTATTCATGGCAATATATTTGAAAGTCTCCTGAAAGATGGAATCGTGATTATTACATAGGAACTATTTCAAATTGTGCCTTGCCTTTGCCAATATACGTCCAAAGCCTCTCCTTTGCAAGTTTGGGGGCACCTTGATATACTCTAAGCGGAAAACGTCACCAGTTTTTGAATAGAACAGTGCTATTTTGGCATTTTCTACCTCCATGAAGAACATATGTTTGACTGCATCATGTTCTAAAAGAAATTGGTTCCATATTCCTGGTGGCAGATGAACTTTTTTAAGAAAGTACAACAGATTTTGAGCTACATTTTTTGTCAAAAATGACATTATTAGTAAAGTCGCATTGTGTCATACATACAGGGTGTTACACGACCGTTCGAAAAAAAAAAATCGGGTTGTAGAGGGCATCAAAACAAGCACTTTTTCCAAATAAACCGAGGGTCCAACGTGTTTCGTTTGGGAGCCACCCCCCAAAGAGTGTGAAATCTGCATTTCTTCTTTAATTTTTTTCTCAGCAACCATAAGAGTTACAAAGTCGGGTGGCATGTCTTTGAATAGGTTTTTGGGTATGCTCTTTCCGATTTTGCAATTTTTTTTTCAAAATTCCTACCCCTAAAGGGCGCACCCCTAAACTAGGGTGCAAAAAAAAAATTCTGATTTCGACGAAATTTGGTATCTGGGGTTTTTTTAACATGAAAATCACGAATCTGAAATTAGTTTTTGAAAATTCGAAAAAAAAAGTTCCACTGCAATTCTTGGCGGGACAACGAAAATAGAGATAATTCCACGAAATTTGTTGTGTACATACTAAACGAGTTAAGGAACAAAACTGTCGAACAGTTTTTTAAAATAACTTTTCAAACAAAAGTTATACTCATTTGAATGTTGGTCCTTCGGGTCGCGAAGTGTCCCAAGCCTACTAGTAAGCCATAATTTCGCATGTGTTGGTTGACAATGTCGCAAAAACAAAAGATTAACGGTTTGAGTCGATATTTTGTTATTTGGAATTAATTCGGTCATTAAATGATTAAAAAATTCGATGTATCGATTAAAACACCTACCAAGGTATTTTAAAGCGCTGATCGATTGTTTATTATCTAAATAAGGTAGGGGAAAAAGTCAAATCACTTTCCGTATGATACTTTTTCACTATGATCAAAAATTTTCATAATCTTAGGTTGAAAAATAACTTCAAAACACATGCGAAATTATGGCTTACTAGTAGGCTTGGGACACTTCGCGACCCGAAGGACCAACATTCAAATGAGTATAACTTTTGTTTGAAAAGTTATTTTAAAAAACTGTTCGACAGTTTTGTTCCTTAACTCGTTTAGTATGTACACAACAAATTTCGTGGAATTATCTCTATTTTCGTTGTCCCGCCAAGAATTGCAGTGGAACTTTTTTTTTCGAATTTTCAAAAACTAATTTCAGATTCGTGATTTTCATGTTAAAAAAACCCCAGATACCAAATTTCGTCGAAATCAGAATTTTTTTTTGCACCCTAGTTTAGGGGTGCGCCCTTTAGGGGTAGGAATTTTGAAAAAAAAATTGCAAAATCGGAAAGAGCATACCCAAAAACCTATTCAAAGACATGCCACCCGACTTTGTAACTCTTATGGTTGCTGAGAAAAAAATTAAAGAAGAAATGCAGATTTCAACACTCTTTGGGGGGTGGCTCCCAAACGAAACACGTTGGACCCTCGGTTTATTTGGAAAAAGTGCTTGTTTTGATGCCCTCTACAACCCGATTTTTTTTTTTCGAACGGTCGTGTAACACCCTGTATACAGTTAGGTATAGTAGATTTGGATAGTTGTTAGCTAAAAGATGAGGTGGAATGTGGATAAGTACATAAATCAATGCTTGAACTTATAAGAAGTAATTATGTGATATCAAGTACACATAAGGATTCAAGTAGCCAACAGCTATAATGACTCAATAGAAAAGGATACCTTTTACTTGAATAATGTCGCAATACTAGCAAAAAGAAGTACGATATTATAATTTAAAAATGAGAAAAGTTGTTATACTTAGTATCTGTTAAACTTTTTTCTCACCCCCATAACACAGTTCTTGGTTTTGGAATTTAAAAAAATTTACAACGCCTTTTTTTGTCGGCAGCCTGTGTGCAGATGTGAGATGGGTCACGTTCCCCTTTACTTAACAATCTCAATATTAATTATAATCATGATGAAAATTGCATACACATGTACACTGATATTTTAACATAAGCAATAGGTATTAATATTTTATCTTCAGTCTTTTTTGCATTAAAAGTTAAAACTGAAAGAAAGCAACAACCGAACTTGTCAACTCATCCTAAATATTAACCGAGCACTAAGCTCTGCTAGATTTTTTGTAGGTAATTAAAACTGCCAAAATTTATAACGAAATCAAAATAACCGTTTTGGCGAAAAGAAATATTTTAGTTATGTAACTTTGAAATTTTTTCTCCGCTTTGTTAATAAAACCTGGCACAATTTTTGTAGGTTGTACACAGAAAAATAAGACCTTAGCTACATTCTGCTTAAACAGGTTTGGACAGATTTCACTCAATTCAATGATTAGGTACACAATGTTAGTTACTACAAAATAGCTAAAATTAAAAAAATTAAAGCCACTTCCCAAGTAAAAATTTAATCAAACTTTGATTAATTTGATTACAGAAGATTGTATTTTAAATAGTCATTTAATCTTAAACCGTCTTATTTTTTGCCTTTCTTAGTTTCCATTTTGGCAATGTCATCTGCATTTTCACTTGCTTCCTTTTGACGCTTGGCTCTAATACCGACCAGTTTGGCATCGGAACGTTCCTAAACACAATTATTATGGAACCTAAGCTACAACATTTCAGAGTAAACGTACCTTTCTAAGAGTTGCGTATGCATTGAATCTCTTTTCACGCTGCGTCGGAACACGAGCTTCGGGTTCAGTTACTGCTTGCTTAATTGGAAGAATTTCCCCAGTAAATTGGGTAGCCATCTTTTGTTCTTCTTCAGTGGCCTCTCCTGCACGCAGCTTCTTCTTGTGGAGCGGGAACAAGATCAGTTTGGAGCGATATTCCTTCAAACGCTGCGTGTTCACTTGAATTGATTCGACGGACTTGTTACGGCGCCGAAAATCTACAGCAATACCGATGGAGCGGGCGAACCTTGGTGTGAGATGTGCAGCCTAGATGTTCATAATTATTATTAATAATGATCATTTAATGACTACAAAGTTAGAATTCCAAGACAACGATCATATGAAACACACAAAATTTTCATTGCCTCACATAAACAATGTACTACGCATTAATGAAAATCTCCGGTGTAAATTAGCATTAGCATTTTTCGACCTCAGTTTATACTGAAAAGTTAATCTTTGATTTTTACCTAAAGTTAACTAAGGAGTAAATGTAGAATTGAAAATCTCACATTTTTAGATTTGTAAACTTACTTTCAATTCTTGTAAGGTGAAACCCCTTCCTGGACGTACTTTGGTGTGGTACCGAATGGTAGGACACCTAACAACAGGACGTAGTGGACCTGCGACAGGTCTCGGAGCAATAGAACGGGCCTTTTTAATACGATTCTGCCTTCTTCTATGTTTACGAGCAGGTTGGTTAAACCAGGTTTTCACATATCGCTTCCAATCCTTATGGAAATGTCCATTAGGAATCATATTATTTCCTCTGGGTGCCATTGTGCTGTTTCTATAAACGTAATGAGTTAATGATCCCTACTCCATATGGCAATTAAAAACTCAATTAAACTATAATGATCAATACTAAGGTACTATATATTGTAAAAGCAACAGCTTACATGCCAAACTGTTCAAAGACAAGGTGAATCTATTGCAAAGCAAGAAAATCTAGGTTCCTCTAACCTATAAATTTAGCACGTTGTTGAAGATAAACGTGTAATCAATTAAGCGGTATATTCTTAGTTCATTTAACAAACTACACCATTTCTATATAAGAAATAATAAAATAGCTATAATTACTTACCTATCGTTTAATTAACTCGAGAAAGAATCAACAAAACGGTTAATAATGTATTCACCTACGAAAAAAAGGGATGTGGTTATTAATTTTTGGACGTTGGTAATAGCAATGTAATGTGAAGTTAGTCAGAAAGTCAATTGTATTGGTTACCTTGCCACAATTGTACAGCATGTGTCAGCATTTGCGCGTTGCCTATCCTCTAGGCGAAGGTTCACTTTTCATTTTATATGGGGAATATACTATTTTTGGTTAATCATTATTTCAGTATTTTTGCTGTTTGGTTTTTAGTAATTGATATAGGGAATTGCCATTTTAATCTACAGTAGCGATTAATTATAAACATCAAATTCTGACTGCTTACAGGCAACACAGCATAGCATGCAGTTTGATTTTCGTGTATATAGATCTGTATAAAATTAGGAAAAGCGCAAAGTTAAATTTACTTTACATTTTAAATGTTATTGGCGATTCAGATTGACTAGAGGCGAGGGTGTAATTCACAAATAGCGTGTGCAGATGGCAGCATTTTTTAAACATAAGGTCATTCTAGCTAGGGGGTTTTTAAGGAAAATTCTACTGCATCATTTTAAAATGAATTGAATTTATCCTGCCGTTTTTGAGACTTAATACAACCCCTTAATCCTATTCTACCTGAAAGGAATTTCTTAAGAACACAAATGCAGTCTTGAATTAGATTGCATTAACTTAATTTGAGTGAGTTTGCTGAATTAATGCACTTCACTAATTAAGTACAATTATATTCAACTGGAAATACTGATGCAATAACATGTCTAAGCTATATAATAAAATAATAATATATAATTAAAATAATATAATACTATTTTGTTATAAATCTTTCGAAGATTTGTGATTTTGATCAGAATTTTCTTCTATCCATTTTATTACGACATCCAAATTTGTGTTCTTCCAAGAAACACGCGACTTAATTTTTTCAACAATATCCAACATTAAAGATGATACTGATGTTAGCGTCTTTTCATTATCTTTGTAGAAATTGGTGAGCTAAAACATCATTACAATTAACACTCCCGTGTTTCCCGCTATACGAAAAAAAAGAGAATTAGTAGAAACAAAAGTTAGTGTGACTAAGTATAATAATCAAAATTTCGTCCAAAACGATTAACTATGTACTTACATCCTCCAAGTCGATATTTGTCGAAAGCTTGGACAGGAATTCTTCAAAAATAATATTTAGATTGATAAAAATATGTTGGTAATTTTTATTTATTCGCTCCCAATTGCTCCTCAAAAATGCAAATCCAAAATTCAAAGCGACAGGATTATTTGTAAGCGACTTCCAAACATCGATTGAGTATTGAAGCGGAATAGTACCATTAATGGCATTTTCTAAGTAACTACAACAAAGAGATACCAGAAACTTACACTGCTTGTTGTGTAAATGCTTTACTTGTTTATCAACCACGGTTCCCGGGTGCATCCCAGTGATGAATAAAATATTTTTAAATTAGCAGTGGATCTTGAGGGATATAAAGTTCTTCGCCATAAGAAGAACCATTCTTTTCGACCTCCCATTTTTATAGCGGTACATGAAGCAATTTTACGGAAGTCGTAAGCAATCCTATAAATTCAATATTAAAAGAGACACAAGAGAGTGTTTACTTACGGAATGTTAACGTCTGGATTTTTTGAGTCCATCCATTCTTTATACTTCATCCTTGACCATTCCAGACAGGGCTCATAATTACACGTACAAAGTTTAGAAAGAATAAACGTCCTTAACAGTTTGTCACTTAGCGACTCGTTTACTTTGGCTACATTTCCCAGCCTAATATACGTCGGTGTTATGAGATTTATAATATAGTTCTAAAAACCAACATTGTGATCATTGTGTATATCATCAACTCCAAACCTCAAAAATCCCACGGTATTGCGTCGTTCGAATAATGTAATTTAGTTGCTTTAAGCTGTTGAATAATGCATTCCATGGAATGTAGTTGTGTTCTCTATGCTTCATGTATTTGGTTATTTCAAAAGCAGAACTATAATTGAGCAAATTAAAGTTTGCCAACTCAAAGGCGTCATTTAAAAGCTGTCCACGATCGGTTGAAGATATTTTAGAAGCATCCTTCATTAGTTGATGTTTAAGTAAGTTCCAGTTTGTATCATCGTAATTTACTCTATACAACCCTAAAAAATAAGTAGACCTGATGTTCTCGAACGATGGTAAAAAGTCGTCAAAGAAGTATAGAAAAAATTAAAAATTACCGGTTCCTTCCACATTAAAAATGGACCATTGTTTTGAACCAGGATTTGTGAAATTACTTATCGTAATTAATCTCTGATTAATCATCCACGTTGTTTTCAGTGGTGTATGTTCAGCTTCCTTTAAATAAGTGAGAGGTATGTACCACAAATAGTGATCCGCGCTGTGTGAGTTAATAAATCCTCTTTGAGTGATACTAGCTGACCCATGTTCATAGTCACGCCGTACCGTTAGAACAGGATATCCATCTTGCGTAATCCAAGAATCCATAAATTCTTTTAGGGACACGCCATTCGGTAAGAACTTATCGACATTCGTGAAAGAATTCCAAAAGTCTTCAATTGTGCTGCATTTGTACTTCCTAAAAGTTAACTTTGGAGGGTGCATTTTCGAATGAATGTTTACCATTTTGTTAAATAATTTTTAATTCCTTTTTTGAATTCTTCTTCAGTTATTGTCCAATTTAACATTCTCAACAAGCAACTTCCTTTATTATACGCGACATCATCAAAAAGTTGTTCGATCTGAGTTGGCTCTTTAATAGGGATCTGCAAACTTTGCACCGATTTTAATTTATCAGAGTCAAGACTAGTCTGTGCAATTTTTAGAGAATAAATGTCCAGATCTTTCAACGTTGGGTCTATCTAGGGGTGAATTCGTAAATTTAATCATACAAATGTATTTAGCTACGTACCGCATTTTGAACAACGTCTTCTAAATAAGCGGAAAACCCCTCACTCAGCCATATCTCCGACCACCAATTCATAGTGACTAAGTTCCCAATCCATTGCTTGGCGAACTTATTTATCATGGTTCTGAATATATGATTTTTCGTATCCCAACTGATTGTGCTCGGGTGTAGTAAAAGTGCGTCGTCCCTATCAAATTGGTTTAAATAGGAAACAGGAGGTCCTCGTTTTTATATTACCTGAACCTAATTAAACCCCAGTTCTCCATTGCAGTTTGATATAGTTCAGGCACGGCCACCATATCTAATTTTGGCAAAGGGAACTTCACTCCAAAGTAAGTTTGTAAGTAGCTCAATATGTTTGGGCTAATATCCGCAGCGTAGTTTGCCTCGGCGAGCAAGTGATTCGGTGCCCAAATTTTTAACACTGTGCCCAATTCACTCGCGTTTACTTTAACGTACCCAAAGTCAAATATGGTAAATGCCACCAGGTGAGGTGACATGGGCGGTGACGTATCGAAATGGTCCCACACCCATCCAGATTGGTTAGGCCTAAACATTTCACTTGTTAACTGATGTGAGTAGGAATACACTTACATCTCTTCGGATTCCTTAAGAGGCATATTGGACAGAGAACTCATATTTGTCTTTCTTGCTACACTAATTTCAAAGGATGCCTTAAACGATGGTTCGTCAAAACATGGAAACACCATCCGAGCAAATATCGGTTGGAAATGAGTGTTCAAAATCCACCTATAATCCGTATTGTAAATTAACTTAATATTATTAAAAGTTGATACCTGGTGGCTCCATCTGGGCTTAAATATTTGGTTCTATACAGACCTAGAAGATTGTTGGATACAGTTCCAGAAAATTGCAAATTAACAGTATAGTTCTCGCCAGCTTGCAGTTTATCCTTCAAATGAATAATGTATCTAGACATATTTGTGATTTCTTCGATTTTTTCAAGATCCAAGTAAATAACCTCCGGTTGATGATAAATAAGAAATGCACTATCCTTATTTAACGATTCAGAGGGTGGATCGTCTGTTGAGTAACTTTGCGATTGTGAATCAACAATGTCATCTTCGTCCCTCGTTAGGTTAACAATTTCAGGAAAAAACTCTTCTGATACATCTTTTGTAGTAGATACTTCAACCTGATCTTGCAAAATGTTCAGCTGATCTGCATGCAGAATAATTGCTTTTGTTGATTCCGAGCAATGCATCAATATAGTCACTTCGCCAGTAAATGTGAAGTTATCCGAACTGGATTCATCCAAAAGAGGATGAATTCGAAGGCGATAGTGGAGCGGGAAAATGTCAAGCGGCAATCGAAAGTCTTCAAAGGTTTGGTTGTTTAGAGTATCATTCAACAGAGCTTCTAAGTCGTTTGTGTTGTTTTCGTTTTGCTATAGGATAATGATGAAAATTTGGGGTTACATTATTAGATAGCACTTTACCGATTGCTTGTCAATTTTGTGACCGTAAAAGTATATTGTAGCACCAACAGCCCCCAAACAAAGGATTGCGAGTACGGCTAACACTACGGCTTTTTTTGTTGATACAAAACAACCGCCGCTTTTTGAGTCATGGTCTTGGTCAGACTCCGATATAAACTCTGAACGTTGATTGTTAAATGCTGAACTATTTCTACCCATAACCTTTTAGTGTATGATACTGTAACTGGACCAACTGAAACAAATATGCATGATCAAATACTGTGTTTCTGTATTCTGCCGTTCCATATGATGAACTTCCCACCATTTAGTTTTTACTTAGCATAAAATTCCCAGAGCGAAAAACACGAGTATTGTGAAAAGTAGACTTTAATCCCCTGCCTGCGCTAACGATACACCTTCAAATTTGCCTTATGATAATATAATAATTTATTTATTTGAACAGACAAGTATATAGTATAATAAAATATAGTTGCAGGTCTCAAGAATTAATTAATAACGGAGCACATGTTTGGGAACACGCGTCATCGAGTGTCGTTCAGCTAATTACCTTAATTAGTTTTTTGGTCGTACTTATTTTAGTAAATAAAATTAAGAGTCGCATAAATTAAGGAAACACAGCCAGTACTGTGCTTATTAACAAATAATCTAAATTTCAATGGGCCTTGTCGGTTATAGACCTATATAGAGGCAAATTGGGGCTGAGGTTTCTGAACCAAAAGAACGAGGTTAGGAAAGTTTCCATTGCGTCAAAAGTGAACATAATCGTTCTTGAAAAGGCACAAAAATAGCTTAGTGACCTCGTCAAATGTTTTGAAATAAAAGCTCCCAATGCCCTTCAGCTTGAAATAATTTTTGAGTTTTATTTAATTTTACTCGTAGTTATACTTATGCTAGAAAAATTGTTCTAGAACTTAGGCACAGGTGTGTAGTTTTGACATATGGAAATGCATTCTAAACAAGTGTTCGCTTTTCGTCAGCCATTATCAAAGGCAAAGAACGCGATGGAGGTGATGAGAAATTAAAAATCTGGCACACCGATCTAACCAGGCGGTTTTCAGGTCATTTGACTAATCATACGTAACAGTCAGTTGCGTTAAATTTTCAAATCCGATTTTTCCGGCGGTCGGCCGATGTTTTGAAGTTTCTTCCATTTACCAATTCAAATTGAAGGGTTGTTGCATGAGGTGTTTTCCGATTGCTGTAGTATTGAGTCAGTCAGTGTGTGCAGTTATAGAAGAAAGGTTTAAGTCAATGTTAAAGTTGGTACCCGAGCTGCCACTTTCAACTATGTCAATCGTCTTGGAACCATTGCCGGTGACGTAAGATAAGAAAGAAGAAAGTTTGTATACACGGATGATCCGAAACTGCACAAAACCCCAAAATTTTATCAAAACAGTAAATATTATCATTGAATATCCAACTCGGATATTCAATGATATTATGAAGCGTATTTGGGAATTGTAGCGTAGCAAAAACTAGTTGCCATTTAATATTAGGTGAATTTGTTCACAAGTATTCCAATTAGTTAATTAATGAAATCCAAGATTATACGGAATGTCCAGACGACCGATTTGTGTACAAATAAATGTGATTAAAAACTCGATTGTGGCGTTTGTTTTTAATCGTCCGTTTCAGAACTTGTAAAACAGTTTTCTAGTTTAATTTTAGAGCTTGATAAAAACCAAGGTAAAAACTCAAGCGTAAACTTGGAAAAAATAAGGATTTTCAATCAAGAACTAGGAAAACCTTATATGTAAGTCCAGAACCTTTATTGTTTTGTTGAACGCTTTACTCTTCTTATTTGTAACATTTTAAACGCATAATTTCGTTGGAAAATGCGCTAAAAATGGACATCCTGATAACAAGTAACCGTAAATATGGTAGTTTTTTGAGGTACGATACTGCCTCAGTAAAGAGTTGTTTATTTTAGAATATGAACATTTTTAAAGAACTTATGGGGCGCACAAGCTTCCCCCACAAAAATAAATGAACATACTGTAACGTAAATTTAATTACGTGATTTACTTATTTACAAATTAGCAATAAATAAATAACACTGCTATGACTGCTAACTATTTATTACTTCGGACTTGAAATTTGAACTTCCATCTCCATTCAGTTCGTTTATTTAACGAAGACTTCCGAATGCTCTCGAATGTTCTCGAACAAGCACGTCATATTTTCCGAAAAGAATGCGCGACATCCGCTTTCGTTTCTTATCGCCGATGACTAATCTTTTATAGCGCCTCGATGTGTACCGGGATTTGTAGAATATTCGCTACAATACTGAACACACACAGGAATTTGGAATACATTTCGAAAAACTAATAATCATAATACATTTTGTTTGTTCAAATATTGACCAAATTGATGGAGGAAGAATATCATTTTAAGCTAAGCTGTAAGTCATCGCCAAGTAAAAATTATATTTTAAGTATCGTTTTGGCCACTTTACATTTTAATTTGTCAAATCAAAAGGCATTACAAGGAAATAACAAAAAAATGATCCAACAACCCCTCTCGCGTAAAATAGTTATAAATATAATTGTTTAGAGGTTGCTATTTCATAAACATGAGAAAGTAAACATTTCGATATTCCGACGATAAAATTGTACCTACGTAATAAAATTACCTACAAGAAAGTGATTATTTTTTTAACGCCATAGCAAAGAGTACTATGGTTACTCTTTGGCCATAGGAAGAACCAATTAAAACAATTAATATAGAAACGAGTAATTGCGTAAGTTCCCTGACACCTAAGTCACGCGTTTGTCCAATACAAATATTGTCAGGGACGTATAAACGCAAACAATAATTAGACACGCAAAAATATACAGTGCTATGTTTGGCAACGATAAATGAAAATTAAGTTATGCTTAATTTTTAGAAAAATAACATTTAAGGCAAATTTATGTATTCGAATAATTAAGGTTTGCAATTAATATACAGTGCTCCCGTGATGAAAGAAACGAAATCATCATTTATTATCCTTTGGGAAAATCCTCGGACACGTCGATTAGTATATTCACTTGCCTTTTTTTGCATTAAAAATTTTGTTTGACTACAAAATGTCTCTTAAGGAGGTAGTCTGATGGCGGAATTAATTAACACATTTTGAATATTTTTCATATGCCATATCATACGCCTAAAGAGACGGTTAATTTACAAATTTAACGTAATAGACTAAAGCGTGTTTTACATGCTGAAGGTTTTTGTGAAAGGTGAACTTCTCTTAGCCGAGGACATGTGCATTGTGCAGTAGGTACTTTTCTTGAACTTTTCGATTCGGACGTGAAATATTTCACTTTCAACTAAAATAAAAAAAAAAGACTTATAATTTTGAACTTTGACCAAAATGTGGGAATCAAATTATTGAGCTTATATTCTTATAGAAGATAATTCAACAGAGGGATTACATCAGAATCTCTTAGAAAAAGTATCCTCTGATGAAAAAATATGTGTAACGACAAGTGAACGACAATTGGAGGTATTTAGGTATTGAGGTATTGAGGATATAGCTATTATTTGGTCACCTTATGCTTATACTAATAAACACTCATCAGCAATTGAAATGATCCAGAGTAACTTTATTAGATGTCTTCACTTTAGATTCACAGGAATGTATCTTCGCTATGAACATTATCGTGATTTAGCGAAATTGTACAACTATAGTGCTCTTAGTGATCGTAGAAGGGATAGCTGCCTCTTGTTTATATTTAAATTATTAAATAATCAAATTGATTCGAGTTATTTACTTTCTTTAATAGGTTTCAACGTCCCGGATCCTAGAACAAGAGCAAATTTAATTTTTTTCAAAATCCCGCATGTACGTTCAATTGCCCATATTAATTCCCCTGTTGTACGCATGATGATTATTACTTAGGTATAATGAATTTCAAAGATCTCGAAATGAAAATCTGCAGCTGTTTGGCCTGTCCTTATCGATTTAGATTAAGTTTGTGTTAAGTAATTAGTTAAGTTGATGATAGATACTCATAATTTTTTGCTGTTTGTTAACATATGCATATATGTCCTCAAACCTTAATATGGAATTAGTACTGTTGGTTTGAGAAGATTAATAAAATAAAATAAAATTAAAAAAAATAAGATATGACGTGGTAAACTTGTCGATCTTGATGCAGCTAATGATTTTTTTTTGGTTTGGATTAAAGATCGAAGTCAATATTATATACACTGCTTTTTATTCTGCTTGTTATTTCTAAGTTGGCACAGATGTAGGTATCCTGGATTTTATCTCTACTCTAAACCAAAGAAAAATTCGTAGGTATTCAAAAACCTCTAAAAATTAACCCAAAGCAGCAGAAATAGTTTTTTTTGTCTAATTTAATAAAAAGACGCATGAAGTGGGATAACAAGCATGAATTATCTAATTAAAATGTTTTTTTTTCTATTTACCGAAGCAATTTACCTAATGATAATTGATGTGCATGTACGCTACACAATTGATCTCCATTCACATGTAAAATCGTTGTTCGAGCGGTATGTTCTATTAGGAAACAATATACCGTTTTGTTTTGCAGCCAATTGATGGAAATAAAAATTATGTAGGTTTTGTGCATCCAATTAGAAATAGGTAGAAAGTGAAAACTCGTCTTGGGAAACTTACGTTTCATGCACATCTTTAGCACTTAATAAACTATGAAAGGTGATTGTAGTTACAGACCTGATAGTACTTATTCGAGCGAGAATCACTTACTCAGAAAAAACAGCAGGTGACAACACCAATAACGTTTAGGTATATTAAGTAACAATATAAAATACGTATAAAATAATGTAATTGTACTTGGTAACACACAACTCAAATTCTATTTGACAAAATATCACTGAACTGATTTACCTTCCTTCCCCCACTTTCATTTGGTCTTGAACCGTGATAATAGTCATTGTACACACAGATTACAATTGGGCAAAATTATGCATTTTCAATGTGATTCTCAAAAGTCGCGGAATGTTGACCCAATTTATAATTAAAACGGCTTGACATACATGCTTATCAGATTTTTTATTAAGTACAACGTTAAGTTATTCAAATTTTTCATACCAAATGTTACATTTTTTAAATAGAATTTAGTGAGTTGTTGGAACGGCAATCTTGTCCGACGAATTCGTTTGGAAAATCATTTATCAAATTATTAACGATCCTCGAGATCGTTTATAATTTTGTATTGCTGTCTGTCTGTCCGGTTATCTGTCCCGTGTGCTAACTTTGTTTAGAAATGTCCGATCGCTTTGAAAATGGGTATGTTCAGAAAGATCACTATTGTTTTTTAGGTACGTAAATTAGCGGGTCAAAAAATTGCAGCCCAAAAACGATCTGTAGGATCGTTCGGCATTTCGTTGCATCGGATTTTTGACTAATACATTAGTGCCAGCATCCGTGAAATAAATATATTTGTCAGAATCCTTGTTATTGAATTGAATTACTTTAACGTACCACGTCCTTAACTATTCAGTGCTTGAGTAACTGTATTAAGTTGACACATGTTATACGCCTGAACATCTTTCAGCATTATTGTACTTTTACAGTTCAGTCTTCTCGGGATTTTATTACTTCAACTTGATTAGTCAACGTAATATAATAAGTTTTTTATGATGCTATATAAAAAAGTGTGCTCTTTAATAATATATAATGAAAACTAGTAGTTGCCGTTAAAAAATTAGCAGCCCCCCCCCCCCCCATTGACCGTGCAGAAGTGACCACAAATGTATAGTACGTAGATTGTTAGCACATTTTTTATAATTTTGGATACCATAAAATTCTTCTTTAAAAAAATATTGTTTTGAAGGTATGAATGTTCCAGACAAAATGTTCACCCTGTGTAATGGACATAAAAACCTTTAAATTCGATACCTTATTCGATACATGTGGTGCTTCCTGTCACAAACCTATGATAAGTTTTCATGAGGATCATTAGTCCATTAATTTGATATAATACTGATTGAATAAAAGTCTAGATGGGTTACAAGAATGAATACATCCACTCGAGTCTTAATTTTCTAACAATTGCTGCATTTCCGGTATGATTTGCATAGTTAGTAAGTATTACCATTTCATGGTAGTGCACACTAATTCAATAAACTAATTACGCTAATACTCCGTACAGAATACTCGATAAAGACACCGGATATGCATCAATTTCTCTTGTTATGACCAAAGAGCCAATGTGAAAACATAATATTTGACGCTCTCTGCTGCAGGGTCTAAACTCTAAACACTCTTGTAACATTCGCAACACACCACATTGGATTGATGCGTATTGATGGCATATATACGCACTTCCATTTAGCAAAAGGTTAATGTAAAATTTCTAACCTAATCTTTTTTTATCTACAAATGTGCGTGGTAGTTTCTGAATTATTCTTAAATAACAGTGATAGCCGTAGTGGTATGATGAATTGGAACAGAAACACTTTCCAAACAGCACCGGCTAACTTTACGTGAGTAGGTACCTATAGGACAAGTTTCCTGTAAAATTGCAAGTATGTCCGATAGGTATTCTCTCACGATTAGGGTGTTGTATGCGGGAGCACCATCCTGTTGAAACGTACAGTTTTCAACTTTTGTTTTATTTTGTGTACCGTACATCATTATATTCGTATAATAAAAAATGCTTATCGATACGTTGTGTACTTTTCTCTGCGGACCATATAACATAATAAAGTTGATGATTGTCTCCGAAACGAAACGTTGTATTGGAAACTCAAAACGTGACAATGAAAAAAACGAAACAGCAAATTTCGGTTTTTCTGGCATACCTTCGGAAGTAATGGGAATTTTATGGTTTTCTTGAAAGTATGATAATAACTCTTCAATTGTGCATCTTTTCTCTCATTTGGATGTAATAGACATCCTTATCTTGGACACAGAGCATTTTTTTCTGATTTCGAAAATGTATATATCTCTATTTTTTAATAATAAATGGTGCTATTAATTAGTAAAAACGCAAGATATTACGAACATACAATACCCAAGACAAAGGAAACAAGTTAAAAAGTAATCGTAAACGATTTACATAAAGCGCATTTCCACTTGCATTCATTTCCCATTTATAAGATGCAACTTCTGTTAAAATCGTAAAAATCCGGGCACAAATATGAAAGATAGCTTTGCACATGGGCAATCCATTTTTGACGTGTTACTTCAATTTCAGTTTATGAGAAGAATTTCATTTCAATGCTTTTCTAAATAAGAAAGTTGGAACTGCGCATGCGCAAACCTAAATTTTAAAACTAATCTTAGATTTTCCTTTGTTCCAAGCGCCTAAGTATCAAATTTCACTTAAATGGTGCCATAGATAAAAAAGTTGGCACTGCGCATGCGCAAAAGAAAATTTTGAGACTGGCGCTCGATGATCCTTTATTCCAAGTGCCTATGTATCAAATTTCATTTAAATTCTACCATAAATAAAATAGTTGGCACTGCGCATGCGCAAAACCAAATTTTGAAATTGGCGTTTGATTTTCCTTTATCCCAAGTGCCTATGTATCAAATTTCGTTTAAATTCTCCCATAAATAAAAAAGTTGGCACTGCGCATGCGCAAAACCAAATTTTGAAATTGGCGTTTGATTTTCCTTTATCCCAAGTGCCTATGTATCAAATTTCGTTTAAATTCTTCCATAAATAAAAAAGTTGCCACTGCGCATGCGCAAAACCAAATTTTGAAATTGGCGTTTGATTTTCCTTTATTCCAAGTGCCTATGTATCAAATTTCATTTAAATTCTTCCATAAATAAAATAGTTGGCACTGCGCATGCGCAAAACCAAATTTTGAAATTGGCGTTTGATTTTCCTTTATTCCAAGTGCCTATGTATCAAATTTCGTTTAAATTCTTCCATAAATAAAAAAATTGGCACTGCGCATGCGCAAAACCAAATTTTGAAATTGGCGTTTGATTTTCCTTTATCCCAAGTGCCTATGTATCAAATTTCGTTTAAATTCTCCATAAATAAAAAAGTTGGCACTGCGCATGCGCAAAACCAAATTTTGAAATTGGCGTTTGATTTTCCTTTATTCCAAGTGCCTATGTATCAAATTTCGTGTAAATTCTTCCGCAAATAAAAAAGTTGGCACTGCGCATGCGCAAAACCAAATTTTGAAATTGGCGTTTGATTTTCCTTTATTACTTTATTTCATTCAAATACTTTTATAAGTAAAAAAGTTTGCAATTCGGTTTATAAATGGTCGAGATGCGAAAAGGGCACTGTGAATTTTGAATCGATTCGATTCAACTTTTGGCATTGCGTATTATTATGGCTAAAGCTATGCCCATATTGAATTTCATGCAATTCAACTAACGGAGATGTAAAAGCGATCGAACATTTCTAAACAAAGTTATCGTTCACACGGACAGATAGATGGACAGACAGACAAAGAAACAGACGGACAGACCAACCGGCAGGCGACAGATAGCAATGCAAAATTATAAACGATCTCTAGGATCGTTAATAAACGGCAAAAGTGTAAAATTATAGAACATGTAAAAAAACGGTTTTTTGTTTTTTTTACAATAACTTTTTTTGTAAGCGGTACAGAAAAAAATCCTTCCTTGGTACAAGACTCGACACCATAACGAACCAAATAGCGAAAAAAGTAGAACAATAGCTCTTAAGATAAAGAACTAGTAGCGTCGCAAAATGAGCGGACGGACGGACGGACGGACAAAGTGGCCACAATAGCGCATTTTTTTTTATTGTTGTGGAAATGCGCTAAAAAGAAGGCATTTTAAAAAATAGTGATGATTACATTTTTAAAATCAGAAAAAATGCTTTATCAAATGGCACAAAAAGTAAAAATGAGTTCCTTAAGAAAAAAAACAAAGTTGATGGTGGTTAACAGACGAAACGTCAAACCTAACATTAAAACTGGCATCTGTAGAGTGAAAAACGTGGCCGTAATCATGTGTTATTTAATTTTTAAATATCTTTTTAAATAACTTCGATAAAAAATAAGAACTCCCAAAGTATTCGGAACTTTTGTTTCAAAACGGCATTTGGTTAAGCATCAAAGTACGCAACTTTGCCAAATTTAAACTACCTACCTATCTCTTACGGTTCCCGAGATTCCCACGGTGGCCCACGAATTTGAATCACCCTGTATACCTATATACACAAAATAATTAACAGTATTAGGTAATCGATGGAATCCCTTACAGTTGTCGAATTCAAATGGAAGTAGAGACTGTAAAAAAATGCTGCAGCTCTTGGTACGTACAATAAATGCACAATGCAAATTGTCGCATTGTTCATAAAGTGGGCATTATACACCGTTTGCTACGACATCAATTGTTCATGTATGTCAATCTTAATTTATTGATGACTCTTCACCCAATCGGCTATCCCTTGTTTACGAGAATTAATCCGGTAGCAGCTAATTTAGCAGTAATTTACCTATTATATTTTAACTAAATAATGAACTTTGATTGCACAAACCTCAGTACATCCTCTTACTTTTTACGTGGTTAGAAGAGCTGCACTGTATTGGACGAATGAGACGAGTATAATATCTACGTAGATGGTTGATATACAGTTTGCGCAAGAGGAAAATAACTTTACTCTTCGTTTGATATTCAAATAGGTATTAAAGTAAATAAATTTCAGTTAGTGCTTATACAGATGCAATCAGTGCAATAAAAGTTGTGGCCAAGAAAGGAAATAAGCTTATGTGTGTTATTGAGGTAAGTCAAAGTTAATTATTACATCTTTAACAACATTAAGTTCACTTAAGTGCCGAGTCTGAAGTCAAAAATTTTTTTTTTTTCAACTTCTTATTCAAGCTCATTCTCTTCGTAGATGTCTGACTTGCTACCTTACTTCCAAAATATTGGTTGCGAATCCAAATTTGTATATCCTAATTTATACCAACTGTTTTGAAATCCTGAACATAGTAAATTGAATACAATTTCTAATTTTCAATTTTGAATGTCATTTGTTAAAATTCTATTTGGCTTATTTTATGACTAAAAGTTCATATAAAAATAGATACAAAATCGCTTTGTTACTGATCTACAGAGTGTTAAAATTTCAAATTTTTTTAGACTTGTTCTTTATACCTGCTGCAGTTGTTGCGATATTTTGGTCAAATTTGAAATATAAGTTAGGCTTACATCATTGCTTTTTTTGATGCGCCACTGGCAGATTGTAAAAGAAGGATTTGATTTTCTGCTTTATTTGGAAACGCTGTTTTCTTGTAATTTTTCGTATTTGCGAAGAAAAAAAAATAAACGTTCAGTAGTTAGCTAAATCGAATTAAATTTTGTAAAGTGGTCCGGTGGTAGGCCCGGATTTATTTAGATAATCTCCTTTTTTTATTGGTTTTGAAAGTCCGCATTTGAAATTGTATCTTGTGTTTGCATATGTTTATAAATTAAACTATGATTGCTTCATAATACATATAGGTACCTACCATAATATTATTATGTATTAATATTTTAAGTATCTTCGCTCGACATTAGTCAATTGATGTAATGTGCTAAACTGGATTTATTTTGATCTGGCAGTAAACATCTTACTATTTAAACATTGAACTGCGTCATACCCTAATAAGTAGATAAATATCATCATTGTTAAAATACTGTTTAAACAATGCTATTGCCTACCAGTTTGATACATTCACGGTTTCAAGTAGGGATCCGGTATAAAGCAATAGATTGTATATTTTATATCAATATTGTAAACCGGTTGTAATATCTTCTAAAAAAAAGATAATATTGACAAAAAATTCGCAGATTTCGCAATCCATGCAACCATCGGAGACATTGGAAATGATAACCGTATAATGCCTTATATCGTTGAGTGAATTTAATTACTCAATGCTTATATAAAACCCAAATAACTCTTGTTCAATTTTATTGATCCTTTGCTCCATTAGCTCGCTCGTGTCGCAAATGTTACTCTTCGGAATAATAAACCTAATTTTCATAGACGAGATTATCGCAATTTTTATTTCGCGAATTTGGCGAATATTCACATTTCGTATATACCAAACATGCAAAATTCGCGTCTATGAAAGGGAGACTATAAAAGTGTCGTAATATGCTCGTAATACTATCAAAGGAGATGTGCGAGAATTTTTGATTGGAATTAACAAACCAATTCAGCACTATTAAGTATGTACCGTATCGACAGTATCTGCGACTTTGAAATTGAAAATATACAATTTCCTCCCGCGGTCAAGTTTGCGACCCGACGCGAAGCCAAGGGAGGAAATCGCAATCCTTTTCGTTATGAAACAAGTATAAATTGTGCACAACTCTTGTGCAGATAAAGCGCATTTTTAAAAACCGAAATAGCTTAGTAAATGGTTGCGTTATAACTTATAAGATGTAGTTAGTAGTATGCTATATTTATCGATGTTTTATTTGTTTTTAATTAGTTAAATGAGTAATGGGGATATTAGCTCGTAAAGTTTTGACATCATGAATAGATATATTTCTTCCAGACGTTCCAATCGCCCTTTATGAGTACCATCCTTCGACAATCTGATGTTCTACAGATATAAGGACTTACTTATATCCGATTACGATAAGGAGTCGAGGGGGCGGTATGATTGGTAGAACTTAATTCCTTTCGTCGAGACCGTTCATTAGGGTACCATAGAAAACCAGTTCCATCCACCCCCACTCCCTCAAACTGCTCTTTTGATAAGCAGTGAGAAACTAGGGCGGTAGTTGGTAGAACACAGTTCCTTTTGTTGAGACCTTTAATTGGAATACCATAAAATATAATATTAATTTCAACCCCTTCCCTCCTCTCCCGGGCCACCTAGTGATCTCGGAAAAGAGTCACGCAAGAAAGTAATAGTTTGTATACACGAATTCATGTCGGTGAGAGTTTTCATTAGAATACCATGAAAGGTAGAACGTGTGTTCACCCCCACCCCCCGTGTCCAAAAATTTTATTTGGCACCACTAAAGGCATGATGTGTATGCAAATTTTTAGACCAGTTGGTTATCGCATGATAAAGTTATGCATGTTTTACATTCAAAAACAGGATTTCAGGAGATAATTCCCCCCCCCCCCCCGCGCCTTGAGACAGCTAAATTTGATGACTGTGTGACACACCTCCAAGGTATAGGCTACATATTGCAAAAAATTGCAGAACTGTAGGACCATTTCCCTAAAAGTAGTTCAAAATCACAGAAGTGGGACGGACAAAATGCAAACAATAGCACATTTTTTTAATTCTTAAAAAATGCGCTAAATAACAGAGTAGCTAACCTACTTTAACGACGCAACGCTTGGAGTTAAATGATCAATTTACCCGCGACCACCCATTGCCATCTAGCAACCGGCTATCAATAGTACCAATTGGCACGTAATTTCCAAGTTTTCAAATGCGACGAAAACGATTTATAAATGCAAAATACTCTTCTTGATGTCAAAGAAGGAACCAATGCTGCAAGATTACTAACAGAAATCACAACAGGTTTATTCGGTATGCAATCTATGATGCACAATGAAAATTGCGAGGAAGACGAATGAAATTTCATTCAATATACTTTTACGAATTTCTTAAGCTAGATATCTTCCCTTTGGTCTAATGTTGAAAGCCACCTTAGCCGTGAGGAAATATATGGGCATCAAATACTCAAAATTAACTACATTCCTGAAACGCCAGAAGGTATAGATTACTAGAGACCACAGACATTTACGTTTCCATGGAAATTACTTTACCTCCCGCAGAAAGTAAACGCACAGTTTGTTCCCGCAAATGAAGGAGCAATATCTGGTTTTCGGTAAAGCACGGAGATAGAAGTGTTTTTAATGAATAAATGCAGTTGTGGTCTGGGTGCATTATTGACATACTACTTAATTCCTTTATTTTAAATGACATTTTAATAGGTTTGAATGAGTAGGCTAAGCCGTTCTTTAACCGTAAGGATAAATAAAGTGATCACTTTAACCTAAGGGTAGATAAAGTGAAACAGATGAGTGTGCATTTTAATGACATCTGTCATTCTTATTTCAAATGCACGTTATAAAATGACGTCCAGAACATATCACAATTCTGTCTCTATAGCAACGATCGCGACGGCAGAACCTAAGCTTGCTATTTTTGACCGCTCTAAATTAAATTCAGAATTATCAGAAGTTTTACAACGATTTATACGGCTTCTGCTATAAAATAAAGTTTTGTATTATACACGACGATAAAAGGAAACTAACCATCTCATGAAAGTTAATGCACGAGTGGCCTTTCACTCAATGGTTAAAATATCCCTTTATCGTCTTGTATAATAAATAACTATTACTCAACGCTTTAATTTATGTTTTACACCCCTCGCCTTCACCTTCTCCCTCTTGCCCCTTAAATTAAGTTAGAGTTTATTACGCTAAGTAGTGAGTCAATCGTGCTTGGGATCCTGAAACTACTAGATATTAATTGATAGCGGCGGTATTATAAAGGATATTACATATAAATATGTAAAAAAATGGGTGGCAGAGTGGATTAAAACGAGCACTTTTTCCAAATAATCCGAGGGCCCAACGTGTTTCGTTTGGGAGCTACCCTCAAGAAGTGGCGCGATTTGCATTTCTTCTTTAAAGCTAGTGGCACGCCTTTGAATAGGTTTTGGAGTACTTACTTAAATCATTAATTTTTTGTTCTTTGCGACATTGTCAACAAACTACATACGAAATGAGATGACTCACTAGTAGATGGGGACACTTCCTGACCCGAAGAACCAATCTTCAAATGAGTATAACTTTTGTTTAAAAGGCATGAAAACCTATCCAAAGACGCCCCACCAGTCTTTCTAACTCTGTTGATTGCGAAGAAAAAAAATTAAAGAAGAAATGCTTTTGAAGGTGGCCAAACGAAACACCTCCTCCCTACCGCCCAATAATTTTCCTTACTTATATGCAACACCCTATATAAAAATTCATCATACTAGTTCCTATGCAAATGATTTTTGTGAATTTTTAAAAATACTGAACAAGTAAAAAATTCAATTGGTATAAAATATATTTAAATTACAAATACAGCTCATGGGCATACAAAGAACGACAGTCTCATTGTTTAACTAATATTAAAATAAATAAACTTAAAGCTATAGGTGCGCCTATAAATAAGTAAAATAAAAGTAAGGTAAATGAATGTTCTTAATTATACACTTATGGTATCAGATATTATTAACTAACAAGTGAACCAGAGGATTATTGGGATACATGTGACAGTCATTTTGATGGTGATGGATTAAGTCCGTAGTGAGGTGAATGTTTGATTAATGAGATTAGCATGAGACTTTGGTGTAGTAGAACTTTATTAATTTTTTGGTTGTATAAGACTCAATTCGTATTAGTGAAATCGAATTTATTTTCCACAATTTGTCATGGCAAAGGTATTATATGCAATTAGGTACCTCTTATAAAACAAGTTTGGACAACTAAATAGTAAATCATAAATGCAGTTTCCGGATTTAGTACCATGGTGGTCAAGTAGGATTATTATCCTCGATATGGCGGTAAATTAAAATTGTCACTTATATTTATCTCTTATCTTCGCAATCCAGTCTATCCACAAAATACGCGTTGATTTATCAAGGATAACGTAAAAGATAAATAGTACGAATCCCTGTAGGGTTGCGGTGAAGCAAAAAATGTATAGAAGTATATATGACAACCATGAACCCTGTATGATTTCCGCAACTACTCCAAAAACCCAAGGCATCCCTAACAAAAAGAAAAGCAAAACGGTTAAACAAACTTGTCGCTTCAAGATGGTAGTTCCTTTATTAGATTCGACCTTTAAATGAAATATGTTTCGTAAGATCAATGAGAATAAAACCAAATTTGAAATCACGATGAAAGCAATTGGGAGAAACACACCAATGTACATCGCCAACCCTGTAGGATAACAAATACCGTCGTTAGATGCAGAATAACTGTCAATGTCAATGCTGCAGGTTGCAGCGATGGGAATTAAAGGGAAACCCCATCCAATTACACAAGCTTTGAGTATGATTCGATTTGGCATCGGGCCTACGACTTTCACAAACCTATAAAATTGTAATATAGCCGCCACTAACATCCAAGCAAATTCGGCAATCGTTACGTAATGTAGTATTATACCGATAACCTTACAAAATACATCCGAAGAATGTTTAGCGAATTCGTCCGCAGCCAAATTCAGGAAAACCACTTGCAGAAACAACGCGACACACAAGTGCATCAATATTTTCGTCCCTACCTTCTCTCTCCAGGTTTTGAACAGGAACGCAGTTAGAAAAATACCAGCAATTCCAAATATGGAAAAGGCACAGCCGATGTTTGAAATGGTCGATAAGATATCATCGTGTAATTTTCCTATGTTAGACATAGTTTTAGTGAAATCTGAGTTAGTATCGCCTATCCTATGCCGCCACCTAATCAACAAGGCGAAATTGGTTAAATGTGAAAAAAAGCACGTGTCAAATTCTCTCCTCGAGTCATGCATTTTGTCTCCACCCAAAGTGTCCCAGTGACCAGTGCCATTAGAAGATCGTAAACCGTAATTCCAAAACGCGCACCTCTTTTGCTTGTTATTATTTCTGGATTTAAAGATGATCGGAATTGGTATTTCTAAGTAATCTTCTCGATTGGAGATGGTGACGCTCACGATTCTACTTCCGACCCTATCACTTCTGTCTCGTTCTGAATTGAAAAACTTGTCCGAATAAAAAATTGTTGTTACAATCGTTATATTTGCCAGGTTACTGCGGGGTTCGTTGTTGGCCATAATTTTAAGCAGCGCTTCAGGAACGTACACGGCGATTTCCAAATCATTATGGCTGACCAAATCGTCAAACGTCGCATTTGAGTAGAGCTCGGTGACTGTAGAATTTAAAAATTTCGTATCTTTAAATAACCCGCGAACACTTATTCCGGAAACGTTATTCAAAAACGGTTTGGTAACGTGAACAATTATATCGCTGTTAACTAGAAGAATCGAGCTGCTCGTAAAGTGGACCGAGTTTAACGCGCTTTCGAACGTATCCAGGAGCTCATCTGTTGCGTTTAACATCCTCTGAGAAGATCTCAGTGTTGTAGAGTTACTCTGCATCAAATTGTTTATAATTTGAGAAACATCCGCAACGAGGTCTTCTGTTGGAGGTCTGGAACCGGTCATGTGCATTAAAGTTTTTGATAAGTAGTGCATGTCTAATTCTGTGAAGTCTGAAGTATTTGCAGTAATGTAGGCTAGGCTGACAGGCCTGTCCGTGGATGCGTTTCCATGAGCTAATGAACTCAACAACTTCGTCTTGCTAGAGACTTTGTAGCTTTTCGAGCACGATTCCGTGATGTCTTCCCAGTGAGCGCCTACGTGAAAATCTCCAAAACATCGCCGAGTAATAGGCGTACCGTCATCTCGCACACAAATTTCTTTGGGAACCGCTTTTGTATTGATTAACGTAGAATCCCAATGTAAAATTGAGCCACTATTTGTCACTTCCGCGAAACATTCTGTACTGCTTTTAAAAAATACAATGATTACATTTGATTCAGCAAGGGAATTTAATGTGTGTTTTAATATTTCGTACTCCTCCTTATTAGAAAGCTTGGATTTCACTGAAAGATGAACAAGAACATCAACTGTGTCCGTTACGGTATCAATGTCGTAAATTCGAAACAGTCTGACATTGCTGACTGTGTTGAACGCTTCAGAGGTAAACAGTGACTTACATACGCCTCCTATAAAATCTTCGGTGGGAATTTTACAATCAACGCGAGAAAACGCACAGAGATCTTTAATTTTCAGTCTCAAAGAATATTCTCGGTATTTAAATCCTTTGTGCGCCAAAACTTTATTGGAGGTGATAACTTCCATTGTTGGAAGTAAAAATGCTTCACACCAGTAATATCCTGGCCCATCTTCGACTAGTGACACCTTAAACACTTTGTATCTGCGATGGCTTGGAGACTTGAAACGCGAATCAAATTTCTCTTTCGTGTTCACTCGATACTTCAATTTATTGGTGGCGTCAGTGAAACAAAATACTTGTACGTTGTCATTGACTTTATATAATCCTTCAGGTGAATATATATTTAAATATAATTTTTGGGAACTTGCTTTGAACGTCAAGTCTAGCACGACGTGATCATGAAATGCTATCGGCTCGGTTTTGCAAACTACGCAGTTGCCATCGTTGGCTTGCTTCAGATGTAGGGAATGTTTGTTAATAGCTAAATAATGATTGTCAAGCATTTTTCCAGGCCCGAGTAAACAAACGTCATTTCCCACCAAATCGTATAAAAGGTCCTTTTCGTACGTGTATCGCAGACTTGCCAATGTACACGAAGTGTTCTTCGGTGATTTACAGAAACAATAATTGCTTCCCAATCCCCCAGGAACGCAGTTATTAGGACACCTATACAAAAAGCTGTTATGATTGTACAAACAAACGCGGGAGAATGAAGTGTTGCAGGAAACATTTTCAATTTTCGATGATGTCTTGGCCACACATTCCGAATTTCCATAGAAAATTTCGCTTGAGTGCTCCCACAAAGTGGTCTCTGAGTAGGGCAGGCCGTAGTTCTCATCGGGCAATATGTATTCGTAAGCACCATGCTTGATTTTCTGCTGAAACGGTAACCAAATATTTTTATGGTTGTTCACCTCGGTTGATGCATCTGGATATGGGCACTTGTCATCCCACATCTGTGGTTGGGTCACATAAGTACATTTTCCTTTCTCCTCCTTAAAGTCGGGTGGGCAAACATTGTTGAAGTCTACATAATGGCACTCCTTTGACGGCAGCCAAGTTCCATTAGAGCAAATACGAACTACTAAGTGTTTATCTAGGTCCAAGCATGGCGGTTCAGAGATAGCAATAGATATATTTGAGTGGTCACGTGCATTCCAAACAACTTTAATCTTGTTGCCGCCACTATTTACGTCGGAATAAACTGTGGGGCAAGATCGCTACAAGCATCAGTAAAAATATATCACATTCCAAACAGTCTACTTACAGATTGAACCACGGAAGAGCATCCCAAAAGCAGTAACAGCAATACTATCTCTGCAAAGACCGCACAATTATAATCTACATGTTTCCAAATATGTATCGAGTAATTACCTTTATATGAAATCATATTACACGTGGCTCTGGAATAATTAAATCACTCGATGAGATTTTTTTTATTTGCACACATATTATGTAAACAAGATAAAGGAAATGAAACACAGGATGACTGTAGTAACCATCTCATGTAATTAGTAAGTTTAGTAGTTCGCCTGATGACAACTCAAAAACGTGTGGTGCTAAGGATGGCTCGATATCCGTTTTACAATCAGATAATTTGGGTACTTAGGTGCAAAAATATGTCCTTATAAATAACAAGATAACATAATCAGATGCGGACTAATTATAAAATCCTGTAGTTACTTATCAATATTTTGATTGTTGAAACTGTAACGTTATGGGGGTTGATTTCGCATAATCACAAACGCGTAATTTTTAATTTGCGTAGGTACCTTGTGTTTTTAATTTCTATTGAAAATATGTTTAAAATATTGTGGTAAATAGGACAGGACGGTCCCACTACAATCATGTGTCATTGATTGAGAGAGTACCGTGTTACGTGAAGTTGTTTATTTGTATTGTGATCCACAATTGAGTGTTTATTTCAGTTTTTGAGGAAATTTCTCTATGTAGATGTTTAGTTTAGAACTATGTAGAAAATATAGGCTTATCATTTCAGAAATTGGTAATCTTAATAAAATAGTCCGACAAGTAGGTATATGTAGGTACCTATAATAATCTATCAAAGCAAAGGGCAAAATACCTACGATTTTATGCTGGTCACAGTTTCTGAACTGGAAACCACGTTTTTATAAGGTTCTAGCTTTATTAAAGAAATTTCACATCCTTTCACCAAAAAGTTGTGTTTCCTAACATATGATATTAGCATATATTTCAAGAATACCTCGGGTAGCATCGATCCGTTCTGTTGAGCCCTTCCTGCAGGCCCAAATAGGTGTTCATCCTTCGTACGAATATGTTTAAAAATAAAGGGGCACAATAATTTCCTAGTGCATTGACGGTACACACAATGGTGGTGTTCACCATCGCTCCGCGGTAACTATCTTTGTAACAGGTCCAGTAGGAGAGCTTTGGTAACTTTGTGGATAGAGTGGAAAGTGGACGTGCTTTAAAATCGCGAAACTTCTGAACGGCTTTGTTATAATTGCACAGTTTTTCTGAAGATATGATTATTTATTGTTTTCCGCTATAAAAAGCGTTGCACGTCATCAACCAAAGAAAATAACATGCCAATTTAAATCAAGATTTGGCGGATTTACATTCATTATTATTTAGTTACTTTTTAGAGGAATAATTTCGCAGATTTGCAATTTTTTTCAACTGCCAAACGTTCTTTATTGACATTTGACCCTTCAGTTCGAGTTTCCGTGTGCATTCGTATTCTCCACAATGCCGAAACGTTTGAATAGTACAGCGAAGGAACTTGTTGCCTTTTTAATTCAATATTTTAAACAGAACAAGATAATGGGGGGTCCCTTATTACCATTAGGTTCTGTTCGAGAGGTAAGAACAGAATTTCAATTACTTCCTGACTACTTCTACTAATTGTGATCACGTTGTTACTTAATTAATTATAGTTAAGTCATCAAAAATGTGCATTAAAAATTATTTTCTTTTATGTTAACAAAATTTAATGTTAGATATATAAGCAAGGTAAGTACTCCGAAAAGTATCTTCCACCTTATTACCATCATACCAGCTTATGTTACTTATCATTTATCATTATCATTATCATTATCATTATCATTATCATTATCATGTCTTGGTTGAACTTCGCTATGCGTAAATTCCACTACAGCAAGACTTGGTCAGATGCTTTTGTAAAATAACGTAAAATCAGTTCATCGGTCAGGAGTACAAGCAAGTATTAACTTTTTTATTTGTTGGCGGCCTGTGCAACTATTCATAACTTCCGAAACATTTACATTATGCCTCAACACATCATTATTCAGCTTTCTGTTCACAACGGCTATGTGTCTCGGTGGTAGAGCGTTGGGCGGGTGTTCGAACCTGGGCTGAAGTAAGAATTTTTCATCTGTGGCAGAGATGGGAATTTCGTTAGATCAGTTTCGAGCATTCTGCCGGCTACTCCGAATTAGGTTTTCCTGCAGTTTTCCTAATTGCTAAGGAAAATACCGGAGTAGTGTATAGAACAACTTAAGACCTTCTGCAGGAGCATCTCTAAAAAGTATTATGCGGGTCACTCTGTAATTGGGCACAAGCCCGTTGCGGGCCCAGAACAAGAGAGGAACGGTAAACAAACAAATAAATAAATAGACGGCAGCGATACGTTATAAACAAAAGGGTACTACAGACTTAATAGGCTTAATTTTGCGCCACACACTATTTGGAATGTTTAGATGTTACAATACCCCAATGTGTTGCATCGCATAATCTATCAACATACCTCACAAATGTTTGGGAATATCGTGTATTGTTGACGTCATCAAATCAATGACGTGCAACGCTTTTTATAGCGACCCTATTTTAATAAAAATCCCATTTAAATTTACTAAGTTACATTAAAAATATTTTAGTTGAAATAATGAGCTCAATGAATAACTTTTCAGAAATCAAATCGCATTAGTTTACCAAAGAATTATTGATATAAGCCACTCCGCATTGGACACTCTGTGTAGAGCGAGATTTTTCCAATATTAATCACAGTAGCGGAGATGATTGATTTTTCTGATATCTAAGTACAAAAAAGTTTTCATAAATTGATTTGCATTAGTTTCCTATATAATAGTGAATCAGCTCGGAAAAATAAAGATGTCTTCTTTTCATCATTTATGATCATAGTGTCCTCATTATAATAAGGACTTGACTTCCTAAGTGTATTCTGCACGGACCGGTCACAGAATTTATGTTCCGTCCTTTCCAAGTATTCAAGTACTTTTATTATCTTGATAATGCTGCCAAAATCTTCTTCAACTGTACGAAATTTGAGTGAAATTACTATGATGCGTTTTATTTTACACAGACAGGAAAAGATTCAAAAGAGAAATTACAATGGCTTGCGCTTTATTTACCTCATCCCAAATACACATACGTAGAGCAGTATTTATGATGTTATTGCTAATTCCCTTTTAGCTTCTTTACGATTAAGTAAAATACCAACTTGGGTCATAAATAAATGAGCCAATCAATTTCCTTACAATGCAAAAATACACATGCGTTCGTACGCTCAAGTTTACACCTAAATTTAGATTATGCCTTCTTTCAAACTTCCGTATAGGGACCACGATAACTGCAAAACGCTTGGACCGATTCGGTTCAAACTTTGCCCAGTTGACCTATTAATTACCTACATTCGAAAACGAAATTTGACATTTTCAGTTTTTCTGTGTTAAACATTTCAAATGCGTTTTTTTTAAGCGACAAGCGACTACACTGTATCTCTCGCTGTTACGGAGATCACAATAATGAGTCACAATTTTGAACTACTCTGTCCGATTTCTTGATTAAATTAAAACACTCCCCCAGTGAACTGGAAACAACCCCTAACATTTTAATAGGAGTAAGGGTATAGCCATGTTCCTTTTTAAAAGTCGTACCAGTTTATTATAGTATATTTAAAATGTTTTTTAATAACCAATTTAAGCTGCATCATTGTCATCGAGCAGAGTGCTTGATATTTTTGAAATATTGAAAAAGGAGTTAAGTGCGTGCTAATTAGGCTACCTAAGGTATTTCTCGTATTTACATTTTAAGGATTGACTTTATTTAATTGAAAACCGGTCAAAAAATGGGTACTTCTGAAAATAGAATTGACTTGTCCCCATTTTTTATAGATATTGGATAGGGGCCGAAATATGATACGTTTTAAAATAGACACACTGCACATAGTAGAATTTTCATATATGATGTTCATAGTTCTGATAGTAGTTTAGGGTCGCTCATCCTTTATTGTCGACTGGCAAAGATCACCATGTCTGTTTTGTCTCAATTAACGCCAGGTCACGAACTACTACTATGCCTTCTTGCGACATATGCAGCAAATATTAAATGATGATATTGCAAAACCCTGTGTTCGTAAGATTAGTGTTTATTCTGTGGCAAAAACAACTGATAAAGGATATTAAGTACTTATAACTTGATATTTTTAAGACAGTGGATAAAATTCTCCATTGACAGTTTAAACAATTGATTCATAAGGTGTTATTTACAATATAAGCTTTTAATTGACAGATTGCTAAGCACTTTTTTTGTAAAATTCTTCGACATTTTTGAAGATACTTTCCTGTAAAATAATCCACTTTAGTTACTAAGTGAGAGAAGTACCTAATGTCTATTAGTCTACCTAGTGTGAGCACGGTGCTCGTATTTTTCCAACCTCTAATGATTCGTTTCTAGAACCACAAAAACAATACTTTGTGTATTTGCATAGAGTAAATTACTATATGGTAAAAGATACCTATCCACTAGCACTAGCTCCTTATGAACCAATCAGGGCGAAAATCTGCATCATAACTTTACAACATTTTTAACCCTTATCACTAGATCCAAAATTTCAAGGCAAAAATTGATGTGTCTTTGACACACATATTAGTCCAGTCAAATTAGCTTTAAAAGGTCGAGTATAAACTGGATGTTGTAATTTCACTCAACGAAACCAATCGTATCCTAGAAAATTTTATTCTAAACAAGTTCATGTCTATTCATTCTTTCTCTCAGAGCAACAGTTAACGAGATATTCGAAGTCGAATGCGAAAAAACACAACATTTTCTTATTTTTTCTTCGTTTTTTGTTAATAACAACAATATGTTCCGGGCGTTTTCGGCCAGGGGGACTATGATTTTCCGGACTTGGTTTTCCGTAAAATTAAAGAAAACGATCATATTGACAAATAAAAGCTAACACTATTAAAATATTCTCTTCCGTTCCTCTACAGTTTTTGAACTCTAACGCAAGAAAATTGAAAAGTAGACTACTAACTTTTGAGTTAACTTAATATACTCAGTGACATGGAAATTGCAACACCAAGAAGGAGTAGGAATTTTTTTACCAAACTTGGCAGAAACGTTTAACTACTAAAAGGTAACAATTGATTAAAATTTCATTCATTTTTTTCTACTAATTTTATATGGTGTATGTTTTGCGAGATTTTGTTCAGTTCTTATTGTTTTCGCTTTTAATCATTTCTTTTGAGGCTGTGATCATGCCTAGAATACGTCAACGTGGAATTTACCACGAATTAAGAGAAGTCGACAGCTGTCGTATTGTTGGTTTGGACGAAAGTGGTTTTTCTGCCAGAAAAATTGCAAATCACCTTAACCTAAACCAATCCACTATGATTCGCTGCAATCAGGAATGGATTTGGGAAGGTCAGGATCATCGCAGAGTGGAAACGGAGGGGGGGAGGGCGAAACAGAACAATTGAAGTACAGGACCGCCATCTTGGACTTATGGCAACAAGAGACCAATTTTCTAGTACCAAGTCAATTGCTGATCAATGGTTAGCTAAAGAAGGTCGTCCTGTAACACTTCGAACGGTTTACCACAGAATCAGACCTTACGGCTTGCAATCCTATCGGCCACATCTTGTGTTTCCATTAACAGCCCAACGCCGCCAGCAACATTTGGAATGGTGTAGGGTTGCGACTGCGCTGGAACCTCGAGCGGCATAGGGTAGTGTTCAGTGATGCATCCCGATTTTGTTTGGGTATGCACGATGGCCGTATGAGGGGCAGCCGAAGACGTGGAGAACGTCGCAATGTTGAATTTTCTGTTACGAGGCATGTGCTGTGGGGACTATGGTATGGGGTACTATAACTTATTGAAGTAGGTCTCGTTCGTTATTCATTGGAGGTAATATGAACGCCCAGCGATATGTGGATGACGTGAAAGAACCCGATATTCTTCCACTTCTTCAGTAGTAGGAAGACCCACTTTTCCAACAGGAACCATCCCCATATTGAAAGACGTTCTATGGACCTATTTCCACATGATAATATCAATTTCTTGCCATGGCCATCCAGATCTCCCGATATATCGCCTATCGAGCATGTTTGGGACATTATGAAGAGAATACTGACTTACCGCATCCTCCGCAGACGCTGCAAGCTCTAAACAATGAATTACAGGTTGCTTCAGTTTTTTGGTACACAATACCTCAAGAGGAAATCGACCGTCTGCTAAAATTGATGCTACGAAGCGTGAGGGAGTGTGTAACCAATAGGGAGGGATTATTATTATTATTAATAAAAATATGTCTATATTTCGTTCTTTTTCTTTTAAATTTTAATCAATTGTTACCTTTTAGTAGTGAAACATTTCTACCAAGTTTGGTAAAAAAATTCCTACTCCTTCTTGGTGTTGCAATTTCAATGTCACTGAGTATATATGACATTAAAAAAAACATCCATGGTTTTAAGCTTTCCTGCTTCTTAGGGCAGGTCATTTTTAAATTGACTTGTGAACCAAACAGAGACTTGATGGAACTAACTGTTGATTGCGATGCTGAAACGACCCATATGTAGCCATTGTTTGTCGACTTGACAGTCACAAATTTGATTCGTGAACCATAAGGGTTCAAAAATTGCATATTGGTTGATTTGAAAATTCAAAGATGTGCAAAATACTCATAAAGCACTACATCTAATATTATTACTTGCAGACACATTATCCACTAATTGAAGATGGCCGCAAAGGCTTTGACTGTAACACTCTTTCTCCTTTGCTTAGTTCGGATTAGTCTGGTGAGACATCGCATAGAAACGCAAGGTACTAACTAACAATATTAATTTCCAGGAACATTCCTTATTGAAAAGGAGTATTGACTTAATCGCATCCCACAGTTTAATAGTAGATTCTAGGTTGCCCAGAGAAATAGCACCTAACAGTTATACAATAGAACTCCACCCCTTTCCCGAAGAAGGCTACTTTAAGGGTAAAGTAAAAATTAATTTGACGTGGCACGAACCCGCTAACAAAATTACACTACACGCACATGAGGATTTGGTCATTGAACATTCGGAAGTGAAAGTTACGCAGATCGTTCCTGACGATGAGAGGTATAATTGCAAAATTTAATTTAGTCGTAAGTAGGTACTTATCTTTATTTTAGGCTGAGGTCTTTAACTGCACCTTTTGAGCCAACAGACGTTAAAGTTACAAGGAGCGAAGTGGTTCCAAAGAAACCGTTGTACGTTATTCACTTGGACAAGCAATTGAAGACAGGCGCTCAGTGCACAGTGGACATAACGTATTCGGGCAAATTGTACAATGATACCAGCGGTGGACTGTTCCGTACCAACTATATAAACACTCATACTGGGCGGAAAGAATGGCTTGTCGCGTCTCAATTGCGACCAAACCTAGCAAGGAAGGTGTTCCCTTGCTTCGATGAGCCGGCGTTTAAAGCTACTTTTCTAGTCAGCATTGTTCGAAGCAATTTAGTAAAGTCCTTATCAAACATGCCGTTATCAAAAAGCGAAGAATTGTAAGTATAACAACAACTCAGTCCCAATCACAGATATATTTACCTTAGACACAACTGTGAGTTGGTAAGGGACTATTTTGAAGAGAGCCCTCCAATGTCAACTTTTACATTTGGTGTACTGCTGGCTAACTTTGTTTCAATAACTGTTAACAAAACCGACGGACAATCTAACCCCGGTAATGGTAATCGAGCTAAATTCTAAATCTAACCCACTTTGCCTTTAGATACCGAAATCAATGTTTGGGCAACTCCCGATTTCATAGGAGCAGTGCAAAACGCAACTGAAAAGATTTACACATCCTTGAAAGCCTTGGAGAAGCTTTGGGACTTTAAATTTCCATTACCAAAATTGGATTGTGTCGCGTTACCTAATTATCAGGGAACAAGGCCCGCAGATAACTGGGGGCTAATTTTCTTCAAGTAAGCAGTCAAAATGCCCACGGACGTTGTGTAATTTGAATATTATTTTAGGGAGAGCGAATTGAGTAGTAAAGGCTCTTGGTTGATTACGCATGAACTTGTGTATCAATGGTTAGGGGCTTTGGCAACTCCATTCTGGTGGAGTGACGCGCACATAAATAACGCTTTAGCTCGATACATTACGTCTTATATCACTTTACAGGTACTACTCCTTCATACTTTAATTCAAATTAAGTTATGTGTGACACATCCCATAAAATCGCCCTTATGGACTGGCCACCAACATATTCTTACATGATTTCAGGGTGTTTTAGGCGATGAGTTACATAAAACTTACTTTGAAATGAATTATACAAAAGCGACACTTAGTATGGCTACTTTTATAGGTAAGTGATGGAAAAGAGACATTCCACAACTGGCCAATGACTATGTTGTATTCCATTTACTACGAATTTAGTAAGCGTTATCCTCACGGCAAAGTAATGGCAATTAAGCAAGACTCCAGCTCGACGAAAACAGAAATGATATTTCGAATGTTAAACTACACACTTGGAGAGACAACATTTAACAACGGCTTGAAACGCTTTATGGCCGATAGGTAACTTAAACCTCAACAATCTCGATGGTATTCCTTGCTCTTTTAGGCAGTACAGAACGTTTTTCGGGGACGATGTTTGGTCATCGATAACAGAGCAAGCTCGTATTGACGGAAAGTTAGACGAATCGATTAGCGCCAATGAGATTGCAGGATCCTGGATTTCAAGAGATAGATTACCTGTACTGAACATCCAAAGAAGTACCAATGGAACCAGTGCCACAATAACTCAGGTTCTAATTGGCCGATTTAAATCTGTTGTAAAACGATAATGTATAGGATATTTTAGCGCGTTTATCTAAGAGAACGTCCGCATGATGTCCCCGATCAAGATAAACTATTGTGGTGGATACCTATCGTCTTAGTCACACAAGACAAGTTAAATTTCACAAACACCTTCCCCGTAATGTGGATGAAGAGGGAGAGGGAGGTTTCACTTTCTGATCTTCCCAGCGTAGACAAATTTATTATAGTCAATCCCGAAGAAATTGGTATGAAAGCTGATGCACTTGTTAGCGCTGTTTTAACGTAAATTTATGTTAGGCCCATTTCCGGTAAATTACGACGTTGCCAACTGGGACCTTCTCTCCAAATATCTGCAAACTGGCGAGAGGAATAACATCCCCGTCAATACAAGGGCGAAATTATTGCACGACGCTTGGAACTTGGCTTACGCTGGCGAGCTAAGTTTTAGTACAGCTTTAGATATGACGCTGTTTCTCAAATACGAACGTGAATATATAGCTTGGGATCCCATTTTTACTATGATTGATCATATTGGAAGGCACATAGATGGATCAAACGTTCACAAAAAATTCCTGGTAAGTATTAACTTCATTCTAATATTTTACTGTACGTTTGTATGCGCTAATTTATAGATGTATGTCAGGATGCTGCTTACGCCACTTTATGAAGAGCTGGGAACCGAAGCACAAGAGGGTGAAAATGAAGGAAGAGCAAATCTCAGGAGTTCTGCCAAAGTATTCCTTTGTCAGGCCGGTTATAAGCCTTGCATAGAGGAAGCGCAACACGCCTTTGACAAGTGGATGGAAGCAGAGAATCCAGATGAAGGAAACCCGTACAGCATAGCTTCTACAGTAATTAGAAAAACTAGACCATCTGTTTTTAGGGTTGCTAATCAATATATTTGTCCCGTTTTCAAATGGGGCTCTAAAGAGGAATGGGAATTTGGGCTACAACGTGTCATTAACTTCCCTCCGAGCCGGAAACAAAGTGAAAGAACATACCTACTAAAAACCTTGGCTGGCTGTCCAATAGACTCGTGGAAAATTGAAAAAATACTAAACATAACAATTTTGGAGAAAAACGGGAATTTCACTGATAATGATATTTATTTAATATTCAGCATGCTTACTGGTAGCTCTAGTGGGTACACCACTCTGTTCAACTACTTAACTAAAAATTGGAACGGACTCAAAAACGCGTAAGTACCTACTACTATTCAGCTCAGTAACATAAATTAAACTCGATTTGTTAGTTTTGAGAATAAACCTCAGCTGTGGAACAGTCTCATCACATCATCGACTTCGGTGTTCAAAACGCAAGAGGGCTTAGATATGGTTACCAAATTGTACAAAGAGAAACAAAATGATTTAGGAACAGCCGACTTTGTGATTACTAAAGCAATAAAAAATATAAAAGAAGAAGCCAAATGGAGCAATGACAATTTACCGGTCATTGAAAGCTGGTTGCAAAAGTATTTAAATTTAGAGAAAAATGGATCCGGCGACGAAGGAAGTAAATTTTTGTAGAATTATGAATAGTTAGGACGTATTTATTCTGTAATTAGTGGAAAATAAAAATTTAGTTTATATAGAACGAGTATGATTATGTGGCACTGAAGTCAAAGTCATGGTTGCATCAACGAACTTAACAAATGATAATTTAAAAAAATTACAATACTCGATACCAACCAATTTCGTAATTGATGTACAAGGTTTGTTCTATTTATTACTTAGTCAATTGAAATACATTCAAATAATTTTAATCTACCACGCACTTCCAAAAGTAATGTACTTTGGATTCTAAAACCTTTTTTTAAGTCACTCTTGTAACCTAGATTTTTGATATTTTCTACGATTAATAATTGGGACACCCGAAAAACTAACATGTCATGTTAGTACTACGATTATTTACGCAAAATTCGAGTCATAAATCAAAAGTCTGTAACAATATTGGGCGCACTCCTAGAATAAGAGGGAAAATAAATAAATAAAAAAATCGTATTCCAAAAATGTTTCAAAAAAACTTTAAATTCAAAAACTACCAGGTACTAAAAGTACGTTCGGAGGTCATTTCAAAAACTAGATGCGTTTGAAGATTGGGATTATGCATGGGCAATTTGAATAAATTTTTTTTATACTTCCATGTGTGCACCTTAAAAATGTCAATGCTATATTTTGATCACTTCTTGCGAAACCGACTTATCTGTGAAATGAGAATATTATTCGTTTCTGTGTACAGAGTGGCTATAGATAATCTACTATAAAAGGTGTAAATATTAAGTATCGCACTCATCGTAGTTGGCGGTTTGCAAATGCTGTTTTAAGTGTCAGGGTCACCTTGACGGACGGTCGGACCGACGGACGGACCGAAAGTCCAACATTATGAACTCGCTAGGAGCTCGTTAATAAAGTGCACCAATATAGACAACGAGTGACCAAACCACTTCCGGTTGACTAATATTGACCAAAATAAATAAAATAAATGCTAAAAGCAGAATTGGAAAATTCGAAAACGTTAATGAGTTATCGTGTCCACAGACGGACGGAGAAAAACCAAAATCATAATCTTGCTTTTTGTCGCTCGTTAATAAATACCCAGAGACGTCAACCTCACCAATTTGAGAAGCCGAGGCTGTAACGGTAGTTACATTACAATTATAGGAAATAACTTCAAGTTCGTGGTTCTATTGAAATTTTTTTACAACTGTCCTCTTCTCTTTCTATAGTACGAGGGTACTTACCTGTCATACTTTTACATTACAGCTAGCTTAGGTAAAATTAGGTTAAAGAAATGAAAGAATTTTGTTGATTTTTCTTTCACTAATAATCTCATCAATCATTAAAAATTGTAACAAAAATTTGGAAAAATACGGATGCCAATTTCTTGACAAAACGGCTCAAACCAGATATTCAAAAGAACGTTTTTGAGAGTCTTATATCCTTTATGCCTAATGTACATTGCCAAACTAACTGTGACATTTTTTTTCGGTTTTTTTTTATATTAAACCTATTTAATTATTTAATATAATTATTGAAGGTGGTAAATAGAATAAGAATGTCTTTCGTACAGTTTCAATAAAAATTTTGCGTTGCTATTTAAAAAAAACTTTTTTGACAGTATTACATCATTTATGCCCAATGGATACTGCCAAAATTTTAACGATTCAAAATAACAGTTTTACCTTGCTCGAATGGATTTTGGAAATTCGGATTTTCCTGTTACCAATGCTTGCAGTGCTACGAAGAAATATTGTACCATTTGTAGAGATAAGGTGGATTCATCCGAATATTTGCTAATACATGTTGACCTATCCCTCAACTGAACTCCAGTCAATAGGCTTCAGCCCCATTGCAGATAGTGTCGAGGATCTTCGGTTTAAATGGGCGTATTTTACTTCCAGAAAAAAACTGTTGTAGTGAAAACTTGGATACTCCCGTTGGCTTGGGTCGATTCCGTAGAAATAACTACTTAAATAATTAAATTTAAATACTAGACGGAGCTATGTGATTAAAAGTCACTATAGTAGCATATCGGCATGATCTAGCTAGATAGTAAATACGTTTCGTTGTTTTTAGCGTTGTAACGAAACCGGCACTTATTAACAATATAAAAAATCTGCGTAAATCTTATCCGCTATGTTATCTGTCAACATTTGGACTTGTTTTTATTATGTGAAAAAGAGTTTTTTAAAAATTTATTTGAAAAGCACGTTTTTTAAAGGAAAACTATAGGTCCATTGATACAAAATAACCTTCTCTCCAAAAATAGTCGTTTACAGGTATAGTGAAATTCGTGTTGGCGCATACTATACAGGGTGGTGACTTGCGTAACGCATCATACGGATTTCAATGTAAAATTCATAACATGCGATTATTGGCTCCCCAAATTATTTTGGAGCAACAATGTATTAAAGTTTTTTGTAGAAAAATTTTTTTTACGCCAATCAACCGTATTAGTTTTAAATTTTTTTCATATAAAGACGGAAAATTGGAAAAATAAAACCCGCATCTTTTTCAAGAATCTGCGATGCCAAGGAATTTTCTAAAACAAAAAGATATCCAGTTATCAATTAGCAGCAGTTCGAAATAGATTTTATGATCGACTTGGTTACTGCCTTGCAGTTAATGGTGACTTATTTGAACATTTATTGTAAATTGTTATACCTAGGTATTAGGAAACCGTTTTTAGTAATTTGATCTTTCTGTTGAATCCGCTGTTCTAAATATAATACTTTTTGATAGAATTTGATTTATTTTATAGCAGACATTCCATGGGATGACGGATATTGGCGTAGTTTTTGTATTATAAAATTCCATGGCATCACAGCTGATTATTGAAAAAGATGGGTTTTTTTCCAATTTTCCGTCTTTATTATACAAAAAATTGAAAACTAATACGGTTGATTGACGTAAAAAAAATTTGTCTTCAAAAAACCTTAATACATTTTTGCTCTAAAATAATTTGGGGAGTCAATCGCATGTTATGAATTTTACATTGAAATCCCTATGATGCGTTACGCAAGTCACCACCCTGTATACTCGTTTGCAATATTATTGACATACACCTCGTACAAAACTGACCTTGTTCATCATAATCATAACCCCACTTTTAAGTTAAGCAATCTTATATTATACCTTGCTTTTGGATGTTCTTTATTACTTCAATAAATGTTATGCTTCGATCACGTGTTGTTAAGAATAACTATGTACTTAAATATGGGCCGAAATAAATCCCAAACTTGGGCCCCTTGTGATGTATTCAATCAAGAGGTCTCCCAAAACAATTACGCCGTTATGGTATTAAATAGGCCAATTCCTACAGAATTTTCAAGGAATTTTGTAGTAAACTTATGGAGTAAAGGTAATTTAGTTGCTTTGTTCCCTTTAATAATGATCTTATTTAGCTGTGTTACGTGTAACTGTGGATGGAGGTACTAATCGCTGGATGTCGTGGTTAAAGTCAAATAATTACGATAACAAGCCTGATAGTTACCCCGACCTTGTAACAGGTGATATGGATTCTGCCTTATCAGAAGTGGTGGAATATTTCTGTAAGCAAAACGCAGAGCTAAAGGTTGTCCCAACACCGAATCAGAATGAAACAGATTTCACAAAGGCACTAAGAGAAGTTCATAAACACGCACTTGATCGCAACTTGAAGGTCTAATTGTACGTTGTAGGTTTTATGTAAATCAAATTTAGTGTTTCAGATCGATACTGTTTTTGTTATGATTGAATCTTCAGGCCGTTTCGATCAAATTGTAGGAAATATAAATACATTATTTAAAGCGCACAGTATAATACCAAATGTGAATGTCTTTTTATTGTCTGGTAATTCATTAACGTGGCTCTTGAGGAGCAATATCGTGCATTCTATTACAATACCCTTGGAATTGAGAAATAAACACAGATGGTGTGGTCTAATTCCAATAGGGCGACCTTGCGTGGTAACAACCACTGGATTAAAATGGAATTTGAGTAAGTCAGGCATGTTGTGTGTACCTACCAATTTAAGTTGCTGTGCTTTTAGGTAATTCAGTTTTGGAATTTGGTAATCTAGTCAGTACATCTAATACTTATAATGGGGATTCATTTGTAACAATTAGAAGTGATAATGATGTAGTCTGGAGTATGTGCATTAAAGATTTGTTATAGCTTTTATTCAAGCTTTTCCTAGGTATAGTTAATTAGGCACAAAATATGGGTTACTTAAATGTGCATGATTTAGGATGGATAGGTGCTGTACTGAACTATCCATTTTTATTTTTGATACTACTTAATTACCATGTAATTGTGAATGTTAAGATTGATTTAAAAAAAAAAAATTGTTATATAAAATTGTTGTTTTTATTTGATATGTGTATCAGCCTTCCTTATCTAATTTATCTTGTTTGTTTAGAGCAGTAGGTAACACACTTTAATTTTGGTACTCTACACTACTCCCTCCGTTCTTGGTAAATTGCAATCAAATTTAAGGCGGCTCTGCAGTGAATTAAGATTTCGATCTTGCGCCTAGACGGAAAAATTTGTAGGCAACTAACAATACAAATTGATGTTTCTAATGTGGATTCAAAAACGCTGCAAGGCTATAGGTGCTATTCATTCACAAACATTTAAATCTGAAAATTTACTTGCCAACATAGTTTTTTATGATCTGTCGAAAGAAAATATTATCATGAATTTTCCAATACCGTTTCTACCGGATGTCTATAGCAACTTTCTTATTTCAAATAAAAACACCCTGTATTTTATTACATTTTCGGAATCTACATGAAAATCTACGTCGTTTGATACCACATTTCCCTATACCCAGCATCAAAGGTTTTCAAGTAAATCAAGATTTTTCAAAATTCAAAAATTAAGTACTGGCTTGATTCTACGTGACAATGATTTAAATTTTGATCGCCCTTTTACAGAGTGTTTTAAAACGAATGGTCAACTTTATTAATACATGCAGATACATGTTTTATTTTTTTGCACTTTCAAATGTCGAAAAAAATTCTAGGTACAGCAATTTAGTATTACGTTCCGTTTACCTATCTGTTATGCTTTCCGTTATATTTTAGATTTTCTAAAATTGTGACCCTTATGCATAATTTTCTTAGAAAGCTTTGAAATAACGTTAGAAAACTTGTCAGACCTTTTTATAGTTATAGTTGATAGTGATGGTAGAAGAATAAAATAAAGATAGACATAATAAACAGAAACGACAATATAAAAAAACCAACATCAATTGAGGTTTTGTTCTACGTGGCCACCGTTTTTTTCAATACATAATAGGATCTTCCGATTAATTCCGTTGGTAGTCGTCTCTCTAATGTCTACTACATCCATTTCATCAAAAGCTCTTCTCTGCCTAACTTCCAGTTCTTCACGAAAAGCAACTAGTGTGAAGTAAATGTTGTCTTTATATGACCCCACACAAAAAAACCCAATGGCGTTATATCTGATAAGTTCTAGGAGGCCAACGCCACGGACCTCTGGCTCCTATCTTCAAAAAATGTTCGTCAAAGATATATAGTGTCGTATGTATAAGCATCATGGATAGAATGAGCCCGCGCTCCGTCATGTTGAAACCAGTTGTTTTCTTCATGTAAATTCTCAAATGCTGGTAAAATAACATTTGCTAACGCATTTATTTCAAGGCCTCCTAAGAAAATTATGCATAACGGTCACAATTTTAGAAAATCTATAATAAAACGGAAAGCATAACAGAATGATATGTACGAGTATAGGGAATGTAATTAATGTAGAATTTTTTTGACATTTGACAGTGCAAAAAAAATAAAACATGTTTCGTTTGAAAAAATTAACTTTTTAAGGTTTTTGAAGTTAAATAAAGTTGACCATTCGTTTTAAAACACCCTGTAAAAGGGCGAACAAAATTTAAATCATTGCAGCATCAAGTGAGTACTGCCGATTTTGGAATACTTTTTAAAATTGAAGGCAACGGAGTGATAGATACAGGACTCAAAAGGATAACAGCCAAACATCAAAATTGTTCAAAATCTTGAATAACTTGAAATCCTTTGATGCTGCATATAGGGAAATTGGTATCAAACGGCGTAAATTTTCATGTAGATTTGGAAAATACAGGGTGTTCTATGTAAAAAAGAAGTTGCTATCGACATGCGATAGAACCAGAAGTGAAACGATCATTCTTTCCGATAGGTCAAGAAAAACTATGTCGGTGTACACATTGTCAGATTTAATTGATCAATGAAAGCCTGAATACTTTTAGGTATCGGTTTGCGTGACACGACCTGTAATACTTGGTGTAATGACGGAAGTAGGTATCCATAAGAATCTTACCATTACAAACTTCTAATCAATGAAACCAGTAAACAAATACATTAAATTACATAATTATCTAATTATAGGAAGGTGTTAATGACGCCGGACAAAGCCCAAGGCGGTGAATTCCATTGCAGATAACAATGAATAGCCTAATCTCTAAAGCTATTGTTAGAACAATGAATAGGATTAATTCGCAATTGCCAGTTAATGACAATTTCGCCGGCGGGTGTATGGTGTAATTTAAGTTGCCTAACTGTGCTTTCAATTGGTGAAATACTTCATGATGTCATCAAAACATTTTCCCCAATTTTTGTTGTTAATTGAAGGGACGAAAAAGATATATCTATGTACACTCATACAATTTTGTTCGCTGGTTGTAAATCGCCAAAACCCATGTCTGTATGTTTTATTGAGGCGCCGTTATCTTAAAGGCAAGCTTTATCAATTGTACTAGTTATTTCCAAAATTATGGCAAACTTCAAAATTTGGTTTACGCACAATCATTCTGTTGGTTAATACGTACAATATTTGACGTCGACCCTTTTTTTAAATGCGATTAAAAATCAAAATCTTAAAGAAATGATTCGCTGTTTTGCGGATAGTTCAACACACTGCAGATTGAATAAAGAATGTGAATTATTATTCAATGGTACCACGTAGTATAATGTGTTGCCTATGTGGAGCAGTGTGATTATGTATACAATTATACCATGTGTATACAGTATGCTCCAGTCGAAGCCAGCACTATGCTAAGTTTCTTATTAGCACAGATTAACTGGAAATCTGTGTTATTAGGAAGTCAGTTAAAGAAACTTTTTTTACGATTAAAATGCTCAGAAAAACCGTTGAGCATTGGGCATGTTTCCACACCTTGAACGGAATTGACATATTTGGCTAGGTGCGCACTTGCGATTTTCTGTCGCACAATTGTTTAGTCGCAAAAATAAAGTGGGGAACTTACAATACGCATATGCGACGGCAAATCAGCAGCGACTACATGAAATTCTTAGGTGCCTGTCCTTGTAGTATAGACAAGTTCTCTATACAAGAGTAGACATGCATAGGTGTACTATTGACAAGAAACCGTTGCAATTAACTGACACTTTCTGACTTCCTTTGTCTTTCTCTTGGGGAGTTGGCGAACGGCAATCGCGCGACTTTAGAATCTGTGCAAAGTTGTCTGCGCCATCTTGAGAGCACGAACGCTTCTTACAGCCATCTTGGTTTGACTTTGTCGTCGAGAGAGGATTGTATGTACTTAGTTTGTTGGTATTTAATGCACTGCATTACTCCCGCATGAAGGCCTTGTACTTGGATTCGAAGTCTCGATCGTTGGAAAACTTCTTCTCCATCTGTAACAGGGGAGCGGTTGCTTTTTCTTTGTGTTTCTCAACCCTTCGGCGGCAGGCGTGCGATATACCTGTTCTTTTCACTCCGTGTTGATGTTTCTCCTTTCTTTTTGTGACGTCACTGCTTCTTGGGATTGAATTTCTTTCAATTTCCCAAAATTTGGTTAATGCGGACTCGTCCGTGATGGAGACCACGCTTTGTACTGGTACGCTTTCTTCTTTGGCGACCTTTGTCTTCCCCGATATAATCAAACCTACTTCCGTACCTATTTTGCAAGATGCTTCCCTCTCGTGGTTTCTTTCACCCTTGCTTAACCAGAAACGGAAGTACGTCGGAACCAATTATCAAGTTGACAATTTTCTACCAACAAAAGTTTTTCGTTAGATCAAAGTATAGGTACCATTTAGTAGGAAAAGGTAATTTTAAATTACCATTCGGCATCACATACTTCGCAAATGGAAACGCTGGCATCTCTATCTCTCTACAAAGCATCAAGGGGGAATATTTAGTTACCTGCCGAATTTTGGAAAGGGGTGTATATGTCGTAGTCTTTTAGTGAAATCAGTCATTTCACGAAACGCCTAGTCATTTATATGAAACTGTGGAACAGTTTACTTTCCAGGATCAAGCGATTGGATTCCCTTCCCATTAGAGATCGATAAATGGTATCCTTATCGATCTAGAAGGGGAAGGGAAATTACCCCACACGTACAAATTTTCAGCGTTTCACTAAATGACTAGGCCTCGGACTAGGCGTTTCGTGAAATGACTGATTTCACTAAAAGACTACGACATATATATATGTCACTAAAATAATTATTTTTAGAGTACGTTAAAGGATAAAAAGGTCGAAAAATCGATTCTTCTCGAATACTAAAACAATTATTTCCAAGATTTGTTTAACACGTAGTACAATACACGTAGTAAGAAGTGGCAAATGTAATGTACGCTTAAAGAGGTTGTTGTACCTAATTGAAATTCTAATTAGATGTAAGTAACTTCTTTTAATTTACATTCGTTATCGTAGTATAGGTGAACGGCAACGTTTTCAGTTAAGTTCCTTAAATATGTATATAGTCGGGAAAACAGAATGCGACTGCTGATCAAAGAATCCGCACGTATAATTTGTTTCCCCTGAGTTTTACAACTCCAACTATGCAGAAAAGGATACACGCATTTTATTGTCGAAAATTCTGCGAGGTTGAATTTCTAAATTTAGGTAAGTGTTATGTATACGACTTGAATTTTAAAACTGAAAACCAATCTGGACATGAATAGCCTATATATTGGGCGCTTTATATAGATTTTGGACGAGTAGTGGGATAGTTAAATCTCTAAATTCAGGATGCGCACGATAGAACTGAGCTTCAATATCTTGGACTCCTTATTAGGTGAGCGTCGTGGCGTCAAATTAACAGTTATGTCTGAAAATTAGTAATTATTGTTTATGTGACCACGCCTCAAATTATTTACCCTAATGTGTACATTCACCTCCCCTTTCGTTCCTGTACTGAAAATAAAGCGTAACTACCTACAATGACGGTAGCAATTTGTAATCGAAACACGGAAACGAAATTTCAGTTTACAAAACGATCTACCTATGGATCGGTATGCCAATGAAAAGAATTTTGTATGTTTTTTATTTTCAGAATTAGTGGGCGACATTACAGATATCATATATAATATCTATGTCGTAACCCTAATACCGATATACATACAGACATTAAGTCTCATTATATTAAATACCTATAAGCTTTTTGGTGGACTTCGCGTCGACGGCTAATGCACATGATAGATGGCTTTAATTTGCATCTGTTCGAAGTAGGTAAGTAGCTATAAATAATGTACTGGAGCTATTAATGTTTGAAACCTAATTTATTCACCTACCTAACTAAAAGAACCGTTTGCAAGTAGGTACGCGACCATGAACACGACCTTTTTTTGGTAGGTCAGCCAACAAAGGTAATGCACCTTACTCTTCTTGTTTTCTGTAACAAGCCAGAAAAGGGTTCATTAGAACTCAGACATGGTATTGCATAATGAATGAACCCAGGGTGCGCCAACTAAAACTTCAGTCCGATTTTTTGGTTCAAAAAAGGCAACAAATTAGAATGAAGGAGAGACTTTTCAGCTAGCACCTTTACCTGTACCAACTTTCATGTATTACTGCTTTCAGCATGTAAAAAAATTGGTTGTTTTAATAATTTTGGTACCTATATTCATCCCGCAAACTAACTAAAAACATTTCATAATTGAAAAAAATCACAAAATCCCATGCCCTGACTTAGATATTGCTTCTTCCATCCCTACTTCTTACGATCTTCTCTTTCTTCCTCGTGTCCATCCTGGCTCGTTCTCATCCTGGCCCGTTCTCATCGTCCTCATATCTCCCTCTCTCTATCGGTTTCCTCATTTTTTTAGTGCATTTTTAAAATATAAAATGCGCTATTAAATATTTCGACATCCACCTGTTTTTGAAAGTAAAACGTGGATAACTTTTACATACCACAACCAATTAATCTATTTTTTTTGCATACGCATGCATTTAGTGGTGGCAAGTAAAACTTTTGAAAATGGCGGGGGGGGGACCTTCCTGGTATTCTAATTAACCGTCCCATGGAAATGGGAAATTGGTTTGTACAAACTATAACACTTTCCTGCGCGACTTCTTTTCGAAGCGAATATCTTGAAAACGAAGTGTCTGAAGAGGATACTCATAAAGAGCAAGTGAAACGCCTGGCCGATACACATTTACTGGTGATGTCCAAATCTGGTCAGAATTTTTATTTACTACAAATTTCTTCGGGAAAATGGCAAAACCCGCAAAACACATTAACTTGATGCACGCAAGAACTAAAAATCTTCATTTGTTAAATAACTGCATCGCGGAAACTCTAAATTACACTCATTTGGTGCATAATAAGTAACTTATGTCCACTTTCTGTCTATTTCATGTGAAATTTCGGAACAAAAAGCGCTACCGCAATAGGCAGAGGCATAGAGTAAATTAAATTACTCTATGGCAGAGGCAAGTAGGAAAAATGCGCTAACTTATTTCTATGTTTCCTTTTTTTCTATAACTTCTTCGACCAGTACCCTTTCCTTAATTCTTCGTCTTTGTGACTCTCTGTATTATTCCCACATCAGACGCTTTATATATTCCCCTGTGTTGTGTCACATAATCTGCATTTCCATTCTTTTTCTTCCTCTCTGCATCTCTCATTTCCTCTCTACTCATTTCCATGTGTCTGCACCTCGCAACCATTTTTATGTTCTTCCGCTGTTCCATTAAATATTTGGATATTCACTTTGTAATTATCCCCTTATATTTTTTGTTTCCACGTGAATTTTCCCTTTGTTGCTGCAATGGGGGTTTACAGTATAGTTGAATTCCGCAGTTCTAATTTAATAAGCGTGTACCTGAAACCATAAAACATTTTTTTGGACAGTAGAAGTTTATTTAAAAATAGAGGCTGATTAGCAAAAAAATAATGAACATGTGCGGTTTTAAAGGTTTATTCAAAACGATATGATTGTGGCGGGCTCTGTGACGTAATAAGCCCGACCAATCAGCTCCTAGAACCATTCAGATGACATAACGACTTGGCAATATTGCAGGAGAATGGCATTTATAACTTGCGTCATCTGTCACAGGCACTTGTCACTTTCGTGCTAGATGCAGTTAAACATCCCTCTCAAAACGTCAAATGTGACAAACGTCAGACCCTCGTGTAAGGTTGCCAGCTCACTTCTACGTGATTGGTTGTAGGTTTGTGACGTATTTAGTCTGAAGTGTTTCAAATTCAGACTAAAAACACAGTTTTTCAATAATTTATTTTGGGTTTATTTTACTCCCAAATAAAAATTGAGGACACACGGGTCTTTTTATTTTTAATGTACTTTGTGGATCAGAAATAAAAAATGAAGGCGGGATGACCCCATTGTAAATCTCAGTTCCTTCTTGGTACTTTTTTCTTCCATGTCTTCTTCTTGTTTTTCTTTTGTTTTCATCTTTGTGGACAGGCACTCTCAGCTGTTAGCTTTTTCTTTCTTTATGTTACCGCCCCTCGTACTGTTTCAAATCCCCATGATTGTAATTTCTTCCGCGATGCAACTTGATGCTCTGTAGTGCACTGCTATAGTACTCATTCGTACGTCCGTTTTTTCAGTGGTGCCCTTGACGAAAGTCACATTTATACATAGCGATCAAAAATGAATGAACGTCGAGTCACCTTTGGAATTTTTGTTTACATGGGAAATCGTACTTAACTCGAACCTCCAAAGGCGACTCGACAGTCACTCATTTTTGATCGCCCGATATAAGTGTCATTTTATTTTTAAATCAACAAAAGTTATGTGCATTTGGTTGATAGTATACTGAAAATTGGTAATAGCAGGATTTTCCTAAGTTTGCACGCACGGCATCGGTGCATTATAGGTGCTAGTATCTGAAATCGATAGAACAGAATAAATATTTAGGAAACCATGGTGCGAATACCCACTACACCAAATCCTCTACACCCTACAGTATACCAACCACAATGCAGATTGTTGGTATGATTTCCTACATAGTTATTCTGTTCTGCCGCCCCTACTAAAGTAGCGCCCGGGTCGGACCGCCCCCCTACGCTGCGCCACTGTGTCTATGTTTAAAATCTGAAAAATTCACCCTTATGTAAATAAAGTACAAGCATTACCTGTTATGTAGAAAAATAAACAATTTCTGTATCACAAACAATAATTCTACTAAACTAACCTTCTAAACCGCACTGAAAACTGCACAGTTGTCCCATTTAGCCTAATCCTTATTATCGTATTATCGAAAGTACCTATGAAATCCCGCTTCTACTGGGACACCTTGAAAATACGATTACGGGATGAAACACGTAAAAAGGCTCCATTTATTTCTGGCTATAAATACCATACAATAAAAAGCCAGAATACCTACACCAGTTTGAGCTGTTTTTCAAACTAAGATGAAGGAAAATTCAGTAAAATGATACTAAACCCTCGTTACTCTTGATCTAGAAGACGTATAAAGAGCGTTATTTGTAAATTTTATACTGCCTCGGTACCAAAATTTTGAAATTTGAAGTATCAAATCAAATCAAATGCAAACTCTCTATATAAGTTCATTAACTTCATAGGAGTTCATTTAAAATCAATTTTGGTACTGGTGACTTAATTTTAATCTTCTAAACATATATCTATAGAAGAATGAAACCCAGAAATGTAGGTGGCTCCTGCGTGCGCTGCTAGTTTTCTCCGACGGTGTTAGTTGTGCACCAGGTCTAGTCGCAGTGGACTCCGTGAGTTGTGTGGTGCTCCTAGCCCGTTTCTTTTAGTCAACTCACTGTAAGTGATAGCTTTATTTTATGCTTTTGAAAATAAGCTTCATTTTTAAATTGTTTTAATAATTAGTTTACAATATGACCATTGGAAGTAAAACAATTTTAAAATTTAAGATAGAGCCGTATCAGCCTGCAAAAGGGCGGTTGTAATTTCAATTTAATCTAGTGATATTGCGAAATACAGTTAGTACATTTTTAATGATTTACCTAACACCAAAAGTTATAAATAGATGCTTCTAAAGTTATACCATGCCGACGCCTGAATTTAATCTAAGAATAGCTGGGCTACATTAGCTCTAGCCAAATATGACTCGGAGATGAAATTACATCCCTCTTTCAAACTAAAAACCAGTATTGATGAAATAAATCAATTAAAAAATAATATTATGCGTTTTTCCCCTAAATTTCGTCTCTATTGTTACAGAGCTTTAATTCCCATTAAACATGTCCGACGACGAAGAAGTTTATTCGTAAGTTGCAAATGTAAAGATTCTGAAATGCAATCAGGTGCTTGGCGTGCGAAACGAACGTACCTAATTAATGTGCTTTAATTGCTACAGAGGCTAACATCTAATTGTTTAATGTTCTTGTTTAATTGTGAATTGTTGCTTCTAGTGAAGAGGAGGAGGAAGAAGAAGTCGTGGAAGTGTAAGTGTCTTTAAAAATACATATAGCAATAAAAGTCAAATTGGCAAACAGCCCCGTTTCTAAATCTTTGGCAATCATTCAAAAATGAATTAAATTATTAATTGCAAACGTTACCTGATTTTACCTACTGCTAACATTTTTTTTCTTTTTCTTTTACAGAAAGTAAGTACCCCATTCGTTATCTTGAAAGGAAATCGCAATTTTTGCTCCCAGCAAAGTCCTTTTTTAAATGCTTTATTTTTTTTAATTACATCAAACTATAATTTTTATTTTTAATTTCCTCTTCAACCGTGATCTTGCTGCTGGGTGTCCTCATGGGTGTAATAAAGGAAAGTCGAAAAGAAAGTCGAGTAAGTGGTCAAACTTCAGTGAAGTCGCCATCGCTTATGCTACAAACTAATATTCTTTGTACTATTACGATGAGTTAATAAAAAAAAAAGATTCAACACCACTTTATAATAGTACACAGAATTAAGCAGAAGAAAAATACTAAACAGTCCAGCGGCTCTACAGCTTGTTTAGCCTCAACAACAACAATTAAACGTATTTGTGTTCGTCTAGTATTGTTCATGTTTTTGTGTTTCGCTACGTAGGTAAAACTTTGTTAAATACTGCACGCTGTTTTTAATTTTTGTAAAATAATTTTTACATTTTAGTGATTAAAAATATATATGTTGGTTTTAGTTTACGCGATCCAGTCATGTTAAAGGTTTTTGCTTATTTTCATTATGCATTTTTGAACTTACTGTATGTTTTTGTATTAATCCAGTGTCCAACGACTTCATCTTCTCACAAACAATATATTGAACACGAGTTCAATATTCTTTACGACGAAGATGAAAGTGAAGTCCATTAATGGTTTAATGAAATATACTTACAATGCACATGTTCTAGGGAAACGGGCGATCCGGAATTTGTAAAGCGCCAGGACCAAAAACGATCTGATCTAGACGAACAACTCCGGGAATACATCACAGAATGGCGCAAACAACGTGCCAAGGAAGAGGACGACTTAAAGAAATTGAAAGAAAAGCAAGCGAAGCGCAAAGTAACCAGAGCCGAAGAAGAACGTAAATTGGCAGAGAGAAAGAAGGCCGAAGAAGAAAGACGTGTTCGCGAAATTGAAGAGAAAAAACAACGGGAGCAAGAAGAGAAGAGACAGCGTCTCGAAGATGCCGAAAAGAAACGTCAAATGATGATGCAAGCTCTCAAAGATCAAAGTTCCAAGAAAGGTCCCAACTTCACTATCCAAAAACGAGATCCTAACGTGAGTAGAATGTAGTGTTTACATTTCCTACATAATCAACATTGCAGTCTGCACTCAGCCCCGTGCAATTGGAGAGAAATAAAACCAAAGAACAATTGGAAGAAGAAAAGAGGATTTCACTTTCAATTCGCATCAAACCTTTGAACGTCGATCACCTTAGCGTAGACAAACTTCGTGAAAAGGCGGTAGAATTGTGGGATTTAATAGTTAAGTTGGAAACCGAGAAATACGATTTAGAAGAAAGGCAAAAGCGCCAAGATTACGATGTAAGTTGTAATTAATTTCGATTATAACTTTTGACCATCTTCTATATTAGCTTAAAGAATTGAAAGAACGTCAAAAACAACAGCTTAGGCACAAAGCGCTCAAAAAAGGTTTAGATCCCGAAGCTCTCACCGGAAAGTACCCTGTAAGTTGCCCCAAGCTCTCCAAAAAACGTGTAAGAATATTGTCTTATCCTTTCTAGCCTAAAATCCAAGTAGCCTCCAAGTATGAACGACGTGTAGACACAAGGTCATATGGAGACAAGAAGAAATTGTTTGAAGGAGTGAGTAGTAATCTTTTCTTTATTGTATAATAAGGGGCTTAGGGTGCGGGTCTTTAATCTTTTAATTTAAATGGCAATAATTTTAAAAATAACGTAGGGTTATGAGCATTTATTGATGGAAAATGTTGAAAAATCATGGCAAACGAAAATGGACGAATTCATGAGTAGGTCACGATGTAAGTGCCAACACTTAAGTGTAGTTTTTTTGTTTGTTTTTGTAATGTTTATTGTTTTTTGAAACTACACCAGCACCACATGATTTAGTTTCGGACAAATTTTGTTTACTCAGTACATATTTAATGATATTTTTACAATGGGCCCAATGATACATATAAAAAAGTGCAGTTGTCACCATAACCACTTCAGTCACACCATCTGCATTTCGACAATTTGCCAACACAAACAATTGAAGTGTGTTTTTATATGTATTTAATTCCCGAAAGCTAGCACATAGAAGCTTTAACTTGTGTACTGTGCATTTTGATTGCATTGTGTTACGTCCTTTAACAGGGTTATGAAGAACAAATTAAGGAAACACACGATAAAACTTGGAATGACAGATCTGGTCAATGGGACGCTCGTCTAAAGGGTAAGAACCCCTACTCCTTCACATGCATGTCACTAAATAAACTGTAAGATAAAAACACTAATTACAACAATTAACATTAGCTCGCTTACCCAAATGGTTCGGTGAACGACCTGGTAAGAAAGCTGGTGAACCAGAAACACCTGAAGGCGAGGAGGAAGGTAAACATATTGAGGAGGAGGAAGACCTGAAGGAACCCGTATTTGAACCGGAGCCCGCAGATGAGGAAGAAGATGAGGAGATTGAAGTTGAGGAGGAAGAAGAAGAGGAGGAGGAAGAAGAAGAGGAGGAAGAAGAAGAGGAGGAAGAGGAAGAAGAATAATTTAGGTATATTTATTAAGTTAAATTGGAGGTGATTCTAACCGCTTGTAATGTCAGAGTAGGGCGCCATCAAGTATGAATATTCCACTACAGTTTCTAATGCCGCTTCCGCAGCAAAAATCAGAACGTATCTACTGTATTATGTTTTAATTTGTTTCCAATAAATCTTTACTGGCTATGTATTTTATTTGTAAATGTAATAAAGTTGTATTTAAAGTGAAGAGTTTGTAAGCAATTAAAATTTAACAAGTGCGTAAATTACTTTAAGTGAGCTAGATCGGGGGCAGACCATTCTGTCGCTTTATTAGACCTTTCTTTAGACAGTTTCTAAGAAGCATTTTAGCACAATTCACCAATGTGAAGGTACTTACTTTTTTGATCAGAGTCAGTTTTACTTTTATTTGAGGTGCCTACATAGAAAATTTCATTTAAATATCTTAACAAATAAAAAATTTGAAATTGGGCATGCGCAAAACAAATCTTTTGATTCGGCATTAGTTTTAGTTTTATTTGAGGTGCCTACTTACAAAACGGACAGACAGACAGCAATGCAAAATTATAAACGATCTCGAGGATCGTTAATAATGATTTGTACTGTATTATCAAAAATGCAGCGCTTTCATACCATGCATAATATGCTGATTTACAACTTGTTTTAAATATTTGCTTTATGTTAGGAAGCTGTTCTGTCAAGAAATTGGCTACTGGTTTAAAGTAGGTATACATATAGACCATTTTGGTATACATTTAAGAAAAAGTCACTGTTACTCATCTCGTATTGACGACGATATTTAAGTCCCTGATAAAAACCCCCAGAGCCAATCGTTAGAAAGATGTGAAAGTGAACGCACAACCTCCCATATAGCAGCGGTAACGGCACCAATGCTGATACTTGCCCGAGCAGTTCAAGAAGTGGACAATGGCTAGTCTAAAGGCGACCATACAATCTACTTTCCCCTGTGACTGGTTTTTACTCGTAGGATTCTGTGCATAAAACCGAACCAAATTTCTTCCAGGTGCCATTCCCATTGAATTCCATTCCAACCTTCATTGAACATTGATAACGTAAATATCAATGTTATAGGAGAGCAATGCCTCTTATTTTAAGTTTTAGTTTGACGCAGAATATTCTGATCTTATTTCTAAGTCTATTATTAAATTTTTAGAAAGTGTTCCGAATGTAAAGAATGCATTGAAAAGATGTGAATTTAATTTCTCTTTTGATCTGCGTAATTGATAGCGTTTTCCACTTGCTGCCCTCTGTCGAACTGAGATCGACTTTTTTACGTTTTAGCGTTTTCCAAATTTCCACTCACGTAAATCAGTTCGCATTATATCAGAGCAGCGTTTTTCACTTGTCCGGTTGCTCCATGAAATTTCGCTTTAAATTCGCATTTTGTAGAACTGTGTTAAAGATTCAGAGCGCTATACATAACCTGAAAACTTTCTCTTTCAAAATAACATTTTTTTTCATTTTTTGCAGTGGATGAAGTTATTTGTACTGTTGTATTAGAAATACTGACGGTTTCTTCAGATACTGATGGTGAAGAATTAGGTTCAATTATTACAGAACACAATAGTGTACCAAAAATTAGGAATTACTTAAAAATAATTTCACAATATAGTAATAATCAGGTAAAAGATTCTTTGAATTTGTGAAAGTAGGTATTACTTAACTAACGATACAACAATTACAGTTTCAAAAGAGTTTTCGGTTGTCACGCGTTTTCCACTGCTCCAAAGTAGTGCAATTTTTTTTACTGCTCCAAGAAAGAGTGCGGTCAGAATTAGGGCGGTACCAATGCGCACTGCTAATGCATCAGTGGAAAACGCTATGAGATTCTGAAGGTTATAAGTTGTACAGTGATTAACAAAAGTAATAATAATAGCCGAATCGGTAAACTCTGCAGCATACGCAACCAACATACCTTCCTCCTATCACACCGAGCTCCGTCGATTTCTTTAATAAGGGGATGCCTTAATTTGTCAGTTCGCATTTCCAAATTGCACAGATATTACCTATTAATATACAGAGCGACTTTTTAGTCATTGGGGAATTTTGGTCACGGTAGTAGAAATCATGGTGTTCGCACAATGACGATCATGTTTTTTCATTAGCGGTAGATTACCTGTCCCTATTAATAAAACAATTGCGTGTCGCCGTGATCCTGGATGGAGCGATTGATCGATAATGCCTGTCTCTATATTATCAAATTTCACAAATCTTTTTAATTTACTTCGGAAACTATTTGAATTATTATTATCATCGTTTATTAATGTAAAAATGACAGGCGCGTTTATTCAATTCATTCACATCCTTTAAAGATTTGTTTGGAGAAATTGTAGGGGCTACAGTTAATAAATCCCTCAAGCGGATCTAAAAAAGCGGTAGAGCATCTTGTTGTGACCACACGGGTTCATTCGATTTGACCCATTTTCAATCGGCTTGCTACAGGTGGTATAGAGGTCAACTGTGCGAAGTTTGACCAGAATTGGCACAAGCGTTTGGTACTTATCGTGTGCACGGACAGACAGACAGACGGCCACCATCGACTCCTCTATAAAGCTTCCATCAATCGCCTTGCTCTGCCCCTTAATAAATTGTTGTCACAATATGTAAATTTTTTTTAGTCTGTACCTTTTCACGCTATAGAATTTTTTTACAAAAAGGTACTATAAAGCACATCATTTGTCAACACGCTTAACTTTATGCCACTGTGAATATTATATTTGCGAATTCAATTTTGGAATTATGTTCTGGATAAATGGTGAATAAAAATTGCAATTAATTTTTTGGTTAAATCCAAACTCATTTCTAAACAAATGAACTATATAAATAAAAAGAAACAAAAAATACAAAAGGACATAAGTGTGGCGACGAGCCGCATGCACATCTGGCAGCAAACTAAAACGTGCAACATTTTATTTAGCATCGCCCGCTAAAATAACAGTCATTCAGATTGTCTGTATGTATCGTATGGGTACGTAGGTGGCACTCACAACAGCCATCTGTGTGATCTAACAACAGTCGTGGTATGACTGCTGGGACCGTCAGCTTACCCTCCGAAGCATGTAAAGTGGGGTATGAGCACCAACATTCTGATTCCGAAAACCCCGTGAAAATTTTAGGTCACCCTTAAAATTAATTTGACAGCTAGCGTTAAAATGTAACATTCAAAACGACCTACAATTACACATGACCAATATACCGTCTATTTTCTCAGCATACGAAGTTTGCGTAGTTTTTCGTTTAGTTATAAATTTAAAAAAAATTAGTTTATTATGAAATAAATATTTGGGAGCTTTTGAACTGTCTTTAAACATAGATTGTATGTATTTCAGTTTGTGTGGAAGTTATTTAGTGGCGGGAAACATATCTTCCTGAAAAGTATGAAATATAATCTATCTAAATCAAATCAAATCAAAATACTTAGGTAAGAGATGCTTAAATAATGATTTCGTAATAGTTTTTATTGCAAATTTCTAATGATTTCCGTGATTTTTTCTGCATTTAGTGATCGTAATTGAAATAAAGAAAGTGGAAAACCATTTGATACTGGTTCAGTTTTGGGAGCGTATTTCGGATTCAGTAAGAAAACTCTACCTCTACCTTCGGCTGGAAGTACGTTTTACTTAATTCGTATTTCTCATTTTTTACTCCAATGAAATACATCCCTTACTAACGTGTGGGTGGTGAAAAGTAACAAAAAGTCTGAATCACTTAAAATTGAAATTTTAAAGCAATTGTTGGGCACATATAATTTCTTAGGTTTTGGCGACACTATTTTTACCTGATTATCAGATTTACATGGATTATCAAGGTAACTTCCACAAATTAAAAGCTTTGATCTTAACACTATTACTATTAGACAAATCATATGTTAATATACATCTAATGGAGCTTACAAATGTATTACATAATGTGACATTCATACATATTTACTTAATAATATAAATTCTGTTTATGCAGCCACCACTTTCGGTTGATGTCCTTTTTGGGTCATATTAATTTTGTCGCCCAAACTCAGTGCCATACCCTATAAATGTGTGCGTAAATCAAATTACAAAAAAGCGAAATTACCTGACTCTTCGCCCTTATACGGATATGCCCTGTAACCGCAGCTTCTGGTTTATTAAAAGGCTTTTCAATACTCAAGTTTGCTAGAGCATCCTCTCCAAAAATTGATTTGGCGTACATATTTGCTGCCATAAAGCCGCATTGTCCAGACAATGCCTTTTCGGGAGTTAAACATTTCATATTGGTACTTTTCACTAAATGTTTCAAATACTCCGATAGATCAGTTATGGTCGTATTGACCGACACTTTATTTTCCCATTCAAATTCGGCCCACATTTGTCTGAATTCGGAATCGTTGCATGTTGCGGGTACAATGTAATCCATGATGTCGATATGAATGTCATCTAATACAACCACATTTCTATCCGATGCAGCTCCGGTTACATCATAAACAATGTTGCCGAAAATGATTCCATTTTCCGTGGATGCAACTTTGACATTCGCCTTAATGTTGCAAAAGTCTTTAGGCGCCAAGACTACAGGTTGGGGCTTCTCCACTAACTTGAGGTCGCCTAAAGTGGCAAGTTCCAAAGTGCAATTTTGAAGTGTGTCGTTCGTTTGATTTACAATGAGAACATCTAAGACAATGTCATATTGGTTAACGTGGACGTATGCCTCGGCATATACAGGGTCGGAAAATCCGGTTAGTTGCGTGACCTTGTTCAGTTTTGTGGTCGAAGTAGTCTCAGAGGTAGCAGTTCGACCGCCTACAAGTGCTTGCGAAAGGGACGTTTCGAATACATTTTCACCTAATTCAGATCGATCGGATTGTAATTGCATAAACGATATTGGATCATCCACTTGAATTATATTGCTCACTTTCTCTTTGGCCTTTTGAGTGGCGGCCTCCTCTGCTTCTTTAGCATTCAACATATCATTTAGCGCTTGGCGACAATAATCATTAAAAATATTTATTATAGTTGTGGAGCGATCCGATAACACGCGCAAACAAAACAATAAATGGTCAACATCATCGTTTGTGATCGCCTTGGTTGGTAAACCTACAAAGTGTTCCCATTACATTACAAAATTTTTAGAAAATCCATTTAATACAATATGACTATTATTTTTTAGAAAAAAAAAACACCATGTATATAATGACCTCCATGAAAAATGCATTATTTTTTAATGAATAAGAACTGTTCAACTCTTTTTGTAATGGGTCTACAGACATCAAAAACCCACCATGTTTTTTATAAGCTACATTTTTACTAGTCATTTTTTCGATAAAATACTTTTGTTTTGAACTATTGGCGAAAAATCTTCGGAAAATGTGCTTTTTTTTAATTGAAAAACTGGTTTCCATAAAAAACTGTATAGAAGGAAAGTTTCTTAGAAGTAGTCAATCTGTCCGTTTCGTGACAGACACCTTCTTCACCTCAGAGAAGGGATGGACTCCATCCACAGGATAAAAGAAACCCAGGTAGGGTCCACTTGGAAGCAGATAAATAAATAGAATCTAAATCCAAATGTTTGGCAAAATTGTAACGGAAAACAATCATTGACTGGTAAAAAAATACCAGATAGATGTGCAAAACGGCGCCGCCTCACCTCGTACGAGCGGCAGGCTATATAATCAGAATCACTAATCAGTATTATCTAGGTATGAAATATACTTTACGATCTATTCTCATACATACCAAAAATATAAAAAAAAATTCACAAAAATCCGTCAAGCCCTTTTGGAGGAGTGCACCCACAAACACTGTGAAATAAGATTCATAAAATACATTTAACAAGTTAAAAAGTAATCGTAAACGATTTACATAAAGCGCATTTCCACTTGCATTCATTTCCCATTTGTAAAATTTGTTAAAATCGTAAAAATCCGGTCACAAATATTGAAAGATTGCGTTGCACAAGAGCAACCCATTTTTGACATGCTATTTCAATTTCAGTTTATAAGAAGAATTTCATTTCAATGCTTTTCTAAATAAAAAAGTTGGAACTACGCATGCGCAAACCTAAATTTTGAAACTAATGTTAGATTTTCTTTTGTTCCAAGCGCCAAAGTATCAAATTTCACTTAAATGCTTCCATAGATAAAAAAAGTTGGCACTGCGCAAGGGCAAAAAACGCTAGATTTTCCTTTATTCCAAGTGCCTATGTATCACATTTCATTTAAACTCTTCCATAAATAAAAAAGTTGGCACTGCGCATGCGCAAAACCAAATTTTGAAACTGGAATTAGATTTTCCTTTATTCCAAGTGTCTATGTATCAAATTTCATGCAAATACTTTTATAAGAAAAAAAGTTTGCAATTCGGTTTATAAATGGTCGAGATGCGAAAAGGGCACTGTGAATTTTGAATTGATTCGACTCAACTTTTGGCAATGCGTATTATATGGCTAAGGCTATGCCCATATTGAATTTCATGCAATTCAGTTCATAACTAACGGAGATGTAAAAGCGATCAGACATTTCTAAACAAAATTATCGTTCACACGGACAGATAGAGGGACAGACAGGCAAAGGAACAGACGGACAGACTAACAGACAGACGACAGACAACAATACAAAATTATAAATGATCTCTAGGATGGTTAATAAACGGCAAAAGTGTAAAATTATGGAACATGTAAAAACGGTTTGTTGGTTTTTCTACAATAACTTTTTTAGCAATAAACGCAGAAAAAATTCCTTCCTTGGTGCAAGCCTCGACACCTTAACGAACAAAATAGCGAAAAAAGTAGAACAATAGCTCTTAAGATAAAGAACTAGTAGCGTCGCAAAACGAGCGGACGGACGGACGGACAAAGTGGCCACAACAGCGCAATTTTTTTTTATTTTTGTGGAAATGCGCTAAAAATCAAGTGTTGTATTAAAAAAAGTGCTCGCACACAGCTATCATATTTTTTCTTGCGCATTTTTTGCACTAAAGAGAAAATATACAGGGTACGTCAAACCAAATAACAACCATATAAAAAAGGGAAAAGGAACATTTTCAAAAGACTATTACATACAGCTAGCTGTTGCCTTCTAAAGTTCTAACTGAATATCTTCTTCAGTTACAGATTATATCCAAAACCAAGCGCTTATCAACATACAGCCAGTGATCATCCTGAGCTAACTCGGTATAGAATAACTGAACAAAACATTGTTATCCGCTACTACCTCCAATTTCTAACATATAGCATCCTAAAAAAAATTTGCTATGGCTAGCACAGATACCACTGGTACATCTGCGCATGCGCGTTTCAGTCAAAAAGCTGTTCAGCTCTTCCTTTTACGTCTAACAATATGTGTAATAAATTTGGTTCCAATCGGTTCAGTCGTTTAGCTGAAAATGCTTTGGATGAAAAGCTGTCCCAATCATGGTCATAGGAATTACTTTCCAGCACAGTAAACTGAACGAGCACAGTATATGGGACTTCTTATACCACATTTTTTATTAGAGGCAGACACTCCTCCAACTCAGAGAATTAATCATGCTGATCAAAATTCTAACCAAATTCGTCTAAAATTAGAATGATTTTTCCAAGGGCTTTCCCCTTAAGCCTCCCAGGTTTATTTGAAATCGGATGCTTAAGTAACACTGGCAATTTCTCTGGTGATACTCAAAGGATCTAGCCCAAATGCCAGTCCATTCACATACATCTCTGTTTATTCTACCTCGAATAGAGAACAAAGAGTTGGATTTAGCACATGAAGATTAAACATGAATAATTCTTTTTGTCACCACCTGCAAATGCATGGAGACAAAAATCAGCTGAACTGTGGTGTTAAGGGTCCCTGGTTCGGGCATGGATATTTGTAAATGTATAGTGGGTTGCGTTGGCTGAAACCCCGCCCACTCAAAAATAAAGGTAAAATATGAAATAAATAAAATCACGTCAATTGTAATATATAAGGATAGTGAATAGAAATGAATTCAAATCAAGATTAAAATTTTCTTAAATTGGACTCACACCAAGGATGAACTAATTTACTACGCACTTACCAGATTTTCCAAGATGAATAATACCCGAAAGCAAAAGCATAATTTCGGCATCGAAATGATTCCTTTTGGCTTCATTGACTAACAACCCGTAGCGAAGAGCAAGCTTGGTTAAGGTTGTACCAAGTGCAGCTCCTATGAAAAAATCTCCATCCATTAAATACTGACGAAGTGGTGGCCTTTGTTCCTTTTTGGATTTCCTGCATAATTGCAACATACAACTAACACACGAAAATTCAGTGTGTAACTTACTGGACTGTGTTAAATGCAGATTGTGTAGCATAAGTGCCGTCGGATGTAACTAATGTAGCAGTAGTAGTTGTGGCTTGAGGAACACTAGCGCCGTCTGTCGAGGTTTCTCCACTTACTAACTTCTGTTCAATCTCCAACAAAATTCCTTCTCCTAGGGTGAGATGAAATTGTTTCACAACGGTTTCTATATCGGTGACGGTTGTGGCGTACTCCCCGAGAATCCATAATGCTGCTCGGTGAACTTTGACAGATTTGATTTCCGCAAACGATTCCAATAATTTCTAAAAATTGTCACACATTAAATCATGATTAAAACACACGCAACGCATATTTAAGTTAGCAATAGAATGGTACTTAGTGAAAACCCTGGACCCTGTTTTACAGTTTTTCTTACAAATGAACGTTTTCTATTGGACAATGTAATTTAGAATGAGGACGAGCACTAATGCTAGTTTTGACATTGTACATTGTTTTACACCAAAAATAAAATTTAAAAAAAAGTTTTAATTAATAGTGGTTACAAAACTGAGTGGTATGGAGGATTAAAATATTTTTGGAATAAACAGAGACCCCCATCTGACCCATATACTTAGGAGCTATACTCCCTTACACGTAGTAGGTATTGCCGCACTTAATAATAATAATAATGTTTTTATTAGATGACGATTGGAAAAATTCTGGAAATTGTGGAACAATTCTCACCTTAATTTTGACAGTTGGCAAGGGTTCTTTGACAATGGGAAGGGTGCTTTGGCAGTTGGCCTGGGGTAGAAATTTCGGTAGTTGGCCCCAAGGTGTAAAGTCAAATCTTTGTAGTCGGTCCAGGGTGCAAGGTCAAATTTTGGCAGTTTATCCGGGTGCAAAGTCAAATTTGGCCAGGTGGTTTAGGGTGCGAGGTCATATTTCAGCAATAGAAAATTCAAGAAGTTCTAAAAAAATTCTGGGTATTCTAAAAAATTCTAAAAAAAATCTAAACCATTTAAAAATTCTACAAAAAACTAAAAATTTTTAGTGATTTTCTCCTTGGACTAAACCACTTGAAATTTGTGTACACTAAAATTCTAAAAATTGTCTAAAACAATACTTAATCGTATGTGCCAGTGCGTTCGAAAAAAATTCTTGGAAATTCTAAACAAAAATCTAAAATTTTTACATTCTAAAAAATTCTATAAAAAACTAAAAAATTCTAAAAATTGTATGAAATAATAATTATGTTTGCATGTACGTTCGGAATTTAATTCTACAAAATTCTACTTCTTCTACAGTTCATAATAATAATAATCATCTTGCATTGTAGAATGAGCCCTAAATGGGGTAGGGCGCAATTCACACAGATACTAGTTGGATTTATTTTATTATTATGTTAAGTACATGATTTGTGGAATTAAGTAGAATTACAGTAGGTAACAAACGAGGTAACAAAGTAATATTGGAGAGAAATCAGAGTGCAATTAGTGTGCACAACTCGGTGCACAATTTCAGGGCTCTGTTTTCTCCTCGTTCCATTGTTTTGCAACCCCTGATGATTTTATTAATAATTTTTTGGAAATTTAGTTCAGTGTTGCACTGTCTATTGCTAACTTGAAATATTAGATAATTAAAAACATAATCAACCACCTTACCTCAATTACCAAAGGTCGCAAGTGCTCAAATTTCTGAATAGCTTCTCTGACAAATAGTAAAACGTCGGTGGCAGCCAATTCATTAGTATCCGACAAAAATTCTGCTAGAACAGGTATAACAGTGACAGCCACGTCGGGAAATTTAATACAGCAAGAGTGCAAGGTGCGAACTAGCAACTGCCGATACTTCCCAGTGTCCTCGTGTTCGACATCGTGCGTTTTTGAGACCTCTTTCTTTAACACCAACACCATCTCTTCAATGTTACGTGAGGAGACAAGATCCAAAGCTAGGCCTAACGTTTTATTGCGAACTTCCAAGTCCGGTGTCGCCAACACTCTCAGAACATCCATGACCAAATCTTGTAAGACACGCTCGTGCGCGGGATGTTCACGCAATGCAATGAGACGGTCCAGTACAATTAACTTCACGTTGTTATCGCTCTCTTTGATAATCAGCTCAATGTAACATGTGGCTGCCGCTTTTATTGCAGTTGGGGCATTGGATAGTGTGACTAATGTCCCGGCAGCTTCGTATCGCACGGCAGCACTGCTCGAGTTCAAAAGATTGTAAATACATCGAATAAACCGCGACCGTTCCAGTGGATTGCTGTGACAAACTTTATAGATCAATTCTACAATAACCAACTGCAAGATGTCACCGAAAGTATTCACTTGATCTAAGCAGGACGTTAAATAAGAAAGTGCACGTGTCTGATCTGCATGCAATAGCATCAAAAACGCATTGCGCTTGCAAGACATGTCTTGTTCACCATCTAAAAACGTTGCAATCAACTCTGGGGCATCAGGAATTAAAAATTCAAAGTTGCGATATATAGTGAAAATTGCTAGGACAGCATTTCGTCTAACATAAGAGTGCCGATGTTCCAAACACGCACGAATTGCTGGCATTAAAGGTTCTAATAACTCGGGTTCTTTTAATTTACATAAAAATCGTAAGGTAGATCCACGTACAAATTCATTTGGATGTTGTAAATCTTTCCTATACGCGTCACAAACAAGAATCATTTCTTGCAAAAGTTTACCATCCCCGTAGGTTTTTGGAACGATTTCCCAAAAAATTAACAACAGTTTTTTGACCGTATGATCTTGTAGGGGAAGGACAAAGCGTATGATAATCATCAACACCCCAGGTAAACGTTCACCGGCTAAAATCATGTTTATGGTCTTCTTTAATGCCTCGATCTTAACTTTAACATCCCCCTTTTCCAAGTCAATTTTTAATTGCATTTCATTATAGGGTTCTGAGTCACTGAGAGCATTTATAAGGGTATAACACGGCTGTTCCACTGCACCCATTTTTTCCTGTAATTAGAAATAATTAGAATATGCTTTATGTATTTATGGAGGAAATACCGAAATATGTAAGGTTATGCAAAATTTAAAATGGATTGATCAGCTATATGACGGAATACGGGTAATTACTATCAGCAGGATATCATCAATAACATTACCACAATTGCAAAAAAGGCAAAATCAATTATTTTAAAGCAACAATTTGAAAATATGTAAAATTTAGCATCTGACGTGTTTACACTCAACGTGTCACACTATTCTGTGTCTCATCGCCGCGTTGCCAGGGCCAGCAAACATTTAAACGCAAATGTGACTAGACGCCCGTTAAAACAGATATTAATGAAAACCCCTACGTGTAGGCAACTTCTTAAACACCTCTGACTCCAAACAATATATTCACTATATTTGTCCACATAAAGAATTTGTTTGTGTTTATGTGTAGTTCTAGTTATTTTGTTATTATTGTTATTGTTTGAGTGAAGTTGAGGTTAAATTAATGTTCATTTTTATAAACATTTATTCAGTTATCTATTACTTGGCCTACTTGGCAAGTACACAGAAAGTTTTATAAAAAAGAATTGAGTATGCTACGGTGGTTCCTTCTGGACTTGAAAATTACCATCGGTTCCGCCCGGCAAGGCAAACCGTCTTCTTCTCAGGCTGCTCAATCGATAAAAATAAATGCTCCGGCTAACTCAAATCGGTGGGCTTTTAACTCTTTTGAAACTGCGTAACAAACCTTGACCTGCCGCCTACCAGTCTCCTGCCTCAACTCCTACTCCTCCCTTTCCTTCCCCTCGTTCTTCTTTAAAGACAGGCACATTGAAACCAAATAGATAATATATTGAAATGAGATTAGCGATACAAACAATTTACAGGGATCTAGCAGTTCTGCTCTTCTACTTGTAAAAACACTAGCTTAACAATGACAACTACTAACTAAAAAATCCTAACAGGTGAAACTAATTTACTCAAGGGGTGGCCATCCTCTACAGTTTGAAAATTGCAACAACAGGTAATCGTTTTTAATCCAGCGTGGGCTGGGACTTATTTAAATAAACACAAAAATTTATCCTACTCTTTGGTAATCGTTCATTGGACTTTAATAAACAATCAAATCAAAAATTTTTTTCACTATAGCTTAATTACCAAAAAGTGGAATTTTACAGAATGTTACAAATGTAATTAGACTAACCTTTACAACATTTGTACAGCCGATCTTGTGAACTGCTCTTTCCTCTGGTACAGGGTGGATGTGATGAAACCTGACACTTAGGTCTCTGTGACTTCCTAGGGGTGGCTTGAATTTAACACACGGAAACAAAAATCCACGGTGCCTATCCTTCCTCGGAACGAAAGCAAAGTTTAGCGTTTGAAACGGAAACTTAGTCCCGGAAATCCTTCGCGTGGCGAGTGGGAGACGGCTAGTTGCCAAAGTTTCTACACAGCACAGTGTATTTAATTTTATTTTATTAGTTTATTAGCTTTGACCGCCTGCGGAATACAGATTTTTGAGTTAGCGGTACGGCAGAACACAAACTTTTATGATCACTATCCGACGGTAAACCGCGATGGTTCAAAGTATTATTTCACCAGCTCTTCTTGGGGCAAATATCTCTCCGAAACGCAGCGCTCCTTCGACAAATGACCTTACGGCACTAGTAGGAAATTCCACCTGGGGCGGATCCCGAAATTCTGCGCCTTGAGGACTAGGGCAGCACTTGGAATTATATATCCTCGAGAAAACACAACGTATCCTAACGCGATTCACTGCATCCAAAGTAAACTGGGGTGAAGCTCAAGGGTTCGCCCAAATATCACCCGATTGAAACGTGGGCCTTCTTCGCCAAAAAATCAACACGAAAAGAAAATAACACTTCGGAACGGGTGCAAAAAGCACGCAACTGGGAGCAACCGAAATAAGCCGGTGGCTCAAACCGCCAAGTGTACCAAAACTATCGCTCAAGGTACGTGTTGACCGCTTGAAGTACTAACCGCGAGTCTTTTTTAAAACGCGATCACTCAAAGTACGTGTTGACCCCTCGACGTACTAGCCGCGAGTCTTTCCAAAAACGATCCCCTTCTTCAGAATTGAAATGAAAAAACCACACCCAAATTACCATAAAACAAAAATGGCTCCCGCTAGAAATTCTCCCATTGGTTCAGATAAATAAGACTTAACCCACTCTAACTTCGTCATTAACCTCAAAGAACTGCTGACCAAACTGATCTCACGGTTTTCTGCTGATGACGTGGAAACTCCCTTATCTCTGACAGCTCGGTGCTACATCCGCTCCTATTCTCGGTCCAGACGGCGCCAAAGTTGATAAACGAACGACAAAAAACTCGCATTACTCATGATGACGTCAATCAGCTTTGCACTCTTCCCACGACGAAATTAAATCTGAGCGAAATTAAATCTATCGGACCATAGTCTTGAGCGAACCGAAATGCCCAAACACAAAATTTCTAACCGGAACAAATAATGAAATATACAGGGTGACCTTCACTATCATGACAAGAAATTCGAAATTTTTAATGAAATTTGGCGCGAAATAAAACCACTCGTTACAAGTAAAGACAAAATTAGAGCCAATGATAATTTTATAAAAAATTCCCATCAAGGCTATGTGGAAGGTAATAAAACAAAATAGCCATGAGAGTTGCGGAGGTACCACAAATTTAACTTCTGATGAATTCAATGACTTTTTTGTGAGCATTTCTGACGAAATAAGCCCTTCACTTCCGTCTCAAAATAAAGACCAAGTTAGTTACAAGTTATGCTATAACTTCGATATCCTTTGATTTATCATTCAATAATGTTCGAGATATTGTAAATGCTATTAATAGTAGTTGCAAAGATTTTTTGATATAACTGCTAGTATTACAAAATCTACGCTGACTGTTATTCGGATTCCGTTAACGAAAGTGATCAATGCTTGTAAACCTCTCGCCAAGAAAGATTGCCGGTCTTAGAAAACTTGATCCCGGTCTACAATCTATGTTTTTCTAAAAATGTGAGCGACTTCCGTGATAGTATCGTGTCAATGTTAAACAGAAAGACAATGTTATTCTTTATGCAGATGACACAACTTTATTGAGTAGATGTCACGAATTAAAGGACGATAATCAATTTATTGAGAATATCGAAGAATGGTTACTAAATAAGAGACTAAAAATTCATCAAACAAAAACGGAAAAACGTATTTTCACATTGAGACACAGTCACAATGTAAAAAACTCAACACAAATTAAGTTTTTAGGAGTGACACTTGATCAGAAGTTAAACTGGTCAACTCATTGTAGTCAGGTAGCTGTCAAACTATAGAAAGCATTATTGCGATGTTTAAAATCCGTAGTATCTAAGGATGTTGTTATCACTGCATATTATGGATACTTCCACTCAATAATGTGTTATGCAATTATTACCTGGGAACATACTTCAGGCGTTAAAAGAATTTTTTCAATTCAAAGGTGTGCTATTAGAATTGTAACTGATCTGGACTATAGAACTTGCTATAAACATAAATTTATAGAACTTAGAATTTTAACAATTCCATGTATTTATATATTAAATTGCATATTACACGTTGCCGCTAACATATCGACTTTCCGACTGCGTAATTTATCATATGAGTACCACACAAGAAATAAAAATAATATTCGTTCCAATCAACTACGACTAAATACTTCAAAAAATTGCAGTCATTATTATGATATACAATTTTACAATAAACTTCCTCAGAGTTACCGTTCGTTATCATCCGCAAGGGTCAATTTTAGGGCCACTTCTTTTCTCCCTGTTTACTTTCGACTTCAGTAGATGTGTACACCACGGTCGGTACCACAGTTATGCAGACGATAATCAAGTTTATTATTCGTTTTATTCAGAGCAGTTTTCAAATACAACTACCTTAATTAATGAAGATCTGCATCGTATATCCGAATGGTCAATTAACAACTCTCTTATTCTAAATCCATCTAAAACTGTAGGAATGTTAATAAACATTTGCTTGGGGGAATTAATTCTTCACTAACCGATGTAAATATTGATAGCAACGTAATAAACTTTAAAACCGTTCACAAAAACTTGGGTCTGATATTGGACGAAAATCTTACCTTCACCCCGCATGTAAGTAAGTTGATACAATCCGCGTATGGTCGGCTTCGGTGTCTTTATAAATATAAAAATATTCTTTCACTTTCTGTTAAACGTAAACTTGTTAATTCCCTTGTGTTGTCCCTATTTAATTATTGTGATGTTGTGTATGGTCCTTGCTTAAAAAATTCAGACTCGTACAGAATCCAAAAAGTTCAAAACGCATGCGTACGTTATGTAAGTAACGTAAATAGGCAAGAACATATCACACCTCATCTCAAGCAATTGAATCTTTACCGAATGAACGATAGGAGGACTATACACTATTTGTGTTTAATTCACAAAATTATAAAATCTGGCGTGCCCCCATACTTACAGTCCACAATACGTTTTCGGAGAGATTTACATGATCGTCAACTTAGAAATACAAACGATATTCAAATACCTGCACATCGATTGCAAAGCTACAAATCTTCGTTTACATACATGTCAGCATTTTTGTACAATAAGCTGCCTGATGAATACAAATCATTGAATAGCTATCAATTTAAGCGCAAAGTAAAAATTATGATTTACAATGAATAATAATTAGACCTTTAAGTATAGCAAGTTTCTGTTACCTAATCTTTCTATATGTTACCTCCTATATACTTCTTTTAGATATTATGTACACACGTGGAGAAATTTTGTCATTTTTGTCAATCTGTCTTCGTCTAAGATTTCATTTATTTTCTTTTCATGTAGTCTCGTACAATTCAAGTTATTGAAATAGTATACCTTTTTTAGTTTATGTTATTTTCAATCAGTATTTTGTAATTGTAAATTGTAATTCTGCTGGTTGGGAAAAACAGCTTACAGCTTGTCTCCGCCAGGATAATAAAGTATTATTATTATCTGTAAAAGAATTAAAGAAAACCGTTACCAGTTATTTAAAATTAAGCGCTTTCTATTCTAGTCATGAGTTTTTGTCATCTCGGTTTTGATAAATGAATGTGCCTGGTATATTGTGTGATTTTAATTATTTATTTAATATATGTTATGTTTGTGACTAAATGTATTGTAATATGTACGTATATCTCTTATTGGACAAATCTTATATAGTCTATGGCTATTACAGATTATAAACTTGATTATTATTATGGTAAAGAAGGTAGGAT